ATAAGGTTGCACGTGATGCATGGGGCCAATCTGTTTTACACTGGTAATGTGAATATTTACTGCTGATAGATTGCCACTACGACGTGACATCCTCGTTATCAATAACACGTGACACGATTATATGGAATACAAGTTACTTAAAGGGTTTGCTTGATAGAGAGAGAGAGAGAGAGAAATGGGGTTTAACGTCCACTCGAAACAAACTAGGTCATTTCGGGACTAACATATGGTTTAATTTTATTTCAATAATTCGCTTGTGCGTAGGGGTCTTTAGCAGTGGGAGGAAACCGTAGGACCCGGAGAAAACCCACGAGGTTGGACAGGCGACCCTACTCCTTGTCACGTACAACCGGGGATTCGAAACCACGCCAGTCGACTCATTGACAGACTTTATGATAGGCCTACAGCGGTTTGCTTGATAAAGACGGGAAAACCCCCGTCGAAACGTATCTGAAATAAACCCTTCAAGTAACTTGTATTCCATATAATTGTGTCATGTGTTATTCTCATCCAGTTACTAAATGCCACTTAAACAACCCTCGGTATCCCCCCAGTGGTATCGTTCCGTTCCACTCCACCAACTGGGGACGGCGGCGTGATAACTCTTGATGGAGTTATGACACTCGGCAAACCTCGGCAGATTCCTGTACCCACTGATCTCTATCAGTGCCTGTACCCTACATCTAGCCGAGGTTTTCCGAATGGGAGTTACGGGCTTAGCATTACAGGGGAGATAACCAGTTTTATAGTTAAAACAAAAAAGCCTTTCTGCACTTTTTATCAGTGTTGATTTTAAAGAAAACAGAACTCTAGTTCAGCTGAGACATAAATTTAGTAGGTTACCATATCGTTTGTCTTATATTTACATTAGGATTCACAAACCAAATGTTGGCGTGTTGTTAAGGGGAGATAACTGAGGTCTGTAAGAATTTATGTCGTACGAGAATTGTTGTCAGAGATATGGTTAGATCTATTTACCAAGGCCACCTGCAGATTTCCTCTAGGTCACGAGATGTAAACCTTAACCGAACCTAACCCCTGTTTAAATCTCGTGACCTTGAGGAAATATACAGGTAGTAATAGTGTTTGTGGACAGCTACAAATTAATTCTCACGGACGCATAGGTCAAAAGTAGATTCATTATTGGAAATTTACTAAACACAATTTTAGACTTTTAGACGGAAATTTACTAAACACAATTTTAGACTTTTAGACGTGTTGTTGAAAACTAATGAGTTACTTGAAAAACGTCAATAAATAATTGCTTTCTCTCAGTTTTGGGCCATATTTAGAAGACAGTTAATATCCGACTATTTGTGGAAATAAAATGAGGTTTAACGTCCTAATATTTTGCTCCAACCGGGCTAATGAGGGAAATTTTGCTCGAAAATTCAAGGATTCTTTCACGTGCATGTCAACGTGTGTGCACAACTCTGCTACACATCTTTATTTTGGCTTTGATCGTCTAGGTTTGTCTGGTGTGGATACTATTGTAACTTTCTACTGTTGGATTTCATGGTTATACCCAAACCAGAAAGGCTATATATTCTGTCACAGTGATCGATCTAAAGTTCCTTATATACTATTCAAAAAAAGTAGGGGATATTTGATTTTTAAGTGTTATTAAAGTCACCTAATGAAACTGACGAAGAAACAAATGACAAAATGAAATGAAGTTCACATTCATCGATTTATTCCAAATGATCGTTAGACTAAGTAAGGCACAGACTGACCATTATAAGGGTAAAATGATACCCGGGGTCAAACAGCAAAGTTACCACAGCATCACAACCAAGTCAGTAACGGGTAAATCCTCCTCTGTTTGCCAAACAAGCATTGATCCGACGTGGCATACTCCTAATGAGACGTCTAAGGTCATTTTGGTCCAGATTGTCCCATTCCTGTTGCAACGCAGCAGCAAGTTCTTGGACATTGGCAGGACGTTGTTGACGTTGACGTAACCTCTGTCCAAGCATGTCCCAGACATGCTCGATGGGGGAGAGGTCGGGACTCAGTGCTGGCCAAGGTAATGTGGTGATGTTCTGTTGTTGGAGGTAACCTGTAACGATCCTGGCCCTGTGACATCTTGCGTTGTCATCCTGGAAGATGAAACGGCGGCCATGACGTCGTGCGAACGGCACAACATGGACTGCCAAGATGTTGTCCCGGTAGTACTGGCCTGTAACACGCCCTGCAACAACATGTAAAGCCGTTCTTCCAGCAACAGTGATGCCTCCCCACACCATAACAGAACCACCCCCAAATCGATCATGTCTGATGACGTTAACGTCTTGGAAGCGCTCGTTTCGACGACGCCACACCCTCCTACGTCTGTCCAAAAAATCAACAGTGAACCTTGACTCATCTGAAAACATCACATTGCTCCAGCGTCGATTATCCCAGTGTTGACGATCCCTACACCAACGACGTCTTGCCTGAATGTGATGATCTCTCAAACAAGGGATCACGCGAGGACGTCGGGCGCGAAGGTGACCCCTATGCAGTCGATTCCGAATCGTCTGGCGACTCACTCTCACACCAGTGTCTGTTTGAAGACGAGCGCTGATCTGATTTGCTGTGATGACAAGATTTCTCAAGGCCAAGGTACGGATAAATCGATCCTGGGCTTGAGTTGTCGCCCTTGGTCGACCTGAGCGTGGTCTGTCCTGTACAGATTGTGTATCACGGTATCTGGACCATAGCCTGCTTATGACAGACTGAGAAACATTCATCGTCCGCGCCACAACCGCCTGTGTTGTGCCGATCTGTAGCATGCCAAGGGCACGTAACCTTTCATTTTGGGTAAGCCGACGCATATCAAAATTTGTTTTCTGGTCACTAAAACAATTAAACTGATGTTTCCACCCTGGAATTCAATGCCACAATGACTGTAACATTCAAAGTCAGAGTCGTGCAAATCTTGGGTTGGACCCCCATGATGATCCCAAGCATCACCTGCATTCCATGCGGTAGCTATTGGTGCGTTTGGGCGTCACATGTAACTGGAAATGTTTCTTCTGTTAGGTTCTATAGTGACTTTTTTCGTAGTCATTTGCATATTTTAGTATTATGCCCCCAAAATCAAATATCCCCTACTTTTTTTTAATAGTATATTAAAAAGGGGACAACAGTTTACACAGCATACGATTTTATATCGAAACAGGTTACACGGTTGTAAGAATAGTCTACATAATACTTAAAAATAACATGTTTTCATTCTCTCAAACTAGTTTCGAGAGAGAGGAGAGAGAGAGAGAGAGAGAGAGGTGGGCTTTAACGTCAATTCAAAACAAACTAGATCATTTCGGGACTAACATATGGTTAAATTTTATTTCAATAATTCACAAGCGCGTATGGGTCTTTAGCCGCGGAAGGAAACCGGCGGACCCGGAGAAAACCCACGACCCTACTCCTTGTCACGTACAACCGGGGAATTGAAACCACGTCAGTTGACTCAATTGCAGACCTTATTATACAACGCGCCTAACCATTCGACCATCCACCCCCCTAAGAACCTAAATATACTAAACAGCAAAAGAAACGTCAGGTTGGTATGTTACTCTGAATAGACGCATGCATAAAACTTGCCAAATGTTTTTATTGTATATTTGTGACCACATCTCCAACTTTACCTGAGCAATAAGGCTCCTTCCCAAACACAGAATTGAACCCAGGAAATGTTCTCAAAAACGCAACCTGACTTCTGAGATGGTAATGTCCATGATTTTCATGTAACTCATGACCAGCCCTATAAAATGCACCCCCATACCAGAGAGTGGGTCCTGTAGTGTTCCAAAATCTTGGTCCAGGGAGAGGAGCCGGCATCACAGCAGTGCGCTACGTCATCGATCAAGCTCTCAGACCACACGTCATACCACATTTCGCACGTCATCGAAACAACGTTTTCCAGCATGACAACGCCCGTTCCCACATCACCAGAGTTACTCGGGACTTTCTACAGCAGAACGCTGTCAACGTTGTGCACTGGCCCGCCCTTAGTCCGGACTTAAACCCGATTGAACATCTTTGGAATGAAATTCAGAGGAGACTTAATAACGTCGTACCGAGACTAAACAAAGCCGATGGATTGCGCCAGGCTTTTCTGGGAGTGTGGTTCCAGGTGCCAATGGCGTTCATCAATCGCCTGGTCCACTCCATGTACAGACGCTACGCTGCTGTTATTGACACTCGCGATGGACACACCAGATACTGATGTTTAGACTGTGTACAGACTCTAAAATTGCTTTGATCCGTTTTGTAAGTCGTTCTCTAGAATGATTTGATTAAAGTGCCTTTCTGATTTTGAAATCGCACTGACGTTTGTTTTTTTTGCTGTTTAGTATACTTAAAAATAACATGATTTCATTCTCTCAGCCTAGTTGAGAGAGAGAGGGTGGGGGGGGTTAACGTACACTCGACCCAAACCAGGTCATTTCGGGACAAACATATGGTTCAATTTTATTTCAACAATTTGCTTGGGCGTAGGGGTCTTTAGCAGTAGGAGGAATTCCACGAGGGTGGGCAGGCAACCCTACTCCTTGTCACTACAACCGGGGAATCGAAACCACACCAGTTGACTCAATGACAGACCTTATGATACATCACGCAAACGCTAATCATTCGGCCATCAACCCCCCCCCCCCCCTAAATATTATGCTATAGGTATTTAGAATCCATATTTTATCAAGCTGTGGCAGGATAGAGGAAAACTGTTTTGCTGGTTTTATTATCACGTTTCAATTGTTGAACAATTTGATAACACTATTTGTCTCAACTCAAATCCAGTGCTTGATAAACTGAGGCAACTACTAATACCCATAGAGGGGACCTTAATATCAATGCCTTTCTTTTCTGCCCCTTCCGGCTACTGGAGACGGACACAAGCCACGTAGTAACAAGTTTATTACCTATAAAAAATATCAGTTAACATTTTTGTTTCCATTCAAATCCAAACTTGGAATTCAACTGTTAACTTACGATTTATAAAGAAACTATAAAACCACTGTATTTTAATTTATTCAGTTAAATTGCAATAATTATGCCGTTTTGCTAATTTAAACATAAAAAAGCAGAAAACAAATGTATACATTATTACAATATATTATTTAATTTGACAAAAAATTTACCAATTTTAAAATCTGTTCATTAATAATGAAGTAATACAGGTTAGTAAAAAGCTGGGTGAAAATTTCATCCAACTTTTACAGGTAAATGAAACATTACAGAATTTACATTTCACACTAAGATTTCTCACCTGCCTCTTTATCATGGTTTGGCTAGATACCTAGTTTAACTTGGTTCCTTGTGTAAGGGATCATTTGAGTGAAAAAGCCTTTGTTATAGTTACATCTTTTACAAGGAACCAGTTGATATATCAAGTTGCCTCACTTTATTTCATCATTGACTTGTATCAAAAACTGTTGGTTATATGTCATTGCCATGGCAACATACATGTTGTATATATTGTCTATTATCTATGCCTACCATTTTTATAACAATGTCAAGACTAAGGTCCGTTGTTTTGTTTTTAGGGTAAAAATGTCAGGACTAGGGTCAGGTTTTGTTTTTTTCAACTGAAATCAAATGGTGACCCGCCAGGTTGAATCTCATGTACAATACAGCTCCATCTTTCTGGTTGGTATTGGTTTATAAATGATATATTTATATATATATATATATATTCCAGTGTATATAACTGTATTGAATGGCAGTGTTTACATATTGACTATACTGATTATAATACACATCTATATTTCGTTTTATTTTTTTAATACTTTTGATGGCCTACACTAAATGAAGATCTGACAAGTTGTACTCGAAGGTCAAGTCAGGGGTCAGTGGCTTTTGACCCTATGACATCAGACATTCAATTAACCAATCAACGTTATGAAATGAAATGAAATGTTGTTTAATAGCACGTCAGCTCCAACCGGGTTATATTGCGCCAAACATATGGTGAATCTATTGAGACAATGTTTCTAGTGGGTTACCCACAGTTCCACATATCGCACGCCAAGAAGTCGCCGTAACAGACTGTTTCATTGGCTTATCTCTATCATCATCCAGAACGAGGGTTATATAACAACTCTTCCAGATCCTAGTGTAGTAAATACAAGTAAAGGAAATAGAATCTGTGTTTTAACCAGATTGATTATGACACATATGTTTTGTCCGTGATGTATTATCGTGGGATTAACATGTATGCAATACTGAGCCACATTTTGGCAAGACAGCTACTAACTTTTTTGAAAAGGAGAGAGAGAGAGAGAAATGGGGTTTAACGTCTACTCGACACAAACTGTGTCATTTCGGGATTAACACATGGTTCAATTTTATTTCAATAATTCGCTTGCGTGTAGGGGTCTTTAGCAGTGGGAGGAAACCGGAGGACCCAGAGAAAACCCACGAGGTTGGACAGACGACCCTACTCCTTGTCACATACAACCGAGGAATCGAAACCCTGCCAGTTGACTCAATGACAGACTGTATGATACAGTGTGCGCGTGCTAACCATTCGGCCATCCGGCCATCCAGCCCCCCTTTTTGAAAAGGATATTTTTCGAGAATCCCTGTGATATGATTCATGCCAAGATTCTTGCAGACATAAATATCTGAATTCAACAAATTTTCATCACAGCCAATATAAGGTAAAAAAACCCAACTCTTACGGATAATTCACTGTATTTTTTTGACAATTTCTCTCACAGATTTAAGAACATTTGTAGAGAAATGAAATGAAATGGGGTTTAATGTCCTACTATTCTGCTCCGACTGGGCTAATAAAGAAAGGGGTACACCATGCAGTGTGCTATGAGGAAAGTTTTGTCTGGACAGCGGTGCTACAGCCTACTCTTATATCGAGTGTGCACGGGACCTCGTTTTTTCGTCCCATTTGAACGACTATACGTTGTCCCTTGCCAGGCCCTCGATCTTTCACCACTGACAAGGGGGGGAATCGTGCCCGAAAATCCTGATGAACTTTCTCCGCCAGCATAGGGATCGAACATGGGACTTCCAGGTTAGTAAGCCAATGTGTTACTCACTGAGCCACCTTGACTCCCCAGTTGTAGAGATTTCTAGCAAAAACAACGTCTCGAATTTTAAGAGAGAACGAGATTGAAATGTGGTTTAACATCCACTCGACACAAACTAGGTTATTTTGGGACTAACATATGGAAGGTGGTCATGGGAGAAAACCCACGAGGTTGGACAGGCGACCCTACACCTTGTCACGTACAAGCGGTAATCAAAATCCGCCAGTTGACTCAATGACAGACCTTATGATATAACGCACATGCGTTAACTTTTCGCCCCCACCCCCCTCAAGTTTTAAGGCATGTAGAGATTCGTCAACATTAAATAAAAACAGAATAATTTGCCAGGAATAAAATAATTAAAAAAATAATAAATAATTACATCGAAATAGCTGCGTAACTTATATAATTACAAATCAAGCTGTCGACAGGCTGGCCACATGAATATAAAGGATCAATATAGGCCCATTTATAAATGATGGTGATCGTACGATTAGTTTGAGTCGTGACTAGTGATTGGTTAAAGTTACATTTCATCGTCCAATCCAAAATCTTCTTCTGGAAAATCCCCAACTTCTACAAATAATGGTTTAACAAATCCTCCATATTTGGGCTGACATTCAAAATATCTTTTACCATTAACGCTACAAATATAAAAATAAAAATTTGTTGTAAATCTATGAACAAGTATGGACGTACAATCCGATAAATATGGTCAAATTCACTATCCAGTGCATCCCTGATATTAACAGACATTCACTTATAATATGTTGATAACACTGAGAGACCCCTCACCATCTCCACGAAATGTCGCTTTAATTAAAATAGTAATTCTGTTCCATATTATCTTTTTGTAACGTGTGTCAATTGCTAATTCCAACTTGGGTTGTTAAGGCAATCTGTTTCACAGAGAATTACGAGTCTCGTATAATATCTCTGTCATAGATGACTGCCTTAACACGTGCTGTCACAGCACGCGGTGTGAATCATTGGCTGAATGACGCGTGCATTGTTTACATAAGACATAACTGCTTCGGAGAGAATGCTGCACTTTAGTCATTTTAATACCTATTTACACTAAATCGGAAATAATTTTTAATTACAAATACGTCTTTATTTATTTTTCCAATAAATACAAAAAATATTTTAGAATTTAATTTGTCGCAGGAAAAAAGTTAATATTTCTAGCTCATTAAGCCGCATCAATGTCATCCTTATCAGTGATTGTCGCCGCCAAGCAAATATTCACTGCGGATCAGTGTGTTGTTAAGGCTGGATCAAATGGAAAGAGGTCATAAAAGAATTATCTCCCTTTTGCTAAAAATTTGTTCATGTTCCCAACTGGAATCAGATTTGTCATCAATTCTCTGTAAATACATTGATACACCCATATGATGTATGTCTGTAATACATTGATACACCTATATGATATATCTCTGTAATACATTGATACACCCATATAGACCGGGCGCCTGCTTCAGTTAATCATACTAAGAGAGGGAAATTGTCTGATAGGGCATAATTGTTTGTCAATGCCTACTAGTCAAACATCTGGATTGCTGCCGGGAATTAACCTGCCCATTTAGGTGGTGTGGGGGCCTAAAGGGAGCCCATTTTCTGACCAGTTGTAGTGGTACATGTAGGTTGCGTTAGGGGTCATACGAGCTGCTTTTTGACCCTATGATGTCAGCCATTTGATTAACCAATCAGCGTTGATGTTTCTAGTGGGTTACCCGCAGTTCCGTTCAGTTCACCACATGCCAAGAACTCGCTGTAACAGACCATTTCATTGGCTAATCCCTCACATCATTCAGAACGCGGGTTATATAACAACTCTTTTAGATCCTAGTGTAGTAAAGACAAGTAAAACGAACGAAATAGAATCTGTGTTTTAATCAGATTGTTTGTATCCTGGAGTTTGGTGATATAAATATCTTACCTTCCATCGTTTTTACCGTGTGGTTCATCATAATGTATCCCAACCCATATACCTGGTTTAAAATCTGTTGTTCCTATATATTTAATCGTTCCTCTCCGTGTAGGCTGTCCTGTAACTCGGGTTTCACATCTAAAAATAAATACAAATCTTTAAATAGATCAGAGGGAACTTACTGACAAACCTTGGGACACAAATGCCAGTTATCCTGGCACCTTACTTTTTTGACAAATCCCTGGGACCCAAATGCCAGATATCCTGGCACCTTTTTTTTTTGACAAAACCCTGGGACCCAAATGCCAGATATCCTGGCACCTTACTTTCTTGAAAAACCCTGGGACCCAAATGCCAGATATCCTGGCACCTTACTAACTGAGCCACTACGACTCCCCCATTATAAATTAAAGGAGCTAAATCACTAACATATAGGACCTAGAAATTGACACAAATGGGTCGCAGCATATATAATAATGTCATATGAATGTATATAAACTGAAATATGCCAGAAGTCCCAATCGAATGGCAATCTCTAGCACCTGGTTATTCAAGCCTACACCAATAGTATTTATTGCGAAAACTCTCCAGATAAGAATATGTGTGTCACCGTTTGACATGACTTGTGGAATGTGGAATATGTCTAGCCTCGTTCTTCGAGTCCCAGGGGATCACGTGGCTAAGTGGGTGAGACGCTGGCTCGCTAGCCTGGAGGTCGGGTGTTCGATCCCTGCATTGGCCAAGAAAGTTCATCCAGATCTTTCGGCGTGGTTCCCCCTTGTCAGTGATGCAGGACGGAGGGCCTGACAAAGACAGCTGTCTAGTCCTTCAGATGAGACGAAAAACCAAGGTCCTGTGTATACATTGGAATGCACGTAAAAGATCCCTTGGCACGTAAGAGTAGGCGATAGTGCTGCTGCCCGGGCAAAATTTCCCACATAGCACACTGTATGGTGTATGCCCGTCTTCATTAGCCCAGTATAGAAGCAGAACAGTAGGACGTTAAACCCCATTTCATTTCATTTTTTTGAGTCCCTTGTTACAAATGGCATTATGGTACACGATTCGTGAACCAATAGTAAAATGTTTATTTTGTCTTAAATATTGGATATCAGAAGCGCATCTTTTCCAGGTGAGACCATAACATCAATATTGATTTAAATTGAAAAATAATTTGTGTTTTCAATGTCGAAGTCTTTGGATGATGCTGAGTTAGCAACTTTAAATACAGAAATTAGAGAAACTTGAGCAAATCTTTTTGTATTTTCCTGTAAACTCTACTTATTCAGGGTGGGGGGGTTGGATGGCCGAATGGTTAGCGTGTGCACGTTGTATCATAAAGTCTGTCATTGAGTCAACTGGCGTGGTTTCGATTCCACGGTTGTACGTGACAAGGAGTATAGTCGCCTGTCCAACCTCATGGGTTTTCTCCAGGACCTCCGGTTTCCTCCCACTACTAAAGACCCCTAAGCGCAAGCGAATTATTGAAATAAAATTAAACCATGTGTTAGTCCTGAAATGACCTAGTTTGTGTCGAGTGGAAGTTAAACCTCATTTCTCTCTCTCTCTCTATTTGTTCAGTTTATAACTAAGAATAACGTCAGAACAAATAATGGTTTCTCATTATCCCAGTTGGTGCAGAAAAGTAGGATGTTAAACCTAAAACCCCATTTCATTTACATATACTGCTAGCAAACAATGGATGCTCCCAAGCTAATGTGCACACCAGACCTCGGTTTTTCTGTCCTATCTGGATGACTATACATTATCTCTTGCCAGGCCCTCTTTCCTCCACCATTGACAAGGGGAATTCGTACCGAGAAATCCCGATGAACATTCTCAGTGAACACAGGGATTGAACACAGGACCTCCAGCTTAGCGAGCTGTCTTACTCACTGAGCCACCGTGACGCCCCTGGTAAAAGTGACTTAAACGAGAGGATGCTTTTACTAACCTATCACCAACTTTCATGAGAGGATGCTTTTACTAACCTATCACCAACTTTCATGAGAGGATGCTTTTACTAACCTATCACCAACTTTCATGAGAGGATGCTTTTACTAACCTATCACCAACTTTCATGAGAGGATGCTTTTACTAACCTATCACCAACTTTCATGAGAGGATGCTTTTACTAACCTATCACCAACTTTCATGAGAGGATGCTTTTACTAACCTATCACCAACTTTCATGAGAGGATGCTTTTACTAACCTATCACCAACTTTCATGAGAGGATGCTTTTACTAACCTATCACCAACTTTCATGAGAGGATGCTTTTACTAACCTATCACCAACTTTCATGAGAGGATGCTTTTACTAACCTATCACCAACTTTCATGAGAGGATGCTTTTACTAACCTATCACCAACTTTCATGAGAGGATGCTTTTACTAACCTATCACCAACTTTCATGAGAGGATGCTTTTACTAATCTATCACCAACTTTCATGAGAGGATGCTTTTACTAACCTATCACCAACTTTCATGAGAGGATGCTTTTACTAACCTATCACCAACTTTCATGAGAGGATGCTTTTACTAACCTATCACCAACTTTCATGAGAGGATGCTTTTACTAACCTATCACCAACTTTCATGAGAGGATGCTTTTACTAACCTATCACCAACTTTCATGAGAGGATGCTTTTACTAACCTATCACCAACTTTCATGAGAGGATGCTTTTACTAACCTATCACCAACTTTCATGAGAGGATGCTTTTACTAACCTATCACCAACTTTCATGAGAGGATGCTTTTACTAATCTATCACCAACTTTCATGAGAGGATGCTTTTACTAACCTATCACCAACTTTCATGAGAGGATGCTTTTACTAACCTATCACCAACTTTCATGAGAGGATGCTTTTACTAACCTATCACCAACTTTCATAGTCTCAGCTTTCTCCTTCTCAAGTAAATCTTGTTGCAGTTTTTCTTCCTCTTTCTGTTTCACAAGTTCAGGATTAAATCGACCCATTTTATTTCTTTCTTTAAACGCTCGAACGGAATCTGGTCAAAAAGTTAAAAAATGCAATTCAACAAAAAATTTCACAATATAAAAACAAATCTAAAATAAATAGGTGGCATTCATTAATTACTTACAGTGTGCTATAAGGGAAATTTTGCCTGGACAGCAGCACTACGGCCTACTCTTATATCGAATTCCAACTGCCAAGGAATCTTTTATGTGCACGCCAATGTATACATGGGGCTTCGGTTTTTCATACTATCTGAATGACTAGACAGCTGTCCTTGTCAGGTCCTCCGTACTGCACCACTGACATGAGGAAACCATGTCGGAAAATCACTATGAACTTTCTCGACCAATGCAGAGATTGAACATGTTTGCAAAGCATCCATCAATCAAATTCGATAACTCAATTAGAATCAAAGTTATTATGTTGTTTATACAGAGAGAAAGAGAAATGGGGTTTAATGTCCACTCAACACAGACTAGGTCATTTCGGGACTAACATATGGTTTAATTTTATTTTAATAATTCACTTGCGCGTACGGGTCTTTAGCAGTGGGAGGAAACCAGAAGACCCTGAGAAAACCCACAAGGTTGGACAGGCAACCCTGCTCCTTGTCACATACAACCGGGGATTCGAAACCACGCCAGTTGACTCAATGGCAGGCCTTACGATACAGCGCGCACGTGCTAACCATTCTGCCATCCAACCCCCCTAATTGGAGTAGAATATACTGATTATTGAATTGTCAAGACATTCAACTGATGATCATCTACACCAAGTTTAAACAATCTATTGAAGTTAAAAACAAGATTATTCTCGTCTAAAACAATAGGATGGATGAAGCTTAACCTGAGTTTCTACTATCTTAGTCTGCTTACGTTTCTTTTTTAGAATGTCGACTATTTCTTAACACTGGCTTAATATTCCAATATTTTTGAGAATCCTATCAATGAATGGCTCTATTAATTTCTTAGCCTGTGGTGATCAGGTGTGAATCATTCTAATTTCTTAGCCTGTGGTGATTGGGTGTGAATCATTCCAATTTCTTAGCCTGTGTTGATTGGGTGTGAATGATTCTAATTTTTTTGCGTGTGGTGATTGGGTGTGAATCATTCTAATTTTTTTAGCCTGTGGTGATTGGGTGTGACTGATTCTACTTTCTAAGGTGGGTGTGAATGATTCTAATTTTTTAGCCTGTGGTGATTGGGTGTGAATCATTCTAATTTCTTCGCTTGTTTATCGGGTGTGAACTGTGAATCATTCTAATTTTTTAGCCTGTGGTGATTTGGTGTGAATGATTCTAATTTCTTAGCGCATGGTGATTGGTTGTGAATGATTCTAATTTCTTAGCCTGAGGTGATTGGGTGTGAATGATTCTAATTTCTTAGTTTGTAAATTATTATAATTTCTTGAACTGCTAATATTATACCTGTTCTTTTAGCGTATTCTTCTTCATCTAATTCAAATTTTTCTACTTTCGATACATCATCAAATTCTCCAGCTGTAAGATTTTTATCCTCGACCTAGTCGTATAAAAACAACAATATGATCACTAGGGTCTTCCTTATTTTACAAAATTTTTAAAACCTAAGGGGCTACCTTCAATTTATGTTGGAATCGATGAGAAAAAAATGGAAAAACATAAATTTAAAATTTTTAAAGAGGGTGCTACAGTCTATCACAGTTCGAACAAAAATGTGACTTTTCAATATTTTTTTTTATTGTTTCCCAGTTAATTAGAATGTGAACAAGACAACAATAATATTTATAAAGCTACACAAGTAAGTAAATCCAGTGTTTTATACAGAGGTTCGAAAATTGGCAAAATCAAGATTTTTCCTGAAATTGTGTCTTTTTCCTAGACCTTTACTTCCAGCCCATTTGTTGTGGCTTCCGGTGTCAAGGGTCTGTCCTTAGATTGATCTTGTTTAGCTTACACTAAACAACTTGCATGTTCATGTTCTTTTCATCCATTATGTACAATCTATGCATTGTGTTACCGTACTTGTTATGGTTTTCAAAATGTAACAGGGTCAAAGTTCACATTCTATAAATACTTACATGGATCCTCATTCCATCATCAATGGGATAAGAACCCAATAACGCTGAATCATCATCTATTAAACACACAAGTTTATTGTCTTTATTATACAGTTGTAATTTCATAGTTTTCTGCTGTCCTCCTGTTAACAGTTCTAACTTCCCCTACAAATACATACATAAATCATGGTAAGTTATTGGTCACTCAGGCTGGGGACTCAATTAAACAGCCAACTGTGAGGCTGATTTCCCCTGCCACAATCACAAAATAAACTGCACATTTATCTTCTTGAAAAGTATCGAGCAATCAAACTGATCATCTATACTTCGTCTAAACAAAAAAATGTTCATGATCCTACTCAGTCAAGGTTTTGAAGTACATGGTAGTGAAACACGTGTATATACTTAGTTTCATCACTCTTCATCAGTTAGAATCAAAGTTACCTTGTCCCAAAGCATCTACAATTAAATTGCTTAGCTCTGCTTAGTCAAGGCATTCACTTAATGAACATGCATCTACACTAAAAACATTCTACATTGTACATGTACTTCAATTAAAAGCAGAGATGTTATGTTCCAAAGTCTTGATCAATCAAATAGCTTATTGCTACTTAGCCTAAGCAGAAAATGCTCATCATCGAACTTAGTCAAGCTAATGATATAATGAATCTATACTCGAAGTTTCATCGCTCGACCAATCAGAAGCAAAGTTATCATGTTTCAGTCTCAATCAATCAAATTGATAATCTTTCTTATTAGTCCTGTACTGTTTGTATTGTACTGTCTGTCACGCCAAATTTAACCTTGCCTTATAGTTACTACATTCCTCCGTAGTATTCCTTATATGGCATGGAACCGTTGATTGGCTGATAAATGATAGCGATCGATTGTGCAAGCATATGTATCATCATCTGAAAATTCCCTATTCGCCGTGAATTTAAAATGGAGTCGCAAACAAAAGTTGTTCTTTGTGTATATAAATGGTGTGGACAAGTTAACTGGCATTTGGTAGGCCTACCGTAATTATTTAATGCAGCCTTTCTTAATCTTAGTATTCTTAGTGCCATAATATTTAATAAGGAGACCCAGACAACTTTGATGACATAAATTATAAATGAATTACAGCATCCAGGGAGGACAAAACCCCAAAGCAATAATAATAACAACAAAAATCAAAAAAAAAAATCAAAAAAAATCAAGAACATTCTAGACTAGATTAGCATCACAAAGTAACATCATTCACTCATTGCTGCGGTGAGTCAGTTCTTCAGCATGAACATACAAACCTTGAAATCTAGAATCGTTAAATTTTTCGGAAATCGCTTCTCCGCCCCAAATTGATTGCATACCGAAGTAACATTAATTGTCACTGTACTGTCACTAATAATTTGAACACCAGACATTTTTGATCAGCAACCGGTGGGACAACAAACGATAAATGAAAATTATGAACAACACGTTTACTTGACAGCCGACATGACATGCGTGTTACGGTCACGTTACCTCAATCACGTGACCACAAAATAAAAACATTTCGTTGCCAACAATATCATTTTTGCAAATATTTTCAATTTCAGCTATCTCAAATAGAGTTTTAATGAATATAAATAACAATTAATGCCCTTTTTAATTTTTTTAGGATCTAAAAATCTGTTCTTGAAATGGAAGTGATGTCATTACGAGAATAGGGGAAAATAGCATGGCGGCCACTGACAAGCAGTGGTTAGTTATCGAGGACGGATGTTTATCCGTCGGAGAAAACGTAAAACATGTAACATACCATTCATCTCTTAATTCCGTCATACTTTCCACAAAGGACAAGTGTGTTAAAATTTTAGACGCCACCTCTGGCGTTATTTTACAAAAATCCCATCTCTGTGGTAAGTAGATGATCGTATTGAAATCTGCAGTCTCGCAGTGTTTTGTAAATTTGGAATGGGAAGTGATTACAGATCTATTTTTGGAAACAATATTGTAGCTTATTAACGAAATATATTAATAAATGAAATTGATATGTGTTATGAATCTATGCATTGAATTATTTTGGTAATACATAGTTTAATAAGCCTTCACATTGGCCCCCAGAATTTACTTTCTTCAACAATATGACAACATCATCATTGTCACAGTCACACGGAAATTATCATTTATTTATGTTTATTACAATGACCAAACTGAAACTGAAATCAACATTTATAAATCTTTTTGTCTGTAATGGGTTACTATACCTTATTTGTACATTGGTTCCCCAGTTAATCGTAGTAAAAGTTCATTACTAATTACTATTGCATGTTGATGTTTTTGAAGGGGGTGGGGGAATTGGGTACATTGTGTATTATATATATCATAGAATTAAATAAATTGTAACATCTAAGCCGTATATCTAAGCCATCTTTATGTATTGTGAAAGTTAAGTACAGTAAAGCTGGGTGTTATGTCGGTTATTCTATATAAAACCATCACAGAAATAAAAACTGTCAAAATACTGTCTTTAGAAAATTATCAACCCAAGAACATACCGCGATATATCACGGTTTGGATTTGTCTTGACACTATTTAACATAAATATTGAAAAATGTCCTCCTTTTTATATTATTTACAAAATTTATTGTTTAATGATGAATAGATTCTTACTGTTATAAATAAATACTGTTCATTCCGCAAAGTTTGCAAACACCGTTATAGAGCTTTATTTCTTTCGCTTGACTTCTCACTCCGATTTCCACACGACCGGTACTGTTAGAGTTATCCTCGTTTCTTATTAATTTCTGTGCATCTTGACGAATTGTGTATACAGAATGCTAGATTTTTCCAAGGAATAATTGGTTTTCTGATAGGAATGATTTTAAATAAAGGAGAAAAATAAATAATGGCGACTATATTCAGATTACCAGTAGAATGATTATTAATGTGTCATGGCGGTCAAATCGTCATTTGACGTCATTAATAATCGGACAATATTTGAGACAGCCCTGATGTTTATAGTTTAAACATGCATTATGCAAGAGCTAAATCTGTCTATGGAGCCGATTTACTGCATAAATTTCCTTCACGATTTAACAAATAAATGGATAATCGAGACTATGCTGTTTGTCGTACTGAGTTTAGTAATGATGATCAAGGCTAGACGGAAATTTCAATGGCTTAGTTCTTGGTTCATAGTGGATCAATTTGAATGAAATTTTCAGCAAATTGCCTTTACATTATCTAGTTTTTAACTATTATAGTGAGAACTGTCAACTCGTTATCGAATCTCCCATAATTTATCTTTAATTAGTACATGCAGGTGTGTAACTACATGTAGCTGTAAAAGATATCACTACTGGTGTAAAAGTGTGACTATTTATAACACCCATCACTATTGAATACATAAACCTGGACATAGTGGTGTACTCCATTTAATAGTCACAGTTTTAACACCTTAGTGACAAAGCACTTAACTGACTACTGCCTGATTACTAACAATTTAAACTAACTTATACACATTATGTAGGCCTATATAAAATGATGGCTTTGATCTGCTGGTGTTGTATGTTTTCATTTATAACAGTTATTTGTTACTTAGTCAACGATATCAACATTACAGTGCTAACGGATTTGTGTAATATACATGTACATGTAACTCATGTAAACCATTTTTGTATAAAAAGAAATAATTTACATTTTAAAATTTAAAGCTTCAACAAATATATTGTATTATTTCGATACCTAATAGATTTGTGTAAAATAAGCCATTTTGGTAAAAAAAAAAGAACCAATTACATTAATATGCATAGTATTTTTGCCTTGAGCTACATGTATACTGTATGATGAATAACATACAAGATTTGTACATCTAAACATGCTGCTGTACATGTTCCTGAATAGCTAGGGTTAATTAAAGAATAAACTATGTGTACACAGTATTGGAATACATTTTTAATTTGATTTGTCACATGATGTTAAAAATTGTGGGTGCAACATTTGATTCCTAAAGTGGGTGGACTGAATGTGTACATGGACAAATTAAAACTGAAATTGTAGTCGTTTTATAAGGGAATTTGGTCATAACCGCCAAAATGCACTTTAGGCAAAACTAGGCATAATTTGGTCAATACGGACATAATTTGGTCAAAACAGACAGACCTTTTGTCAGAGCCGACATAATTTGTAAGAGTATTTAAAAAATGTCTAATGTGACTTTAGTGATTTATCCAGCAACAGGCCTGATCATGTGACACTTATCCACAAATCTCAATGGCAAGAGTCAATAAAATGGCATTTAGCATCCACTTGACATAAAGTAGTCATTTCAGGACTAACATACATATGGTTCAATTTCATTTTTTGACTTAGGCACTTTCATTTTTAGGTGTTTTTTTTAAACCGAATTTATAGTACCATAGCATCATTTGCATTATTCACTAAAATATAACATTTGTCACCACTTACGCTGTGCTAATATGTACATTAAGGTGCGCATTGTATAATACGGTCTGTCGTTGAGTCAACTGGCATGGTTTCGATTCCCTGGTTGTACCTGACAAGGAGTCTCCTGTCCATTACTTGGGTTTCCCCCACTGCTAAAGACCCCTATGCATGAGCGAATTATTGAAATACAATTGAATTTTATGTTAGTCCCGAAATGACCTAGTTTGTGTCGAATGGATCTCTCTCTCTCTCTCTCTCTCTGGGTTCAATCTGATTCAGACTCATGTAGATACATGTATCATATTTTAGTGTTAAACCACTCAGTTCTTAACCCGTTAAGCGTGACATTTTTAAAACGTTAACTACCCCCTATTGTGTAATTAATTTGACGAAGTTACGAAGAACTATGTACTATGTTCTAAGAATAGGTTGGGGAAAATACCTCCAGGACGTTATATTATGCCCTACACACAGTGAGTGGCAGTTGTCCAGGACGTTATATAACGACCTACGCACATAACGGGTTAAAGGAATTTTTACTTTGATTATTTTATTGTTAAGGTTGCTGTTTTATTTTGTTTATTCTTGTTTTGTTTTTTTTTTAGCCGAGTCCTGCTCAGAGATACATTGTGCTTACCTCCCTCAGAAAGATCGGACATTATTTAGTGATGGACGAGCTATAGGAATACGGAAAGATCTGCGCGGAGTATTGCTACTGGATACAGCTTTACAAGTTCCTGTCACTAAAACAGAAGATATCGTTAAATGTGAACTTCCACTTGTTGAGGTAGGGTTTTATTACCAAACAAAACACTATTGTTTTCATAAAATTTTGAATTTTTTATTGTGGATTTTAGTCAGAAGTTGCTTCCCAAACTGTGCATGGTGCAAACATTCTGCCAATATAGTTATTGTTGACCTCATTGGAACTATTTATTAAATTTAAATTGGGTCATTTTTGACAAACGGGAAGTGTTTTAAGGATGGGAAAAAAAATAAACTCACATTCCCCATATCTTGGTTATTTCTCAATAGATCTTAGTCGGGTAATTTTGGGATTCTTTGGACGAATCCCATAGGGGCTCTCGCGGACGTTTTTTTTAAAATTCGGAAGTTCGCTCAATTAATTTTAGCATGAAAGATGTGCGAAAGTTATCTTCAGCATTTTGTTTTTGACATTCAAGATGGCATATCTCCGTTAGTACATGTATTTGAGGTATCAAGTTGAAATTTTGTTGGAATAAAGAACAAATTGATGCCTTAAAAATTTTGTGACGACTTCCGGAAATTACCAATGCCTTCCGATTTTTCCTGCACATGAATAGTTCTCTCCATTTTAAAAATACATGTGTATTCTAAAAATGGCACATGCAGTGTTAGCCCCAGATATTATCTTTAATTTGCAGAGTTCTTGTTTGATAACATTTTCAACCGTTTGGCGCTATATTGATTCCAATTTTCGAAAACTTTTTTTTGTTTTGAATCTACTCCAAATGCCAACAATTCTTAACGAGCAGGTTTTTGAATTTCAGTTTTGTTTACTTCCGGTTTCACTTTGTGAATTTTTTTCGATTTTTGGCCTACTATCTGGTGACCTAGCCGTTCAATGGCTTTTTCCATTTGCATATATGATGACCATGACGCCAATCTGATTAAAATACAGATCTATATTTTGTTCGTTTTTTTTATACTTTCGATGGTCTACACTATATGAAGATCTGACCGGTTCTAGTGGAAGGCTTTTGACCTTATGACGTCAGACATTGATTAATCAATCAGCGTTGACGTTTCTAGTGGATTACCCACAGTTCTGTGCAAAACGCGCCAAAAACTCGCCGTAACAAACCGTCTCCTTCATATCATCAAGCACACGGGTTACATGTATATATACATGTAACAACTCTTCCAGATCCCAGTGTAGTAAAGATAAGTAAAACGAAATTTTGAACTATAAAAATAGAAACGAAATAGGATCTGGTAAAACGAAAGATATGAGTTTTGTAAAATATTTTTTTGTGTGTGTGCTCTTGTTGAAAGCTGATGCACTGAAATAAATGTGTACACAACACCATACTAGACTGTGTAATGTCACCCGAATCATATTGTAGTAATACACACATGTATTTTGATCCGTTGTCAGGAGAAAAAACAAGATTTTACTTACATGTAGATCAGTTAACAATGAGAGCAATTTTACATAAATTTCACGGCTTCTTGAACAGAATATTAGAATTACCAGTCCATGCTGGATTATTGTTGAAAAATACCAAATATTTACACTATTTGCGAATGAGGGCAGCCATTTTGTCCAGCTGTTTTTGTCTGATTTTCACGAAATTTGAACTCCGCCATCATTAGGTTGTAAATGTAATGGTGATACATGTATATTCAAACGTTTTTTTTAATCAGATAAAAATTGTTACCCTTAGAGGGACCACAAGCTAAAAATGTAATTTTTCATACAATAAATACATGTTGATGTCTAAAATCACTAATATTTTATAGTCTGCTGTTGTTCACTGCACATGTACAGTAAATCTCGACTTAATCAAACTTGATTTATTTAAAATCTATTCTAGATTTTACTGTAATTAACAGAAATAAAATGTAATTTGAGCAATAAAAATAGAAACTTATAATAGGATCTAAATGACGTTAGTTGTAATTAAATTGAAAGAAACAGTAGCTGATAAAACTGCTTCCAGTGATTAGGTTTATACAATGTTAGGCCATAAATAAATCCCATTCTAATTCTCAGATACTTCTACGTCATTAAGAAAAGGTGTGCAGAACGGACAAGGACAGCTGTCTAGTCGTTCAGATGGGATGAAAAACCAAGGTCCTGTGTACACGTTAAAGATCTCTTAGTAGTTGGAAATCGATATAAGACTAGGCCATAGCGCTGCTGCCCGGGCAAAAATATCCCTCATAGCACACTCTATGGTGTATGCCTGTCTTAATTAGCCTAGTATAGAAGCAAAACAGTAGGACGTTAAACCCCATTTCATTTCATTTCAGTTAAAAAGGGCATCGTCATCCGTTATTTAAAAAAATGGAAAAATTCTCATTAATTACCGAATATTTTCCCCAGGTTATAGTAAGCAACTCTATAAAAAATTGAAATGAATGCGTAAAATGTGCAATACAATACATGTAGCCCCAATTATCAAGTACATGTATGCAACTATGATAAATTATAAATGGTACTGGATAATCATGCATTCCTATAAAATAATTAAAATTAGTATAAAATAAAAACACCAAAATGAAAAACCGTCCATGGCTTATTAGTTGAGGATCAGAATATTTGTATATGTGACCATGTAAATATTGTAATGAATTGAAACTGATTGATTGTCAATGTATTGATGTTTGATATTATGTGTATTGATTTTTAGGTACTGATGTAAATTTTTAAAATAAAGTTAATCTTTATAGTTTTTGTTATTGATTTTATTGATTGATTTTATTGATTGGTTAATGTATAGGAGTATTTAATTATTGTTAGATTAATGAAATTATCAAATGAATAGGTTTGAACGAGGCAGAGGGATTGTATTGATATTGGATTCTGTCCTTCGTCTCTTTTTTTTTTCAGGAAAACTTTTGCAAATCAGAAAAAAAATCGTGGTTAAATAAATTCTTGTATTTCCATGGAAACATTTTGAGATTGATTCCTGGTGTACAATAACTATTCCTGAGTATATCTTGATGATTATCCATACAATACAATTGAATCCCTATCTGATTACACCACAGATCCTATTTCGTTTCGATTTTTATAGTTCAAAATTTCGTTTTACTTGTCTTCACTAGGATCTGGAAGAGTTGTTATATAACTCACGTTCTGGATGGTGTCTGGGATTAGCCAATGAAACAGTTTGTTACGGCGACTTCTTATCGTAAGATGCACAGAACTTTGGGTGAACCTCTAGAAACGTCAACGTCTGATGTCATAGGGTCAAAAGCCATTCAAACGATCTCTGATGCGACCTTTCAGTACAACCGGTCAGATCTTCATGTAGTGTAGGCCATCGAAATTATAAAAAAAAATGAAACACGATATAGATCTGTTCATGTATTATAATCAGATTGCTATCTACCCTTGATATGAACATTTAATTTTCGTGACTAAATGTTAAAGATACATTATATAAGATTTAGATAAAGAACTAGCCATTCTTGCTATAATAGTTCGAAAGTAGATGATGTAAAATGAATATTAGCCTTTGAAGGTTTGACAGATGTGTGCAATAATTTCAACCACCGTACTGGTTGATCGAAGCTAAGTCTCTGTCCTCCATATTTGATTAAATCAAAGTATCGCTGAACCATTCTAATCTATTTAATATCAGAGAAATCTGATGCCATCAAGAGTTGATTAAGGCCTGGATCAGTTAATTAATGTCTAATTAATACTTTAGAAAAAATTTCAGGCCTAAAGAAAGACCTGCAATAGACAGATTTAGCTTCTTGCATAATGCATGTTTAAATAATCATTTTAAGTGCATTTATTAATGCAAATGACGCTCATTGACTTTATCATTGACTTAATTGTTTCGGTTTGTTTTCAGGCTACCCAGTTGTTTAAAGCGTTAGTAAACGCAGATCTACCTGGTGTAGACTATGTTGAAGAAGTTCTAAAAGAATTTGAGAGAGGAATTGAAGTGACTCAGGAATCGACGAAGGGAAACCACAAAACAGCAAAAGTAAGAGAGATCCACTGTTTAAAACTACATGTATAATCTAAAGTAAAAGATATGCACTGTTTAAAACTCTTGTCTAAATATAGCATCAAAAGTAAGAGCTATGCACTGTTTAAAACTATAGTCTGAAGTACATTTTGTAAGAGATATGCACTGCTTCAAAACTGTAAGAGATATCTTCTGTTTATAACTTGTCTAAAGAACATCCTACTGTTCTGCTCCGACTGGGCTAATGAAGACGGACATAGATGTACGTCATCCGATATGAGGGAAATACAAAATGCTTAGGGTGCGGCGTGCGTGCTGATTCCCCGGTTGTACAATGTATGTGACAAGGAGCAGGGTTGCCTGTCCAACCTCATGGGTTTTCTCCGGGTTCTCTGGTTTCCTCCCACTGCTAAAGATCCCTACGTGTATAGTTCTGGGTTTGAAAGAGGAACTTTGTGTTATATTACGTGTAGGCTATACAGTAATAATTATTATGGGATCACAGTGGCTAAGTGGGTAAGACGCTGGCTCGCTAGCCTGGAGGTCGGGTGTTTGATCCCTGCATTGGCCGAGAAAGTTCATCCAGATTTTCCAGCATGGTTTCCCCTTGTCAGATGGAGGACGGAGGGCCTGACAAGGACAGCTGTCTAATCGTTTGGATGGGACGAAAAACCGAGGTCTCGTGTATACATTGGCGTGCACCTAAACGATCTCTTGACGATTTGAATTCGATTACGAGTAGTCAAAATTTCCCCCATAGCACACTGTATGGTGTATGCCGTATTCATTAGCCCAGGTTAGGAGCAGGACAGTAGGACGTTAAACCCCATTTCATTCTTTCATTTCTAATTAATATATATAAACTTTCATTTCAGTGGGCAACTGTGTGTTTAAAATTACCACACTGTGCTCTCAAATCTGTTTGTGGAAACCTGGTGAAGGAAATGAAAAGAGCCAATCAACATGGACATGGCTTGTCTATTGCGTCTGCCATTACGGATCGTCTAGGATACTTGTTGCCTAGCAATATATCTGATGCTGGTAGTGGTGTGGAAAGAGCGTTAATGTACAGTGAAGCAGCTCGACGTGACACGTTTATAAAATGGCCACACATGAACTACAAGTGAGTTTGATATTGAATGATATCTTAATCTTGGTAGTAGGATGCCGGGAGATCGGTTGAACATCCTAGATAGTAGCACAGGCACCTATAGCGTGGAAAATATTTCAAAAATAACACCAAGCTATGACTAAGTATATGTTAAGCTCTGTTAGGTCCATGTTCATAAGCAAGATTATCGAATAAAAGATTAAATAATTGGGATCAAATTTCACTATTCTAGATTCCGTCAACCAGTGACAATACTTGAGTCTACGATGACTTTTTAAAATTATCCATGTGACCTTCTTTAAGTAATCGAACAATTTTTATCCGACTTTAGACATATACTTAGTGTTATTTTAGAAATATTTTCCACGTTACAGGCACCTGTGGATAGTAGCACTGTAACATTGTATGAAAACTTGCAAAAATCATCTAATTTGTACTTATGTCCAGTTTAAAGCTGACCATTCAATTTTGAGTGTCCAATTTACAAGCTTTTGGGGTGTTTATTTTTGAACAGTGATCGAGAAATTACACACTTGCAAATTGGAGACTTATCACAATTGAATAGGAAAAACATTACTTAGCTCTACGCTAGCCGACCGAATCTCTAACACTGCCCCTCTTGTGATCTTCATCGAGTGAGTTGAAAGATGAACGCAGTATTTTTTTCTACATCTACCTCCTCCTAATTCATCCCACTATTTTGCACAAACAAATTATTGAAAGTCCCCAAATAATTTTTCTGTAGATTTTTCTGGCTGTATGAATTATTTTAGGTTTTGAGTAAAGTGTTATGTTGTGGATGGTTTTTCAAGTCAAGTGTCTTTGTGGATGTTTTTTAAGTGTGTTTTTAAATTGTTTTGTTTGTACAGGTGGGCGCTACCCGATCCGATGGCCCAGGCGGGTTTTTATCACCAACCGAATGCAACTGGTGATGACAGAGCTATGTGCTTCACGTGTAATGTTTGTTTAGTTTGCTGGGAACCGACTGACGAACCATGGTAAGTTTTCAATCACTCGGTTTTACTTTGCGTGACAAGAAGTAGGGTTTCCTCTACGAATCTCCAGTTTTCTAGTGCCAAAGACCCCTACACCCTTCACATGTACCATCTGTTAGTCCCAAAATAACAAACTTTGTCTCTCCTTTCTGTATTGACAAGAAGTAGGGTCACCTGTCTAACCTCGTGGGTTTTTTCCGGGTCCTCTGGTTTCCTCCCACTGCTAAAGACCCCTACGCGCAAGCAGATTATTGAAATAAAATTGAACCATGTGTTAGTCCCGAAATGACCTAGCCTTTCTCTGTTTTCTTGATCTTTGTTCTCGTAGACACCTATAATATGTAAATATTTACGTTAATGTATAGAAATATTTTGATTTTTTTGATTTTTTTTCAGGTCAGAACATGAACGTCACTCACCATCATGTCCGTTTGTGAAAGGAGAATTTACACAAAATGTTCCATTATCAGGTATGTTGTGGTTGGGGCTGATAAGCATAATTTCTCTCGTCGTTAGGACAAAAACATGGTGCAATGTGTATAAATTGTTCATGCACGTAAACCTGACAAGAACAGCTGTCTAGTCATTCAGATAGGATGAAAAAAACGAGGTGCTGTGTACACATTGGCATGCACGTAAAAGAACCCTTTGCTGTTGGAATTCAATATAAGAGTAGGCCGTAGCGCTGCTGTTGGGGCAAAATTCAGTATACCCATGCAGAAGAGTAGGACGTTAAAATCCATTTTATTTTGTTAAGAGATTGAGAGATTAATTGGATCCATGTATGCGAAACATACGAGGTGTCTGAATGTAAAAACAAATCATTTTTTAATTTGATATAAATAAATAATCTTATAGAAAAACCATTATAGTAGATTTTTTAAAAATAAATTCAAGATTTTTTAAAAATAAATTCAAGATTTTTTAAAAATAAATTCAAGATTTTTTAAAAATAAATTCAAGATTTTTTAAAAATAAATTCAAGATTTTTTAAAAATAAATTCTTTTTATTACAGTGACGTATGCTACACAGCCAGCTTTACCTCATGGCTCACCTCAAGATAAGGTATTCTACATAGGTTATTTCTTATAGTCCTTCGGAGGGACAAAAAATAAAATACTGCAAATTAAAAACCCCAAATGGTTAACATGTGTGCGTTGCATCATAAGTTCTGTTATTAAGTCGATTGCCCGGTTGTACATGACAAGGTGTAGGGTTGTCTGTCCAACCTCGTGGGTTTTTGTCTGTGTCCTCCTGTATCCACCCACTGCTATAGACACCTACATGCAAGGAAAAAATTGAAATAAAATTGAACCGTATGTTAGTCCAAAAATGACCTGATTTGTGTTGAGTGGATTTTATATATGTTTTATTGTATATTTGATTAGATCCATTGTGTGAGTACCACGAGTGATGAAGATTATTTGGCTACATCAACATTAGATGGTAATATAGTTGTCTGGGACATCACTCGAGTTCTAAAGGTATGTATGTCCACGATATTTTACTAATTATGTTCCTGATAAAATTTAATATCTAGACATGGGCCATTAAATATAAAGTCCAGTTTTCACTTTTTAGAGATGTCACCTGAGGCTAACAAGCTAGTTTCCACTTGTAGGGATGGCATGTGGAGTGAACAACCCAGTATCACTTGTTAGTGTTGGCCTGTGGGGTGAACAACCCAGTTCCACTTTTTAAGGATGACCTGTGGGGTGAACAACCCAGTTTCACTTGTTAGGGATGGTCTGTGGGGTGAACAACCCAGTTTCACTTGTAGGGATGGCCTGTGGGGCGAACAATCAAGTTCCACTTGTTAGGGATGGCCTGTGGGCAAACAACCCAGTTCCACTTGTTAGGGATGGCCTGTGGGGCAAACAACCCAGTTCCAAGGAGATTGTTGCATAGTCGTTTGGATAGTACAAAAAATTCCAGATTTATTATTATTATTATTAAAGACCCCTATGCACATGCAAATAATTGAAATAAAATTGACCAATATGTTAGCCCCAAAATGACCTGAACTGGATGTTAAAGCCTCTCTCTCTCTCTCTCTCTCTCTCTCTCTCTCTCAGTCTCTCTCTCTCTCTCAGTAATATATATTTTGTGTTGGTTTTATTTTTTAGAAACATTGTCAGTTTAACTTAGATCCACAGAAAGTTAGTAATAAAACAAACTGTTGGTTAGAACGAAATAAAAAACCTTCATCAACTATTACAGATTCAGCAGTAGGCTCACACAGGTAAAATCTTAAATAGGTCACAATTCTATGGAATACAATTACTGCTTTTTACTGAGCGAGGTTTCAACTAGGCTTCTCTAGTCATTATCAAGCAATGATAAGGTGTGAAAATATAACAAGTTATATTTATAGCAAGGCTTTCATTAGTTAACAGGTATAAACATTGAAGCTGTAGGCCGAGATGTTAAACCTGTTAACAAATAAGGAGTGCTAAAAATGACTTGTAACATTGAAACCTGCTCAACATGCTTGTTGTTATTTCACAGAAAACCCACCCCACTTCTCTATATGAGTTCTACTAAAACTAGTGTAAACCAGCAAAAGTGTGCAATAACATTGAACATGTCTAGTTATTGCACGGTTAAGCTCCACCCAATCTACTAGAGGGAAAACAATCTGCTTATTCAACGAAAAGAACAAAGGAAGATTTCCCATCCATGTTACAAGTCAATATACATGTACACAATAATACTTAGTTAATGCTGACAAGATTTTTACTGCTTAGATTTTATCATTGGTTGAAAAAGACTAGAGACATCGCTCAGTTATAATCAATATTCCATAGCATTGTCACCTGTATATGTCATTAAAACAAGGTAAAGTCTTAGTTTTCTCTTTAAGCCTCATTTCATTCTGTTGATTGAAAGCAGGGGACTATTAGATTAGGTTCGTCTGTCACCACTTTTGGAAAACAATGAATCTGCTTTATTTGAGGTGTAGTTGTTCGTTAGGTGAATGCCTTGACTTGAGTTTGATGATGAACATTTTCTTTTTAAGTTAAACGGCTGTCCTAAGTTCCGTCTATCGCAGCTTTTGGACTATTTTTACGAAACAATAATTCTCCTAATTGAGGTAGAATGTTCAAACACGGTGTAGATGTTCAAGGATAAATGCCTTATTTAAATTCTGTGATTAATATTTTCTGCTTTGGCTAAGCGTGTGTCTGTAGATCACAACTTTTGAAACATGATCACTCTGCTTCTAATCGAGCTTAAATGTTCAAACATGAAAAGATATTTATTATTTGAATGTCTTGAATGGGTACATGGATGAAATTTTACAACACAATAACTGTGCTTCTAATTGAGGGGAAGTGACAAAATTTGTTTTCTGTAAATGGGGAATGGCCAAATGGTTAGCATGTGCGCGCTGTATCATAAGGTCTGTCATTGAGTCAACTCCCGTGGTTTCGATTCCCCAGTTGTACGTGAGAAGGATTAGGGTCGCCAGTCCAATCACGTGGTTTTTTCCTGGGGTCCTCCGGTTTCCTCCCACTGCTAAAGACCCCTACGCGCAAGCAAATTATTGAAATAAAATTAAACCATATGTTAGTCCCCAAATGACCTAGTTTGATATATATTTTACAGTAGTTTAACATCAGAAGATAGTTATGGTAATAGTTGTTCATCAGATACAGAAACAACATTACCAGATGAATATACAGACAGAGGTAATATACAGACATCATTTATATCGTATTAGCCTAGAAAGATTTCCCCTTGTCAGTAGGCCATAGTGCCGCAGCCCGGGCAAAATTTCTCCCATAGCACACTGTATAGTATATTGCCCATCTTCATTATCCCAGTTGGAGCAGAACAGTAGGACTTTAAAGGACAATATTGGTGTCAGTCATTATCACATATGTGATAAAACTAATTAAACACGTTCCAAATATAATTTTAACACAGTGATCATTGCTACGATAGATGCGAAGTGAAGGTTTCTACAAAAGAAAGTGACGAATTCAAAAGGAAAACACAAGTTATCCTTCTATATAACTGACTGAAGTGAAGAGTGATAACTGATACAGGGGCAAATTTCTGCTCACTAATAATTCCTTCGAAGACCAAAAGTTGTTATATGAGACTGTGTGAGGATATCTGACAATTCAATAAAATAATTGACTGACACTAGACAGAAAAATAGAAGAAGTCCATGCATTACCATGTTTTTATAGAATGAATAAAACAAGGGAATGTATGGGCTATTTCTGTTTTTTCTATTTGGCTAATAAACTAACTGGGGATTTTCCATTGTTAATGTTGTTTTATGGAGAACCTGGCAAGGAACAGCATTTAGTTGCTGACCAATCTCTTGGGTTTCTCCAGGTCATCCGGTTACCTCTCACATTGAAATGAGATGTACGATATGCTAGTGCCAAAATGACCGAGAAAATGATAAATCAAATGTCCTCGAACTTAGAAATACAGGTCCGTTATCAACCTTATGATTTTTTCTCGCCATTTTTTTTTTTTAGATTTGACGTCCATTCAAAGATCTCGTCCATCCAATGATGTTCAAGTGACGTCACTATGTGTCGTCAGTAAAAATAAAGATTTGGCACCGACGTCACATGCCAAACATCCCCCTGTATTGTTCTGTGGCGTGTTGCTTCGTGGTATTAACAATGAGATAGACGATGAAACAGGAAGTGATGGAAGAAATGATGATGTTCAGTTACTAAATAAAGTAAATCGTGAAGTTAGTAGTGAAGCTCAGATTATATCGGAACTAGGTGGTGATTATCAGGGTCAAGCAGCATGTGATTCTTTTCCACAGTTATTAGTGGTATCAGCCGATAAACCAATTATTCGCAAGGATGTTAAAACATTTGACAAGATCAGTAAACCCACTATGAATGGTGAGGTGGGAATTATCCCCCCTGTTCCTAATCATTCAGTGCCTTCTGATTGGTCAGTATTTTTAGAAGATGAACCTTGGCCTGACCCTGATGTTCAGATCGTTGGTTTCACACCTCCACCACTACAAGTGGGTCCTATAGGTAATCACATTCCAGGATCACCGAGTAATAGCGAGCCTGATTCGGACATTAACACCAACAGTGGTGTAAAAGGTTCTGCTCTGTCGGGAACGTCAAATAAACCCGATATCTTGTGTGATAACTTCGTTAAAACAAGTGTTCAAGCAGGAACCATAACTCAGTGTTTGCAACTACCCGACGGATTTAACCAGAAGGGACTGGAAGTCAAGTCTATAACACCGACGCTAGATAAACAACATGTTGTGGTAGTTATCTCCCCTTCACTTAATGTGGAAACGTATAACAGCCAATCGACCGACGTTGACAGGTCATACGGTGGAATAGTTGTATTTAAAGTTAATTATAATAATGTTTTAGTTTCTCTCGACATGACAGCGTGTGCCGAGTGGAGGGCTAATAACTCACAGGAAGTGATTAAATCCATTCTGATCCTACCACAGGAAGTGGTTGATCAGGTGGAAGAAGAGGATGTTGGGAAGGCCGTGAGAAAGGAAAGTAAACAAACGTTATTAGGACAAGTTGGTGTGATTTTAGAATCGGGAATTGTTAATATAATTAATTTATTAGATATGAATGTGTTGGCTGAAATTAAACCCAGTGAAAATGATGTCTTTCTTTCTTTAACTTATTGTACAGGTACGTAGAAACATTGTCTTTAAACCTTCAGGGGCCCCGACTCAAAACCTTTAGGGGCCAGACTCAAAACCTTCAGGGACCAGACTCAAAACCTTCAGGGGCCTGACTCAAAACCTTCAGGGGCCAGACTCAAAACCTTCAGGGGCCAGACTCAAAACCTTCAGGGGCCAGACTCCAAACCTTCAGGGGCCAGACTCAAAACCTTTGTATCTAACCCTTTAGGCATCAAATTTAAAACCTTATTCCACCCCACCACTGACATAATTTAGGTACACGATTCAAAACCTTATTCTACCCTAACACTGACATAATTTAGGTACAAGACTTGAAACCTTATTTTACCCATACTATATGTAGGTTGTTCAACCTATCCGAAGAAGTACATTAAACTAGCAATTTTCTCTGCTAACGTCAGGATCAAACCCTGTACCTCCTAGCTAATTGCTGTGGTTTCCCCATCTCAGTGGTGGAGGACAGGAGGCCTAACAAGGACAGATGTCTAGTCGTTCAGATGGGACAAAAAACCAAGGTCCCGTGTATACATTGGCTTGCACATAAAAGATTCCTTGGCAGTTGGAATTCGATAAAAGAGTAGGCATAGTGCCGCTGCCCAGGCAAATTTTCCTCATAGCACACTTTATGGCATATGCCCGTCTTCATTAGCCCAGTCGGAGCAGAACAGTAGGACGTAAAACCCCATTTCATTTCATTTTCCTAGCTAATTACATGTAGGCTTAGGTATTAGAGTAGACATTAGATATTTTACCATACCATACTATCCTGCATCGCTGACATAAGTAAGCCAGACGGGAAAATAATGTAAAACTTTCTCCCCCAACACAAAAATCAACCTGTGGACCTCCTACATGTAGTTACTGAGCCAGCATCATTAACCCAGTTAGAGCAGAACAGTAGGACACTAAACCTCATTTCATTTCATAATCTTTCACAGGCATTTAGTAACTGGATAGAGCAATAAACTATAACACATGCTTAAGGAAAACCGGCTGCATATTGATTTGGGCGACGTTTCGATGATTATTCTCTCAACATTTTAATTAGCTAGATGACGTTGAGAGAATACTCTTCGAAACGTCACCGAAATAAATCATTTCAATAATATTAGGAATCTGAACGTTAAAGATAACTAAATTATTAATTAGACATTAAATTAACTTATCCAGACCATAATCAACTCTCGATGGCATCGCTAGCCTACAATATTTACTGGATTAGGATCCCATTTGCTGCTCAACTTTCATTCATAATTTAATCATGAAATGGATAATCGATACTATGTTTTAGTAATGATGATCAATGCTAGGCCGAAAATTCAATCACTAAATTCTCGGTTAAGATTGGATCAAATTGACTGAAATTTTCATCTAATTCCTTTTACATTATCTAGTTTTGAACTATTATAGTGAGAACTGTCAACTCGTTATTTTTAATTGTTATAAAATATATTTCTAGGTATTGAGAGGTTGTGTGCTTGTACCCGATCAGGTAAATTACATTTTTATCAAATAAGTGAACAAAGTAGTCATGATATACCAGACGGATGTGTCAATAAATTTAGCACTAGAAGTATAAAAGAGGATGAGACACAGTTGTCCAGTAAACCAATAGAAGATGCAGCAGATGGCTGTTTGTCTTCATCTACCAAATCTCCTTTAAGTAAGTTTAAATATTTCTTTATCTACCAGGGGTTTAGGTGACCGAATAGTTAGCGCATGCACGCTGTATCATAAGGTTTGTCATTGAGTCAACTGGCGGGGTTTTGATTCCCTGGTTGTATATGTACGTGACAAGGAGTAGGATCGCCTGTGAATCTATATTTCATTTTTTTTTTTTTATACTTTCAATGGCCTCTACTACATGAAGATCTGACCGGTTGTAGTGGGAGGTCGTGTCAGGTCATACCAGTGGCTTTTGACCCTATGACGTCAGACATTCATTAATCAATCAGCGTTGATGTTTCTAGTGGGTTATCCACAGTTCACCGCTTGTGTCTCAATCGCCAGAGTCATTAAGATACATGTATGAAATATAATTATATCTGTGAATCCGGCAGTTTGAGGTCACGGGAACAGTAGTGGTTTCGACAAATGGGCTTTAAACCCCAGTCTTATGAAAGATCGCTTTTTTTTTTCGGGAAGCTGGGGTGGTCAATACATTTCCAGATGAAGAATGTTTTCTTAAAGTTTTGAATGAATTTATTTCAGACGTTGAACTGTTAACCAAGAAACCTTTAACACCAGAGAATTTATCTGTTTTACGAGGTCTGACATTATTTGAGAATCTGATGCCAAGATATACAGCAACAGTTCCACCATGTTGGACAGAAATACAACAGGAACAACAACAGAGGCGACACCCACAACATTTACAACAACAAGGGGAGGCAACTCAACATACACGAACATGGAAATTAGCATCTGATAAGTATGTGAATCCATTGATATCGCCCGTTTGTGTGTACTCCGTTTTTAAATTAACATCCTGTACAATCTACAGGCCATCAGGCATCTACAATATGTCCGTACATTAATAGGGAGGTTGGATAGCCGAATAGTTAGTGCGTACGCGTTGTCTCATAAGGTCTGTCGTTATTGAGTCAACTGGCATGATTTCGATTCCCCAGGTGTATGTGACAAGGAGTAGGGTCGCCTGGCCAATTTTTTGTGTGTTCAGGGTAGATCAACTTCTCAGTGTTATACATGTAACACTAATTCTTTTTTTTTTTGGTTATTCCATTTTTTATTAAAAAAAAATATATATTACTTTTATTTTTTTTGTAATTTAATTTTTTAAGAAAAATATATTTTTTTGTATTTTTTTATTTCTCTTCAGTTCTACGTGGGATGAACATATGTTTGAAGTTGTTTTACCGAAACCTTGCTGTGTCGGACATGTTGATATCAAATTCTCTCTTCAAAATATGTGTGCTTCTCAACCGAACATAGAAATAACTCTTTTACGGCAGAACATCGGCAATATACACAAACAAGCACAAGATGGTCCTGCCGAGTCGAGTAAATCAACTCCCGATGTTAAAGCCAAGGGCAGTAACTCTGATAAAATGTTTAATCCTGTGATATCAAGGGCGTTTTTGGAAAGCCTAAATGCGGAAATTTTGTGTGGTCCTGTAAAATTATCAAACTGTTTGGATTTATCGGGAAATACCGGAATTGTGTCTCTTACCAGTCCCCAGCTCCTGAATTCAAAACCCCGATCCTTGTTAATACATTTAAAGGGATTTCCAAACAAACCTTCGGATAATAAAGATCCTGTCAAGTCAAAGGTTAGTATCAATATCAGTATCATGGTAACATTACATATACATGTAATGGCCGACTTGGAATCCAGGGTATCAAAATGGCCAACTTTTGGGTCCTGCGGTTTCCTCCCACTGCTAAAGACCCCTACGCGCAAGCAAATTATTGAAATAAAAATAAACCATATGTTAGTCCTGAAATGACCTAGTTTGAGTCGGCTTTTGATTAAATAATCTGTGTTGGTGTTTCTAGAGAGTTACCCACAGTTCTGTGCACCGCACGCCAAAAACTGACTGCAACAGACCGTTTCATTGGCTAGTCCCTCACATCAACTCTTTCAGATCCTAGTGTAGTGCAGACAAGTAAAACAGAATTTTGAACTGTAAAAAACGAAACTAAATAGGATCTGTAGTTTACAAGGGATTCAAAAATCCCTCAAATGATTAGTAGGGGCTTTAAGGATTCATGATTTTAGATTTATAATTTTTTTTTATATTTGTTTTTTTTTAATATTTCAGGACAACAAACGTAAAGCTACTCCGTCAAGTAGTTCCAGCTCTGATAAATTAAAATCCAAAACAATCAAATCACTTTTTGAAAATGTTCCGTTCATGAATGGTGCCAGCGCCACAGAACGATTGGCTGCCACGGCACCCAATAAAAAACCATTAGATTTGAAAGGATGTGATTGGCTGGAAGAGCTGTCGATCACTGTACGTAAGATGAAACCTACGAGCGTAGCAAGGGAGAGAACTCAGCGTAATTCTATGATAGATTTACAGAGTTTTCACGAGAAGTTATTGAAGTTGGTTAGTGGCACAAGTGAAGAAGATCTGTGTTCCGCTGGACTAGAGCATGTTATAAATATGTCGTTGGATATTTTATCGTGGATCGTTGCCATACAGATGAATGATCCATGTAAAAGGTAAATCTAGAAATTTAAAGACTCTCATTCTAGGCTAAGCCCTGAAAGATACATCCCCACGCACGGCAGTATTTATAGAGTAGTTATATCCAATAAAAGTAGGGCAAATTTGGTGTCTATGGAACTAGAAAAAAACTAGATTTTCTGAAAAAATGGTGTACAGATGCATTCCTACGGCAGTTATAGGGTGGATATTTCCAATAAGAGTCAAGCAAATTTGGCCTGTCCAACTTTGTGGGGTTTTTCCACATTCATTTCTTTTCTTTGTATATAATCAATGGAATTGAGACATTTTTCGGGCTTTCGATTCCCCGATTGTACGTGACAAGGAGTAGGGTCGCCTGTCCAACCTCATGGGTTCCCCCGAGCCCTCCGGTTTCCTCCAACTGCTAAAGACCCCTACACACAAGCAAATTATTTAAATAAATTGGAACCATGTGTTAGTCCCGAAATTACCTATTTTTTTTCAAGTGGACATTAAACCCCATTTGTTTTTCTCTTTCTTTATATGCATCAGTAACTATTACAAATATTAGTGTTTTTGTCATTAGAATGATATTTTTATTTTGTTATGAGACGGTTGTATTATTTTATCAGAATAATATTTATATTTTGTTTCAGGACTGGTGACCATTGTATCGTTTTATCTACAGAAAAATATTTACGTGGTATAATTAAAACTTGTATATATTTTGTTTCAGGACTGGTGACCGTTGTATCGTTCTATCTACAGAGAAATATTTACGTGGTATAATTAAAACTTGTATTATCGAGGGTACCAGAACAACTGCTCATAAATGTTCAGCCATGTTAGCTATTAGTATTGAGTAAGTCAGTTTTTTAATTGCTTAAAAATGTGATCTTTTGGTGCAGGTGGTCAATTTGTCTGAAGCACTGCATTGCCGATGACTAATGTGTCATCTATGCAAGCAGTGAGTTCAGTGTCAGTACCTAGTTTGTGTCGAGTCCAGGCTTTCCAGCTTACTGCTAAAGGGGCCTGGGTAATCTAACAGTAAGGGCAAGTAACTCTTAACTAGAATGTGTCGGGTTAGAATGCTGGAGTAGGATGACAAAAATCTCTCCAGGTTCCCACTAGTCACGTAGTTCTCAATTAAAGTGTGAGCCATGGTGGCTCAGTAGGTAAGATGTTGGCTCGCTAACCTGGAGCTCCCATGTTCAATCTCTGTTGGCCGAGAAAGTTCATCAGGATTTTTTTCTGACGTGGTTCCCTCCTTTTAGGCCTTGGCATAGTCCTTCGGATGGCACAGAAAACCAATGTCCCATGTACACATTGGCATGCATGTTACAGATTCCTTGACAGTTGGAATTGGATATAAGAGTAGGCTGTAGACCTGCCCGGGCAAAATTTCCCTCATAGCACACTGTATGATGTATGCCTATCTTCATTAGCCCAGTTGGAGCAGAACAGTAGGACGTTAAACCCCTATTTCGTTTCATTTCTAAGTTAAAGTTTGTTTATTTGTTTTTCAGATATGCAAAAGTTTCTACTGACATTGATATGGCACCAAACTTCAGTTATCAATTACTCCAGGCGATGTTGGATTGTCTGCCCCTGGTGGCGTGTACGTCATCAAGTGGCGCCATGCAGTGGTTCTTTACTCTATTCAACCATGTTAAATGTATGGACGTGGCAACTGTATCAAAAAAATGTATGGAGATTCTTACAGCTGTAGCTAAATTATATGCAGAAAGGGCATCGCCCCTTCATAATCTCTTAAAAACAAGGTTTGTTGTCATTTATTTATATCATCCTCGGAATGTTAAACCCCTGTCCATTTCCTTTATTTCTTTAGCTGTTCTTATTAGTCAAGTATTTAGGTTTGTGGACACGGTCGATTAAAATGGGCTGTCTGTCTCACAATCTTGGACTCTATTAACCAGATTCCCTTGTCAACAGCAAACAGTCAACTAATCGGTCAAATTCCTACTCTATTCAAGATACGCCGAAAGCAGCTAAATCGCCCAAGCAGTCGATAAGAGTGATTGCATAATTATTCTATTGGAAGTAATGCGAGCATTTACAAAACATTGATATCAATTTCATACAGATTGAATGATAACTTTTGTCGTTAAAGCATTCTCAAGGTTAAAAAATGTGAAACAAGGACCATAACTGTAGAAGTTATTAACAGAAATTGTTGAAATTCCATAGGCTTCTTCATTTTACTAATCTAAATAATGTATATAAATTTCAAAACGATCAGATGGTAAATGTATTCTGTTGAGAGTTTACAAGAAATTGTAGATGACGGACGGAGGCGATGGTATTATACGACCACATTTCTATGTGGTAGTATAAAAAGAAGTTGTCTTTAGCGAATTCTACTGAAAACTACTAATCCATTTTCTGGATTTAGAATATTTTCTGATAAACATTAAAAATAATACATTCTGAAATTACGATTGGTTTACCTGTTTTATTATCAGGTATGGTTTATACGGTCATCCCTTTGATCCTGATCTCTTTGATGTCGAACTTCCGGCTAATTTACGTCAAGGTACACAGGCGTCAACTTACGCCAATGTTATCAAAGGTACAGCCTCGACTTCAACCAATACTATGCCAGCTGCAAGTACAACAACAGAACCTGATATTTACGAAATGTTATCTTTACAAGCCGACAAAACCAGCACAAAAAATCAAAATGATTTCTCCCGTAACCATAACAGCAGTAGCATGTTGGGATTGTTAGAAGTTGAACCACTGCATTTCACTTGTCATTCAACTAGTGACGGCACTAGGATAGAACGGCTTGATGCCAAGGGTAGTACGACAGTTTCCACAACGGTTCCATTCGGAGTTTCAGGAACAATAAACTTCGGTGAAATTCCTCCTACCGTTGTTATTGGAGGGGGTGGAGCCATGTCAGCCATGACAGGTAATGCAGTAGCTGATTCGTTAAAGAAACTTGCTCAGATGTACGCAAAACAACTGCATCAACCAACTTACAGTACCCAATTAGAAGCTGCTATCTGTGAAGCCATCAACACAAAGCCATGTCCCTTTCCTTCTACCCCCGATTTATTCCCACCAACCCCTAAATCAACCCCTCAACAGATGACCCCATCCGCCACACCCCCAAATGAAACATGGCATCTTCAAGCAGGTGGGCTATCAAAGGTAAATATGATTTGTGTTTTATTTATTTATTTTTTAAAATCAGATTTAGATTTATTGGTGAAGAAACTCTTCAAGTCACACGTCATCATTTGTTTATTCATGTAGATACTCAAATTTATTATTTGATATTTAATTAAACATACATTATGTAAAAGGTAAATCTGCCTATTGCAGCTCTTTATTTAGGCCTTAAATATTATATAAACTATAGTTATACATTAACTAACTTATCTAGACCATAATCAACTCTCGTATTAATTAGACTTTTATTAACATGACAAGACAATAATCAACTCTCGATGCCACCGGATGGCTCTGATTTTAAGTAGATTAGAATGGTCGGCCATTTAATGATTTATTTTAAAAATGGAGGACAGGGGCTAAGACTCATTATGTCCCTTGAAATTTATGAAATGTATGATTTAGATTCTATAAATTTTTACCAAATAATATTAGAAACTAAAATAATATTGAAGTTAATATTTGTTTGTTATTTAGCCTGGTGTTGGTGTTATTGATGAAACGAAACAGTTAGGAAGTAGTGGAGTACCACAATCAGTTGGTCAACAGGGTGATAAAACATATATTATACCACAAACACCAGCTATGTTACAATTACCTACACCACAAGTACTAGTCATAGAGAGAATGCATTCAGGTATATCCATATATTACATCCACGTCTGGATCTCATTAAAACAAAGATCCTTTATTATAGTTCAAAATTTCGTTTTATTTGTCTTTAATACACTAGAATCTGTTACCGCGAGTTTTTGGCGTGTTTTGCACGGAACTGTTGGTAACCCACTAGAAACATCAACACTGATTGGTTAATCAAATGTCTGATGTCATAGTGTCAAAAGAAGCCTGTATGACCTCTGACGCGAACCTTCCACTACAATTGGTCTGATCTTTATGTAGTAAAGGCCATCAAGGTATAAAAAAAATGAAATATAGATTTGTATTTTAATCAGATTGTATTTTGACCAAATAAAATCGGCACCACCGGACATGATGTCCCAGACATGCATTTAAATAACGGGAGTTGGATGACCAAATGGTTAATGCATGCACATTGCATCATAAGGTCTGTCATTGAGTCAAGTGGCATGGTTTCGATTCCTGCTTGTATGTGATTAGCAGTAGGGTCACCTGTCCAACGTCTTGGGTTTTATTTGGGTACTCAAGTTTCCTCTCCCTGCTAAAGACCCATATCCCAAGGCGAATTATTGAATTAAAATATAGCAGTCCCGAAACAACCTAGTTTGTTTCCAGTGAACGTTGAACCCAATTTCTCTGTCATTATTAGCAAACATATCTATAGATTAAATTCAGACCTGACATTTTGATATTCTGATTATTTTGTTTCAGGTGCGAGACGTTTTGTAACGTTAGATTTCGGTAAATCAGTATTGATAACTGATGTTGTAATACCTGCTTGTGGAGACCTGGCGTCCTTGTCTATAGATGTCTGGATACAAGGAGAAGAAATAGATGGACAGCGATTGGTTGTGGCATCAGATATAGGAATTCGAACATTGATTATGAATAATATTATGCCACCACCTGTCTGTAGATATTTAAAGGTTTGTTAGCTGTTTTTGTTCTTAATGTCTGTATTTTAGTTCCAAATTGAGGTGGCTAAGTGGGTAAGACGCTGGCTTGCTAGCCTGGAGGTCGGGTGTTTAATCCCTGCATTGGCCGAGAAAGTTCATCCAGATTTTCTGGCGTGGTTCCCCCCGGACGAAGGGCCTGACAAGGACAGCTCTCTGGTCGTTGGGATGCGACGAAAAAACGAGGTCCCGTGCACTCATTGGCGTGTACGTAAAAGATCCCTTGGCAGTTGGAATTTGATATAAGAGTAGGCCTTTGTACCGCTGTCCGTGCAAAATTTCCCTCATAGCACACTGTATGGTGTATGCCCGTCTTCATTTGCCCAGTTAGAGCAGAACAGTAGGACGTTATAAACCAATTTCATTTCTGTTCTGTGAGTTAAATATTGTAGCTTTGTTTGGATATTTCAGATAACTACTGTTGGTCGTTACGGAGCTGGTACTACTCGCTCTCGGATTCCAATTGGTTCATTCTTTGGTCATAGTTACATATTACCATGGGAATGGAAGGAAAATAATGACAACCAGGCCGTTACCACGACAACATCAACTAGTCAACTTGAAGCTCAAAGTCAGTCGCAATTAATATCGCAGCTTGGCATGTTTATAGCTCTCCAAGAGGACTTACAGTGCCGTTATAGTCTGGCTCGTACAAGACTAGAATCATTGCTGACGGCAGTCGAGGTCGTCCAGTCTTCTACAGCACATGTACAGTATTATTTACAGAAACAGAGTAAAGACGATGATGGTGGGATTATCCAGTCTTATAATGATTGTTTACAATTACAACTTCAGTACAACCTAGCGAACAGAGCTATATCTCGTCTACAACACGCTGTTGGAATCAAAACAGGAAGTTACGACCAAACGGCAAGTCTTGCTTATCATCTGAGAGAAGCATCGACAGATAAATTACGAGTGATGCTGGAGAGTCTTCTCGACACGCTGTTAAGCATCACATCGTTATCTCCAACTATCCCACAACCCCCTGCAACACTGTATACATCGTTAACACCCCAGACAACGGAATTGTTGTTTAAGAATTTGTGTTTGTTGGGTACGAGGAGGATGCAAGTAACAGCTGGACTCGTGTTGGTTCGAATATGTGGCAGTCAGCCGTGGTGGGGTGGTTTCCTTGGTAACATGTTACAAGAATTGTTTAGTTCCACCAATACAGCCGTATTTCCTCAAGACAGGTGAGATAATATTTCTTTGTGGATTCTGGGGCTTCAGCCGGTGATTAATTCGCTATCTTACTGACTAGGTTCAATCCTGGCCGGGGAAAGTTTTTTCGGATTTTCAAGCATGGTTTCCCCTTTGTACTGCTTGGGGGGTCTGTCATTGAGTCAGCTGGGGTGGCTTTGATTTCCCGCTTGTACTTGACAAGGAGTAGGGTCGTCTGCCCAATCTTGTAGTTTTTCTCTGGGTCCCCGGTTTCCTCTCACTGATAAAAGACCCCTACATGCAAGCAAATTATTGAAATTAAATTGAACAATATGTTAGTCCCAAAATGACATAGTTTGTGTCGAGTGGACGTTAAACACCATTTGATGCAGAACAGTAGAATGTTTCATGTTCAGCATCGCAAATTTAAACTTGACATGTTTTAAAGCAAATTTTTAGAACAGGCAATAATTTTGGCAGGAAATCAGTTTGTTATAGAAAAGATGGCGTATTTTAAAATATAAATTGAAATATAATAGCAACTGTTATCTATGTTTGTGTTTCAGGGTATTTGTATTGTTGAGTGCGTTAGGACAGCGAGCATTATCCGGACCATCATCAGGATATATCATGGAGAGTTTATTAGCGATGTTATCTCAAGTTCTCTCGCCTTTATCTCAACAAAATACAGCAGACGGTGGACATTCTACAACAGGTAAACATGTTACACCATCCCATGAAATCCAATCCTTATCACCACCCCTGATATCAAGTCCTCATCACCACCCCTGATATCCAGTCTTACAACCCCCGATATCTAGTCTTCATCACCACCCCCTGATATCAAGTCCTCATCACCACCCCTGATATCAAGTCCTCATCATCACCCCAGATATCAAGTCCTCATCATCACCCCTGATATACAGTCCTCATCCTAACCCCTGATATGAATAATGGGGAGGGGCAGGGCTGGACATTATCTATTCTTTAGTTTCCCAATCAAGTGACACAGAATGGGTTTATGTCAGATTTCTATTAGTCCCGATAACAGATATCATGTATGTTGAACTGTGACATAATTAACGATGGCTTAAAGCTTTCGGTTGTTGACCCTTTCTTTCACACTGTATTAAGAGAATTCATTTTGGAAACTAAGGTCTTGTGTATAGTAAGATCCCTCGGTAAATGAAATGGTACCCTGGCCAAATTATCCCTTTTCTGTTGTACTTATCTCAAATTGGCCAAATTAAAATTTTTAACCCAAAGTAGCTGTGACTAAGATGTGACTCACTGTCTTTTTATCAGTAAAGCTCAGATGTGGGTTGCATGTCGATAAACTCCATTCCTTCATTAGCCCAATTGGAGCAGAAAAGTTAGACGTTAAGCTCAGTTTCATTTCCATTCTTTGTTTTTTGTTGTGATAAAATGATTGGTTGTGTTTCAGGTCCTCTAGACGTTTCATTGGTCAGTTGGATATTGCTGTTTTTATGTCGTAATTTTGATGGTTCATCAGGGGAAGATACGGACAAGAACAGAAAAGATAATAGTACGTCCTACTTCATCACTCAATAAATCAATAGTGCTGACATTTTGTTTTAATTTAATCCAGCGCCATACAGGATGGCAAGGAACAGCGCCAAGTTGTTCTGAAAAGAAGGGGGGTGGGGTGGATGGCCGAATGATTAGCATGTGTGCCCTGTATCATAAGCTCTGTCATTGAGTCAACTGGCGTGGTTTCAAATCCCTGGTTGTACATGACAAGGAGTAGGGTCGCCTGTTCAACCTCGTGGGTTTTCTCCAATTCCTCTGGTGTCCTCCCACTGCTAAAGACCCCTACCCGCAAGCTGTCTAGTCCTTTGGAAGGGAAAAGAAAAAGGTCCCACGTACACATTGGAGTACACGTAAAAGATCCCTGGAAAGTTGGAATTCGATATGAGAGCAGTGCATAGCGCCGCTGTCCTGACAAAAGTTCCCTCATACCACACTGTATGGCGTATGCCCGTCTTCATTATCCCAGTTGGAGCATAACAGTAGGATGTTCAACCCCATTTCATTTTATATAAGCCAGGCCTTTGATAAGAGTCTCAGCAACAGATTTTTCCCCAACACTTACAGGTGGCACTGCAGAGGATTCCGATTGTTGCAAAATTCAACTTTAATCATTTTGTAGTTTTTAAGGGATACAAAATCCCTCAAAAGACGTTCAATGGCTTTAAATCAAACTATGTTTTTACCTACAGGTTCCTGTCTGACCAATCGCTGGGCATTTATACACGGTCACTGGTCGTCAACATCAACAAAAACTAAAGTTAAATCCAGTCGAATCTATCGTCGTAGCAACCAGAAACTTCTACTGCATCATAAACAGAAATTACTGGAGTTCGAACTAACGAAGAAGAAATTATCAGAGAGTAGTAAGGAAGCTCAAGCTCTATTAAAACATAAAGAATCACAGTTTAGAAAGGAAGTGTCACAATATACATCTAAGGTACGGAAACTTTCTCTTATATTGATTCGGTGATTCAGTAAGTCAGGTCCTGGTTTAGCTTGTAAAGTACCAAAGGTTCTCCTCGGTTGATCCCTTGTATCTTGGTATCCCTTTTGCTGTCAATTAAAACACCCTCTCTCCTCATATCTGTCTCTTTCCCTCTCCCTCCCTTGGTATCCCTTTCTCTCAATCAATATTATTTTAAAACTCCCTCTCTCTCTCTCAATGCTATATTAAAACTCCTTCTCTCCAACCCTCCCTCGATCCCCTCCCTCGAACCATTAAAACAAACACTAAATTGGCTCAGTGAGTAAGGTTCTGGGTGCTAAACACAAGGTCTCCGATTCGCTCCCAGTGTTGGTCGAGTGAGTAAGTTCCTCAGGATTTTCGACCGTAGTTTCCCCTTGTCAGTGACGCAGTAGGGAGGGCCTGAGGAGGAAAAGTGTCTAGTTGTTTGGATGGGATGAAAAAGAGATCAAGTGTGCACATTAAAGTGCACGTAAAAGAACCCTTAACAGTTGCTGTCAGAGCAATATTTCCCTCATAGCACACTGTATGTCGTTTTGCAATCTTGCTTAGTCCAATCGGTGCAGAACAATCTGACGTTAAACACCCCATTTGATTTTTTTAATTAGGCTTTGTGTTGACTAGTTGATAATCGTAAAATTTTCTGATGAAATCTTACAAAGTTGACAATTTTTTCTCCAATACTTGCATGATTTCATGTTAAAAGCAAAAACATTTATTTTATTTTTTTCCATAGCATTTGAAAGATTTGATCCATATGAGGAGAACGGACATGGAGATATTACGTAAAATGCCGAAGGATAGCTCTAGTGGAGTTTGGACGTCAGCTAAAGATGATGATCTAGAAATGGAAGGTCTTGTTTTACCACGAGAGAAATGTTTGTCGGTGGTACATGGTTTAATGGCGTTGTTACTCGGACTAGATTCTACTTGTCACTCGGATTTATTCGTTGTTGCTGCAAAGGTTCGTAGAATTTATTTCTAAACTATATCTAGGGTTATTCGATTGTCACTCCTGAACGTCGGAATTGAATCCTGAGAAATCGGGGTTGATTGAAATTGGCGGAGTGCATAGTGACAACGTAGACGATGCACTCTCGACGAAGTCGTGAATGACGTCTTGCTGACCAACACGTGGACAATTTCGAGGCAGATGATACGCATAATTTGGTTCCAGTTACTTGATAATGATAGTAGTCAGGACAGTGATTGGTATTATAAAGTGTGTGATTTGTTGCGCGAAGTTCCGCCCACGGCTAGCTATGTCTCCCGTGCATGATGAACAAGCCCAATGTGAACACGATAGCCCTGTGTCTGCAGTAGATCTGACAATAATTCTGATGTTGATAATAATGCTGGCCTGTTGGATCGTAAAAGACGTAGGCAATTCCTGAGTTCCGAACGTGTAGATCTATTGACTGACTATATTGATAATGATATGGGACTTGGGGATGAAAGTGAAAGTAAAAACAAGGTATTGCAATGCGCACGTGGTCATGGCAGTGGGAGACGTGATGCGCGTGTTCGTGGTGGCATTGCTCATGGCTGCTATTGATATTTTTGTTCATATCATATATCTTTATCAAAATCCAGTGAAAAAAACAATATCACATAAGTATTTCATGGAGAAAAATTCGTTTTCGTGTTAGCTTTAGTGAGAAATGAGAAATCCAAAATGGCCGCCATGACGTCACGTGACTACATTATTATGCAAATTTCCAAAATTCTATTTTTTCCTCTTAGCTCAAACTCATGCCTATCCCAACAGACAAAAAGATTTTTCATAAAAGCTTCCATAAGTACTGCTTGGCATTCAGTTCCAACCTCCCTTTTTTCCTCAAAAAAGGGTCTAGCACAGGCAGTGGATTTACGTCTAGCATTGAAAGGGTTAAGTCCCCCTTCGCAAAAACAAATTATTGAAATAAAATAAAACCACATGTTAGTCCCAAAATGACCTAGTTTGTGTTGAATGCATGTTAAACCCCATTTTTCTGTCTTTATGATTTTAATATTTAATTTTTTTTATAGGTTCTGGCCAGAATATGTAACGTAACACGACCAGCAATTACTCTGGCAGAAGCAATGAGCCAGGATCAATTAGAACGATTAATTCTATTGGCTGCCAATCAAGAATATCATGGTAACCTGACATGGGGAGGTCCGTGGGCTAGTCATGCTATTATGTGTCTGCTACAAGATATACTGGATGGTGAGATTCAGTTATTTTTATTTATTAATTAATTTAGCGGAGGTTTGATTATCTGTATGCCCACTTCATTAAACCAATTAACCACATTTCACTCCATTGTGCCAACCCCAAGCCTGTGTACGACCAGAGTCAACTGTCCAACCTCGTGGGTTTTCTTCAGGTACTCTGGTTTCCTCCCACTGCTAAAGACCCCTAATCACAAGCGAATTATTTAAAGGCTCAATACCACTCTTGTTGTAACTGAATAATATGTCCCAATCTTTATTCTGGTCAACAAATTGTACTATTTTAGAATATTTCAATTAATTGATGATACAAATTTCATCTTAACACACCTTATTTAAAAATTTTGAAAAATTCAACATAATGGTTTGAAATGTCTAACGTAAACCTTTTCAAATGAAACTTCAATTTAAAAATATTTTCGAACCTTCTGGACAAGTAAAATAGGATGTAATGGATAATTTACACAACAGGTAGGACACTTAAACATCTAGTACATTGTACTTAGATAGAGATATTATTTATTTTCTGGAGCTTTCAAGCCAGCAAGAGTGTTATTGTCCCTTTAAATAAAATTGAGCCATAGGTTTGTCCCGATATGACTTAGTTTGTGTCATGTGAACTCTCTCATTTGAACTGAAGGCCTTGGTAGTTTTCAGGGGCGTTGGCTCGCTAACCAGGATGTTTGATCCCACGTTAAACTCAGTTACTCTCTCAATTCCAATCTACACTAATATTTGTGACTTTTGTTTGTGTTTCTGTTCAGGGTTGGCGGCTACATTAGGGCTGTCGAGCAGCTAAAATTTGGTGTATAGGCGTAGCTCGGACTAGGGAGTAACATGGACCAAGTGGTGTTGGACTTCCGGTTTCAGAGTTATACTACTTCTGTTTCATGGCTGGCTATACCGTGTGCTACGCCGGGTCAATCGCTATGTTTTAAATAGAAGAAATGATATTTTAATGTAATAATAAATATATTTTGTAGGAGAAAGATTGTATCCAAGTATGATGAGAAGTATGACAGAAGATGACGTGACAGTGACAGAGACAGATGACAGTTTGGCACAGAGTGTCAGTTTACCTACATTTGATGACAGTAATGGTGATTCGTCCGGTGAGTGCGATAAAAAAAAGATCAGGATTCGAATCTCGTTGTGGGTCAGGAAGGGCCTTGCCAGATTTTTCAAGCCAAACATTCACCAGTGACACTGTCGAGGCTGGCAAACTGCGTAAATAAATGTTCCCATGTAATAAATACATCAAACACTGGTGCCTTTAAAGCTGGCAAAAAATGTACCTAGTTGTTCGGATCGTACAAAAAAACACAACCTTTGGCGACCACATAACACAATCATCGGAAGTTGGAAATCAAAGGTGGACACCCTACTGTCCAGGCAAGCTTCTCCTATCTTGAATTTCATGCATATACATGGAAATATAAATTACGATATTTTAGTCTCAAAATGCTGGGAATATAGTGTTGACCTGTCGTCCATTGTTGACTACTCATGTTGTGTAGTTTAAAGGGTATGTCTAGATTAGATAATGGGCGTTGGGTTTATAACTAGTTACTTTCTCATCAGACTAATTAATTACTCAACACTGCTCTAGAAACTTAACATTCAATACAGAAACTCCTGCTAAAACAGGGGGTCACGGTGGCTAAGTGGGTAAGACGCTGGATCGCTAGTCTGGAGGTTGGGGGTTCGATCCCTGCATTGGCCGAGAAAGTTCATCCAGATTTTCCGGCATAGTACCCCCTTGTCAGTGATGCAGGACGGAGGGCCTGACAAGGACAGCTGTCTAGTCGTTTGGATGGGACAAAAAAACGAGGTCCCGTATACACATTGGCGTGCACGTAAAAGATCCCTTGGCAGTTGGAATTCGATGTAAGAGTAGGCCGTAGCGTCGCTGCCCGGGCAAAATTTCCCTCATAGCACACTGTATGGCGTATGCCTGTCTTCATTACCCCAGTTTAGGAGCAGAACAGTAGGACGTTAAACTCCATTTCATTTCATTTCCTGCTAAAACAACACAACTAAATGATAGCCAAGTTGTAGTGATATTGTTGACTACTCATTAATATTTGTTTTGTTCAAGTTTTTATCTGAGATTTTGTAATTTATTATTTTAGAAGCTGAAGGTTCACAGATTAAAGAAAATGGTGCAACGTTCGATAAAGATTCTTCTCTGATGGTCGATTTATTACTGGATGATTGTGAATTAGATGATGAAACAAACGAGAAATTACACGAATACGTTACTGGTGAATCTGTGAAACCCCCGCCAACCAATGATGGACCGTTTCAAGTTGTTTATATGAGTTCTATGGGTGGAGAAGAGACTTTGAGTAATGGACTACCAGAAGCCTTGAACTACCAGACAACGTAAGTTTATTTATAGAGTGGCAGAGGGAACAAGGTACTAGCTGACTGACCAGCAGGTCACGTGTTCGAACCCAATATTGACCAAGAAAGTAACTGATGGGAGACTGCACCACACACAAACAATTACACAAGACACAAAATGCAGAAATCACAAACAAACGTACATATCAGATCAAGTGAATGTTTCCGGGGGCTAGCCGTAAGTGTCCACTATGCTTTTTAGGTCCTGTTTCCCCTTGTCAGAGGTGCAAAACTTGAGGGCAGGGCCTGGGAAGGACAGCGGTCTTAGTCGTTCGGATGGGATGAAAAACCAAGGTCCAGTGTACAGATTGGCATTGGCATAAAAGAAACCTTGGCAGTTGGAATTGGCAGAGTAAACTGAATGTTGTGAAACTTTCATTTCATCATATGTTGTTAAATACTGGGGATGTTGGTTACCCGAATATAAAGTCTGTCTTGAGTCAAGTGGCATAGTTGCAATTCCCCGGTTGTGCGTGACAAGGAGTAGGGTCACCTGTCCAACCTCGTGGGTTTTCTCCAGGTCCTCCCGCTGTTAAAGACCCAAATGTGCAAGCGAATTAGTGAGATAAAATTGAACCATGTATAAGTCCCAAAATGAAGAATAGCCTTTATTAATCTACAGAATATTGTGATGTTTTTGTATTTCAGTAATTTTACGCCATATAAGAAACATAAAATGAAAAGTCTAACGAGCAAGAACCAGGATTATTTGAATATCCAGAAGACTAACGGTGGTTTTCAGGGTTTATCTACAGCTCTAGATTCTAGATTAGAATTAGGTCTACGAACACAAGCAGAACTAAGATTAAAGGTTTGTTATATATAACCAAGGTCCCATGATTGGTGTGCATGTAAAAGATCCCTTGGCAGTTGGAATTTGATATAAGAGTAGGTTGTAGTGCCGCTATCCAGTCCAAATTTGCCTCAAAGCACACTGTATGGCGTATGCCCGTCTTCATTAGCCCAGTTCGGAGCAGAACAGTAGGAAGTTAAACCCCATTTCATTTCATTTCGATTCCCCGGTTGTACGTGACAAGGAGTAAGGGTCACCTGTCCAACCTCGTGGGTTATCTCCGGGTTCTCCAGTTTTCTCCCACTGCTAAAGACCCCTACTTGCAAGTGAATTATTGAAATAACCTTGTTTGTGTCAAGTGGACGTTAAACCCCATTTCTCTCTCTATTACTTTAGGTACCATTGAAAGGAATATTAAACATATATTTTACGTTGTATTATTTTAGGTAATGTCGTCTGTTCAGGTGGATAATATACACAGTGCCTTTTCGTCCCCTCTCCCGCCTGCTGGCCACACCCTCTCTCATAATGTCAGCCAATCACAACACTCGACAGATGATGAACTATCAGCAGAAGCAACCAATTCTATTAATCATCAATCGGTGAGTTTTATTAACAATTTTTAATCGTGATATTTATTAATTGTATTTTATTTTCGTTACTCTCTCTATCTCCAAGCCTCGTGGGTTTTCTCCAGGCCTCCGGTTTCCTCCCACTTCTCGTCTGGATGGGACGACAAATCGAGGTCCTGTGTATACATTGGCATGCACGTAAAAAATCCCTTTGCAGTTGGAATTCGATATAAGAGTAAGCCATAGTGCCGCTGCCCGGGCAAAATTCCCCTCATAGCACACTGTATGGCAGGCGTAGCCCGTCTTCATTAGACCAGTCGAAGAAGAACAGTAGGACGTTAAACCCCATTTCATTTCATTTAATAAAATGCTTGATATACATTATTTTGTGTTTATTTAGAGAGCAACATCTCAACTGTTTGTTGTGTTTATTTCAGATGTCATCCAACGAGATGCTCAGTGAATGTTTTAATCGTTTATTCGGTCAACTGGTGACGAATCGTGTTAACTTGGAGACAGTCTTACATCATTGGCTCATTCTGAACGATGAAAGTCACGAGGAAACCAGCGGACAAACTGTTTTTAATTCTTCGCGTATTCCCACTATAACTCTGAATCCGGCATCTGTTAGTAATCTGATTGATGCAGTCGTCATGGCACCCAATCCACCAGTCAGGACGTGGGTGTTAGTTTTCCAGACATTATGTTTATTAGCCAATCAGAAAACCCCTTGTGAACCTAGTGTATCTTCTGCATCTACGACTCCACAAGAGATTTCCATGGTAACTGTGATACTAGCCAATAGTAATTTAAATCCTTTGTTAACCAAGTTTTTATCAGGAACCTCGTCTAGTGGACCGTCTGCAGCAGGAGCTCAATTTTCTCAGGTAAACTTTTGTTAAATCTGGACGCTTTCAAATTGTTATAAAAAATTTAAGTACAATGCTGTCGTATGGTGATTGGGAGATGCTAATTGTAGTCCGGTTGGGGAGGTTTGGGTGTTTCCAGAGTCCAAAATGGCTGCTTCATAGAAATTAGTATTTTTGAGGAATACTAACCCTCTCCCTAATCCTAACTCTTTTAAGAAGTGTTAAAGGTAAATGAGATCCAAGTTCAGTCTAAAAAAAGGGTTAGGGTTAGGTTAAGTATTCCCCAAAATTCCCTTTTATTTAAAGCGGCCATTTTGGACTCAAGAAACCCCCTAACCTCCCCAAACGGCCTACATTTGGCATCTCCCATGGTGATTATATCCGGGCCCGTAGCCAGGGGGTGGGCTATGGGGGGGCTTAGCCCCCAAAAAATCGAATTAGCCCCCCAAATATTTCGCCAACAATAATGATTTCTTAGGAGCGTTCTTAGCCGGCTACATCCTCAGCCCCTCCAAAAAATTCCGTAGCCCCACCAAATTTTGGCTGGCTTCGGGCCCGATTATATCTCCTCATATCCTCCATACATTGTGTTCCGATAGCACATTTCATGGGAGAGTTTCCTCCCCTTTATTAGTAGTTGGAGTCCTTTGGAGTTATCTCCTATTATGTAATCTTTTACTCTGAGACTAGGGAGTGAATGAAAAGGGTTTATGATGGACTGATTTAGACTTTAATGTAACTGGAATATCTTTCCTGAAAATGCTCCCATTACCTACAAAAGAATAAATATGCGACGACCCTTGTCGACTACTCAGGGGTTGACTGCTCGGAGGATTTAGCTGCTGTGGATGTTGCCTGGCAACCTAAATTTCCTTGTTTATTGACAACATCAATGTAAGTGAAATATTAATGTTGAATTCTTTCCTCTACATTTTGGTCCGTCTGCTGTGGGCATCTGTTTCGTTGCCTGGCAATCTATTTTTTCTGACTGAAATATTTTTTCTCTACAGGTTGGTCCATCTGCGGTGAAATCTTTCAATGAGTTTTTACGTCGTCTGCTGATTAAATCAGGAAGAGATACAGCGTTAAAGTTAAAAGAGCTGGTCCTTAAATTGATCTATATTCTAACAGCTGAAAGGTAAGGGCTTTAATAATACCTTTAAGAAGTGTTGGATGGCCGAATGGTTAGCATGTGCGCGTTGTATCATAAGGTCTGTTATTGTGTTAACTAGCGTGGTTTCGATTCCCTGGTTGTAGGTGACAAGGAGTAGGGTTGCCTGTTCAACCTCGGGGGGGTTTCCCCGGATCTTCTGGTTTACTCCCACTGCCAAAGACCCTTAAACACAAGCGAATTATTGAAATAAAATTGAACCATATGTTAGTCCCGAAATCACCTTGTTTGTGTCGAGTCGACCACGTTAAACTCCATTTCTCGCTCTCATTTCATGTCACTTTTGTTGAGATTGGGGCAATTTCGTTACAGAATGTTTAGGCGAATGACCCCCTAGCATTTATATGCTACAAGGGGAAACACCACAAGGCAGAGACAATCAAGCACCCCAATGTATTGCCAAATTAGCCAAACACAAGGAACCTGTTCACAACTGTGAAAGGAGGGCTTCTACGACAGAACAGACTTGTTTGCAATATCGCTCTCCGTGAAAGTGGACATTAAACCCAACAGAACAACGACAGAATCACATTAATTGATTAAAAATCTTTAAAATAGTATAATAAATGTTTTTCTTTCTATTTTCAGGGGTGCTTTCTACACATGTATAGGTCCTTTAGATGCTCAATGTAAATTAACAGAGTTCGCTCTCGACTTATCGTACAGTCAGGTGGACGTCAGTAACGCTATTAGTGTCATCCAATCAATTACTTGCTTAGTTCATCAACACATCATCTGTCAGGATCAAGTCGCATGTCGTAGTTCTCTTGAAACAAACATCAACGCACGGTCGTGTTTCGGGGGTCTGTTTACAAATTTATTGCGGGGAGGAGATTCCCGATCAGTTCTAGGGGAATCATCGCGAGATTTATTAATGTGCAACTTAATGAAACTGATTAATATTTTAATACAAGTTCAACTGCCGGGTCGGACTCAACCCCAACGTCATGACATCATTAGTGAACCCTTGACCCCTATACTGACCGATGCCATGTCAGATACGGACAAACTGACACAAGCCTTAGCGACGTCAACACCGATGGTGGCAATGTCAGACGACCAAAAGAGACAGCAGTCGGACGAAGGGGAGACACCTGAAGTCACAACTAGTTGTTTAGCAGATATTATTCTCGGACATCATTATATTATGCAGAATCTGATTCAGGCCTTAAGTTATTGTAGCAGTAATTCAATGGCCGTTATTTTAGGAGTTCTTCAAGAGAACTGGACAGGCAATAATCCTGTGTCGGTCGGTGATAGCGTGTATCAAATATTGATGACGTTGAATCAGAGGAGTTCAGATCCTAAACTAATGTTGCAGGCGATATTAGATTATATGTCCCGTGGTTCTGATAACCGATGGACATCACTGTGTCGTCTGTCGGAACCTTTGTTGTGGTTTATTTTAAAAGTTGTCCATTCAATCAGAACAGTCAAACTCTTCCTGGATATGGGTAAGAATTTTTATTCTTCATTGTCATTTAAGATTTGATTGATATTAACACTCTAGTCCCTCCAACTGCCCAATACTACTTCTTTCTTCCTCTAGCCCCACCCACTGCCCAATACTACTACTTCCTCTAGCCCCAGCCACTGCCCAGTACTACTACTTCTCTATCCCCTCCCACTGCCCAGTACTACTACTTCCTCTAGCCTCTCCGATTGTCCAATACTTGTTCCTCTAGCCTCTCCGATTGTCCAATACTACTGCTTCCTCTGACTGGCCAGTTCAAATTGAACCATGTGTTAATCCCTAAATAACCTAGTTAAGGTCGAGTGGATGTTAAACCCCATTTCTCTTTCTGACCTACACTATTGTGCTTGGAAACAACAAGAGAATCATTGTAGAAATGTAGCTCTGGTTAGAAATACAGTAACTGATTTCTGTAGAAGAGTTGTATTTACAATAGTCTGTAATCAGGGGAAGCTAATTATTATCTGTAATCACTTCTAAATAATGCAAGACGGAGGGTCTGACAAGGATAGCTGTCTAGCCGTTCGGATGGGACAAAAAACCGAGGTCTCGTGTACATATTGGTGTGCACGTAAAAGATCCCTTGGCAGTTGGAATTCGATATAAGAGTAGGCCGTAGTGCCGCTGCCCGGGCAAAGTTTCCCTCATAGCACACTGTATGGCGTATGACCGTCTTCATTAGCCCAGTTCGAAACAGAACAGTAGCACTTTAAACCCCATTTCATTTCATTTTCATTTCATTTCATTTCGACTTCTAAATATTTAATTAAGAATGGATATTAACAGATAGAGACATTATTTACGACATTTATTTCATCAAGCTGTTGATGTCTGGAGACAAATCTGTTTTCTTTTCTTTGTTGCATCGGTGGTCGAATCATTGAGTCATCGAGTCAACTGACATGTTTACGATTCCCTGCTTGTACGTGACAAGAAGTAGAGTCGCCTGTCCAACAGCATGGGTTTTCTCCAGGTCATCCGGTTTCCTCCCACTGCTAAAGACCCCTACGCGCAAGCAAATTAACGAAATAAAATTGAACCATAGTTTAGTCCCAAAATCACCTAGTTTGTGTCGAGTGGATGCTTCTCTCTCTCCCTACTTGGAGAAAGGTCCAATGTCTCATCTGTGGTGTAGAAAGAGTAAAATCTTCCAATAAATATACAATGTACTGTAATACTAATGTTATTTATATATTTATTTATTCAGGTGGTGTACAGTTGATGTGTAATCAATTAGTTAATTGTAATCAACAGTTGATCAGCACCCATCCCTCCATTATATCAACTATAATGCAACATATAAACAACGCTGGACCAGGTGGTAGTAAAAACGCTAAACTTGATTCAGCAGAATCAGATTCCAGCGTCGATGGTATGCAGAACTTCGCTCCTTTAGGTAAGATTATTTTAACAACTTAATTGGTGACTTAACCAATGCTGGCTGCACCGTTGTACTCAGACAATCTAGTTGTTTGGGTTGGACAAAAAACCAAGGTCCCATGTACGCGTAAAAAAACATAGTCAAGTGTACTGTGGTATTTGGTGGATTATTTATGCCAATCAGAAGAGCTAATTAGAAACAGGCATCTTACATTTCACTTCATCTCAGAATTCCATTTGGGATCAAAGCCTTTTATTAATCAAGGGAAGTAACTCAATTAACACAAATAACTCAAGAAGACTTCAGACCACTATTCCTGAATAATATGAATAAGTTTGTTAAGTAATGGAGTATGTGACAGTACAATTTGATATAAGATCCCTTGGCAGTTGGAATTCGATGTAAGAGTAGGCCATAGTGCCGCTGTCCGGGCAAAATTTCCCTTATAGCACACTGTATGCCGCATGCCCGTCTTCATTAGCCCAGTTGGAGCAGAACAGTCGGACATTAAACCCAATTTCATATCATTTGTTTTATTTTAGGTCAGATATCATCAAGTAGTCCGACAGCTAGTCCAGCGGAGGTTTTAATCCAGGCAGCTCCACCACACAGACGAGCGAGATCCGCGGCTTGGTCGTATCATTTCTATCCTGACGAAGCATGGATAGATCTGACCATACAGTTACCTTTTGCTATATTATTACGTGAAGTACAGATACAACCACATGCTTCACTCTCTAGTTAGTATATCTTCACTCATCACTGAATCCAGCCCTGCGCTGAGAATAATTTTTGGATATTTTTCAAAGTCTGTCATCACATGTTATGAGGGGTTGGATGGCCGAATGGTTATCGCCTGCGTGTTGTATCATCATTAGGTCTGTTATTGAGTCAACTGGCGTTATTTCGATTCCCCAGTTGTACATGACAAGAAGTAGGGTCGACTGTCCAGCCTCTGGTTTCCTCCCACTGCTAAAGACCCCTACGCGCAAGCGAATTATAGAATTTAAAATTGAACCATATGTTATTTCCGAAATGCCCTAGTTTGTTTAGATGTTTAATCCATATTGATATATATTTCAGCTTGCCCTTCATTTGTTTCCTTGGAGATATCTCATGATGGTGCCATGGTAACCCCCATGTGTCCACCCATGATGACGTCAAGTTTAGCGTATATTAAGTTACAACTCGTCAAACCAGAAGTGATGTCAACTATAACAATACGATTACATAAAGCTCGTGATTCTATGACGATTGGTCTAGCTCAAGTAGCGTTGATGGGTCACTCGGCGTTTGGTAGTACCGTATCCACGGTTAACAATAATCCACAAACTGAAGATTCAACGTCTAAATCAAGGTAATGTATCCTTCATTGACAACTTGGCATTTTGTATATATAAATATCAACTATGTCAGTTTCCTGAAAAACTTGATCTTTTTTGTCCCCTGCCTTTAGAAGGAAGGAAGAGACTGCCTGTCCGGCACACTTTTTGGGAGTTCGAAAATGAGAATTTTCTGCTTAGGGTAAGCAGAGATAAGGAGTTTGATTGGTTGATGCTTTGGGACATGATAACTTTAGTTCTAATTAAGTGAGAGTGATCAAACTTGGCGTATAGTTTCATTACATTCTCTGCTCAGGGTAAGCAGAGCAATAAGCAATTTGATTGGCCGAGACTTTGGAACACAATAACTCTCCTTCTAATTGAGCTAGAATGTTCAAACTTGGTGTAGGTGTTTATTAGGTCAATGCCTTGATGGAGTTCGAAGATGAGCATTTTCCAATAATGCTAAGCAGAGATAAACAATTTGATTGGTTGATGTTTTTGAACACGATAACTTTAGTTCTGATTGGGTGAGAGCGATGAAATTTTGAGTATAGATTCATTATATCATTACCTTGACTAAGTTCAATAACGAGAATTTTCTGCTTAGTGATAAGTAATTTGATTGGTCAAGACTTTGGAACATAACAACTCGACTTTTAACTGAGGTAGAATGTTTAAACTTGGTGTTGATGTTCATTAGGTGAATTTCTTGACTGAGTTCAATGATTAACATTTTCCACAAAAGCTAAGCAGAGCTAAGCAATTTCATTGGCCGATGCTTTGGGACAAGAGTTTGATCGTGAACATTTCCTGCTTAGACTAAGTATAGATAATCAATTTGATTGCTCGATTTTTTTTTTCAAAAAGATAAATGTGCAATTTATTATTATGTGTTAACAATTTGATTAAAACACAGATCCTATTTCGTTTTGTTTTTTATAGTTCAAAATTTCGTTTTACTTGTCTTTACTACACTAGGATCTGGAAGAGTTGTTATATTACCAGCGTTTTGGTTGAATTGAGGGATGAGCCAATGAAACTGTCTGTTATGGCGACTTCTTAGCGTGCCATGCACGGAACTGTGGGTAAACCACTAGACACGCTGATTGATTAATCAATGTCTGACGTCATAAAAAAACGAAACGAAATATAGATCTATATTTTAATCAGATTGTATGAGTTATATATTAATTTTTTATACGTCCACATTCATAATGTGAACGTATTATGCCGTCGCCCCTGTCTGTGTGTGTGTGTGTGTGTATGTATGTGTGTGTGTGTGTGTGTGTGTGTGTGTGTGTGTGTCTGTGGTTCGCCTACAGGGCGCAATTCTTCATGGATATTCTTCAAACTTGGTATACTTATTCCTTATACCCCAAGGAAGATCCCTATTGTTTTTGGTGCATGCCCGACCCCCCGGGGCAGAGCCACGCCCATTTCTAGTATTTGTTTGTTTGTCGTCTACAGGCCACATTTCTTAACTAATAATCTTGAAACTTTGCATACACATTCTTTGTACCCTAAGGAACATCCCTATCGTTTGGGGTGCATGCCCAACCCCCAGGGGCAGAGCCACGCCCATTTTCTTTTCGTGTGTCTTTGTGTCGCCTACAGGGCGCAATTCTTACTGGATTTTCTTCAAACTTGGTATACTTATTCCTTATACCCCAAGGAAGATCCCTATTGTTTTTGGTGCATGCCCGACCCCCAGGGGCAGAGCCACGCCCATTTCTAGTATTTGTTTGTTTGTCGTCTACAGGCCACATTTCTTAACTTATAATCTTGCATACACATTCTTTGTACCCTAAGGAACATCCCTATCGTTTGGGGTACATGCCCAACCCCCAGGGGCAGAGCCACGCCCATTTCCCATTTTCTTTTCGTGTGTCTTTGTGTCGCCTACAGGGCGCAATTCTTACTGGATTTTCTTCAAACTTGGTATACTTATTCCTTATACCCCAAGGAAGATCCCTATTGTTTTTGGTGCATGCCCGACCCCCAGGGGCAGAGCCACGCCCATTTCTAGTATTTGTTTGTTTGTCGTCTACAGGCCACATTTCTTAACTTATAATCTTGCATACACATTCTTTGTACCCTTAGGAACATCCCTATCGTTTGGGGTGCATGCCCGACCCCAGGGGCAGAGCCACGCCCATTTTCTTTTCTTTTTATGTCTGTGTGTCGCCTATAGGCCACAATTCTTAATCAATCGTCTTGAAAAATTTTCATATGAATTGTTTATACCCCAAGTATGATCCCTATTGTTTTTGGTGCATGCCTGACCCCCAGGGGTAGAACCACGCCCATTCCTTTTATTTATTTATTTGTTTGTCATCTACAGACCGCATTTCTTAACGTATCATCTTGAAACTATGCATACTTATTCTTTGTACCCCAAGGAACATCCCTATCGTTTGGGGTGCATGCCCGACCCCAGGGGCAGAGCCACGCCCATTTTTTTTTTTTTATGTCTGTGTGTCGCCTATAGGCCACAATTCTTAATGAATCGTCTTGAAAAATTTTCATATGAATTGTTTATACCCCAAGTATGATCCCTATTGTTTTTGGTGCATGCCTGACCCCCAGGGGTAGAACCACACCCATTCCTTATATTTATTTATTTGTTTGTCATCTACAGACCGCATTTCTTAACGTATCAACTTTACATACTTATTCCTTATACCCTAAGGATGATCCCTATTGTTTTTGGTGCATGCTCGCCTCCCCGGGACAGAGCCACGCCCATTTTTTGTATTTGTTTGTTTGTCGTCTACAGGCTACATTTCTTAACGTATCATCTTGAAACTCTGCATACTTATTCTTTGTACCCTAAGGAACATCCCTATCGTTTTGGGTGCATGCCCAACCCCCAGTGGCAAAGCCACGCCCATTTTCTTTTTTATGTCTGTGTGTCGCCTACAGGCCACAATTCTTAATCAATCGTCTTGAATTTTTTTCATATGAATTGCTTATACCCTAACGATGATCCCTATTGTTTTTTACCCCCAGGGGCAGAGCCACGAGCATTTTCTTTTCTTTTTATGCCTGTGTGTCACCTACAGGCCACAATTCTTAATCAATCGTCTTGAAAAAATTTCATATGAATTGCTTATACCCTAACGATGATCCCTATTGTTTTTGGTGCATGCCCGACCGCCAGGGGCAGAGCCACGCCCATCCCTTATATTTATTTATTTGTTTGTCATCTACAGATCGCATTTCTTATCGTATCACCTTGAAACCTAGCATACATATTCCTTCTATCCTAAGGAACATCCCTATTATTTGTGGTGAATACCCAACCCCCAGGGGCAAAGCTACACCCAGTTTCTTTTTTATGTCTGTGTGTCACTTGCAGACCGCATTTCTTAATCGATCATCTTGAAAACTTTTTTATACTTATTCCTTATAGTCTAAGGCTACTTTTTATACTTATTCCTTAATCCTAAGGCCGACCTCTATTATTATTTTTGGTGCATGCTCGACCCCTTGGGACAGAGCCACGCCTAATGTTTGTGTGTCTTGTGTTTTGCCTACAGACCGCAATTCTTAACAGATCCTTTTGAAACTTTGCATACCTATTCGAAACGTCATGCTTTTAGAATAAAGACATCGATTGTTTTAAAATAAAAATTGTGTTCTGTTAATGTGAACGAAGTGTTAAACTGATAGCAGTCCTACTACCCAGTTTTATTTCACAGACCCTCAAAGCAAACTGGACCATATCAAACAAAACAGGAATGTGGACGTATATTGCTGCGTTAGCGATGCTCTTGTTGAATTGCGACAGGGGACATCAGCCTCCATGTTGGCTTGTTGTTTATTGATTATTTGGATGAATCTGGTGTTTGTTTTCAGTGTATTATGGGTCCGACTATTGCACCATTGTCTTTCAATGTCTGGAAACGAAGTAGGAGCTGCAGTGGCCGCATCCCAGACACCGTATCTTCTACAGACGTGTGTTTCTCTCCTCGTCTCCCCATCTGCCTGTCTGTATAACAGTAAAATAGAAGCTGTGTTATTGAAGATAGGATTATTATCGACAGAGTTAGGATTACAACTGATTAACTTTATTTTACGTGAACCTTTCCAACGACAAAATAGAGGTGAGATTTCTCTGTTATTTTAGCTCGTGGATTTTATTGGGCGAGCCACAGCGGATCGATGAGGTTGGCACTGCCTTATTAAGGGCGAGGGAGGTCTGGGATTATGTGTTATTTAAACCAAGCTTGTGAGCATGTTGCTTGGTTATTAATCAGGGATTCCACGTTTCGATCAAGGGTTGGCTGAGAAAGTTCCTCAGGAGGAGCTGGCACTGAAAAGCAGTGTCTCCCTGTTCGGGGGTCCCAAGTATTACCATAGATAATGATGAGACAATAAGGTCTATTTTATTCCCTTCAACAAAGGTCAATTGCTTGATTCAACAGTGTTTTATATTGTGATATTTCACAGGTATAGAGAAATCGTATCTAGGTAAAGTCAGTGGTTACGCTAATCAATCAACAGTAGAGATATTATATCAACTAGGTACCATACAAGATACAGGTAGTAGACACAGGTGAGTATTGTTTTAATATCAATTGTTCATTAGATTAGGTCAATATGAAACCAGGGTGCCGCGGTGGCGGAGTGAGTAAAACACTGGCTGGCCAACCCGAAGTTCCATGTTCGTTCTGCCTTGTCAATGATGCAGGACGGAGGGCCTAGCAAGGACACCGTGTGAAGACTAAAATTAAAGATTTAACTTGGTAACTGCTGTTCCATTCACTCCCTCCAGTTTACTCAAATATATTTTGTATTTTTCAGGGTTTGTGCTTTATTAGAGTGGTTATGTGATTGTGCCCGAAAAGGTATAGAACGTGCCAACATGACAAACCGTGGTTTCGCAGGTTTATATAGGGGAGATAATCCAAGTTCTTTATCCAACCCGGCACCAACTCATATACACTGTATCGCTGCTATACTATGGCACAGTCAGTCGTTACCTGTTCAGTATGATCTGATCGGTTTACTCAATCAAGATCTTGTCAGGTAAATTAACCAATTAATATTCATCATTTCTCTATCTTTGGTCTCCTGTTTCGAAACACGTAGAGAGCTTGCCCGCTAACCACCAGGTCTCAGGTTCGCTCTCGATATTAGGCGAGAAAATACCTTTCGATTTTCCAGCATGATTCCCCCCTCGTCAGTGATATGGGATGGAGGACCTGGCAGGAAATAGTGTCTAGTCATTCAGATGGAATGTAAAACCAAGGTCCTGTGTACTGTGTGTGTGTGTGGGGGGGGGGGGGTAGTTGTTTAAAGCGTGGATGTGAAACCATAAAGTCTATCATTGAGTCAAGTGGCGTGGTTTCGAATCCCTACTTGTACGGTACAAGGAGGGCCACCTGTCCAACCTCGTGGGTTTTCTCCAGGTCCTCTGGTTTCTTCCCAATGCTAAAGACGTCTACCCGGAAAGGAATTATTAAAATAAAGTTGAACCCTTGACGATTGGAATTCCAATTAAGAGATGGCCGTAGCACCCCTGTCCATGCAAATTGTCCCTTATAGCCTACTACATATCATATACCTGTCTTCGTTAGCCTACTACATATCATATACCTGTTTTCGTTAGCCTACTACATATCATATACCTGTCTTCGTTAGCCTACTACATATCATATACCTGTCTTCGTTAGTCTACTACATATCATATACCTGTCTTCATTAGCATACTACATATCATATACCTGTCTTCGTTAGTCTACTACATATCATATACCTGTCTTCATTAGCATACTACATGTCATATACCTGTTTTCGTTAGCCTACTACATGTCATATACCTGTCTTCGTTAGCCTACTACATATCATATACCTGTTTTCGTTAGCCTACTACATATCATATACCTGTTTTCGTTAGCCTACTATATGTCATATACCTGTCTTCGTTAGCCTACTATATGTCATATACCTGTCTTCATTAGCCTACTATATGTCATATACCTGTCTTCGTTAGCCTACTATATGTCATATACCTGTCTTCATTAGCCTACTATATGTCATATACCTGTCTTCGTTAGCCTACTATATGTCATATACCTGTCTTCATTAGCCTACTATATGTCATATACCTGTCTTCATTAGCCTACTATATATCATATACCTGTCTTTGTTAGCCTACTATATGTCATATACCTGTCTTCATTAGCCTACTATATGTCATATACCTGTCTTCATTAGCATACTACATGTCATATACCTGTCTTCATTAGCCTACTATATGTCATATACCTGTCTTCATTAGCCTACTATATGTCATATACCTGTCTTCGTTAGCCTACTATATGTCATATACCTGTCTTCATTAGCAGAAAAGTATGATGTTAAATCACATTTTATTTGATTTCCATTTAAGCGGCATTAGGTAAGATTAGATAAAGAGCTGACAGTTCTTGCTATAATAGTTTACAAAATAGATAATAAAAACAGAATATGCTGAAAATTCCAGTCAAATTGCTTCACTCTAAACCAAGATATGTGTGATTCAGTTTTAGGCCTGCCTCGATCGTTATTACTACTGTTGTTACGATACTAAACAAAGTCTCGATCATTCATTTTTACGGTTATTTCATCCACCATAAAACTGATTCAAATCCACTAAACATCGCTGACATCTGATGGCATTGAGAATTGATTATGGTCTGGGTAAGGTAATTAATGTCTAATTAAACATACATTATGCAAGAGGTAAATCTGCCTATTGTAGATCTTTCTTTAGGCCTGAAATGTTATCTAAATTATTAATTAGAGATTTTAACTAGATTAGAACGGTTTGCCATTTAAAGATTTTAATTTAACTTGGTTCAGTTTTCAATGTTTTCATTTCACATTATCTATTTTTGAGTCATTACAGCAAGAATGGTCAGCTCTTTATCTAAATCTTACGTTATTTAGATAACATTTCATTCCTAAAGTATGTAAGTTTAAATTATCTTTGATCTATTTCAGTTGTTTGTATAAATGGTCAATGGTTTTAACACCGGACAGTTTATTGAAACAGTCTATAGATTTCGTATTGTGTTCAATTTGTAACATACAACCTAGTTTCTTCTCTAATATTCTCGAATGGATGGGAATTCTCGTCAACTTCAACTCCAGTATGACCGCATCCATCACAGACGATCGTAAAGACAGTTTTCAAAGTCATCAACAACCGCTGACAGATGACACCAAGGAAGCGACACAACATCCGTTATCAGACGATTCAAAAGAAGCCACACGGCAGCCGTCACATGTAGATAACTCACCAATCAGCATTCAGGAATTCAATCCAACTATTTTAGACGAGAATCGTTTAGTTACATTAGGAACCGTGTGTAAATCTCCCGTAGCCGTTAGACAGTTGTTAGATTCAGGATTTCCAGCCGTGTTAGCTCAAGGGTTGTTTGAATTCGCGAACCAGGAAATTAGTCTTATAGCTGAAAGTAAAGCTCCATCTGCTGCCGGTAGTGGCGCCACCTCACAGAATAAACCAGCTACTAATGATACCTCGTCAGGTAGGTATCTCTACATGAGTAAATATTATTTATCTATTCTCATTTTATATGGATTTTATTGCAGTAATGTGATTTTAATGAATTTCTTACTTCTTGAAATGAAATGTTTTATTTCTACAATTAAAAGGCTTGTTTAAATAATTGTGATGCTTGAATTAAAAGCAGTTATCCGTTAAAATGCCATGAACTTGTATGGCACAAAGAACCCCCTACTCATGAGATTTTTCAGCTGTGTGTATGCGGGGATCGTTGTAGTTGATTGGTTTGAACACTGGACCATCAATTAGGAGGACCTCTTGTTTAAATCCCGTAGACTTAATAAAGGGCTTTCACCTGCATGACTGACACCAAAAAGGTAGGAGAGAGGCGGCGATTGGTTAGCATTAGCTTGTGCACGTTGCATTATAAGGATTAGAGTCGCATGTCTAACCTTGTGGTTTTCTCCGGGGTCCTCCGGTTTCCTCCCACTGCTGAAGACCCCTACGCACAAGCAAATTATTGAAGTAAAATTTTGAACCATGTGTTAGTCCCGAAATGACCAGGTTTGTGTCCATTTCTCTCTCTCCGAAAATGTGCCTAGCCTTTTACATAGGATGATTTGATGAAGTATTAGAAAATGATTTTATATGTTTTTATATTTGTAGATAAGAATTGTATCATGAGTGTGGAACTTGTGGCATCTGTTCTACGACTATTCGCTACCGTTAGTTCCGAGTCAATGATTAAAGATTGGTTGGGTAGTCCTGAAGGAAATATATTCTGGCCTGTTTTACTAACGGCTCTGTGTAATAATCCAGCACAACCACCATCTAATAATACAACAAATAAACCTAAAGTAAGTTACCACTAGATTCTTATACATACAAGTTTTACAACATACACTGTAATCTTGTGTATTTAGCACTAATTTTTTTCACATTCATTCAATATCAAATCTTTGTTTGTAAAAATCATTTAAAATCACCCAAAATCATCTAGATCCTTAGACATACATCTTCAACATGTACAACAAGTCGAACTTTGTTGTAAGCTGGGTAGGTCGGCCGAATGGTTAGGTCTGCCATTGAGTCAGCTGGCGTGGTGTCGATTCCCCGGTTGTACGTGACATTGAGTATGCTTACCTATCCAACGTTGTGGGTTTTCTCTGGGTCCTCCAGTTTCCTCCTACTGTTAAAGACCCCTACATTCTAGCGAATTATTGAATTAAAATTGAACCATATGTTAGTCCCGAAATGACCTAGTTTGTGTCCAGTGGATGTTAAACCCCATTTCTCTCTGTGTGTTTCCACCTATGGTGATATCGCAGACAAGTGTTTCCTCACCAGGAAATCGTAAATGAGAGTCTGGTCTATCATAGGTTGGAGAGATAAGACGTGCGATTAAACAAAGATCCAATCTTATCCTTCAAGATACAATGGTGCTGAATAAAAATTATTGTTTTGTGTTTTTTTATAGGTCATGTCGACAGAAGAGAGATCCATGTTAGAAACGGCTGCTATACATTGTTTTAACGAAATGATCTCCGTACATCCAGCCAATCAACTTCTCTTCGCTAAAGTTTTATGTGACGTCATTCAACATCAAGGTACTACTAGGGGAGGTAATTCTCGTCTTCACTCCAGATAGTGCATGTCTGTGTGGTGGTAAATTCCAGCGTCCCCTTAATTGTTCAGCAATTGATACGGACATCCCCAATTCCCTGAATAAAACAGAAAAAAACCTGATGATCTTTATATTGAAGGAGGGTTGGATGGCCGAATGGTTAACGCATGTGCTTTTGATCACAATGTCTGTCATTGAGTCAACTGGCGTGGTTTCGATTCCTCACTGGTACGTGGGTTTTCTCCGGATCCTCCGGTTTCCTCCCACTGCTAGAGACCTCTACGCGCTAGTGAGTTATTGAAATAAAATTGAACCATATGTTAGTCCAGAAATGACCTAGTTTGTGTCTAGTGGAGGTTAAACCCTATTTTACTTTATCTATTTACCTTGAGTTTTATTTTTAAAATGCCCAAAGCTACTGCACTTTAGACCACAGGAGTTAAAGAAGTAGTATATTGAAATAATTCACAACCATAATCAAATAACTGTACAGTAAAATCATTTAAATATTTTTTTATAGAACAACGAAAATCTCCAAAGCATTTTTACGGCTATTAAACACGCAAGTCACAAATTGTACATCGTGGACACACAAGCCAAATGATTGAACAGAATCAATTGGCGTCGAAATTCGCCTAGTGTGTCCACTGTCATTAGGCCGAATCAAACATGTTTGATATATTCGCCTAGTGTGTCCGCTTCGCGGAAGCATTCGCCCGATTGTAGAATTCATGAGCCAATCACAACTCATCATCCACTCATATCGAGAAGTCACGTGATGGTTTGAAGACATGGTCGCTGCCATGTTTAATCATGTGACGTGAAAGGTGATGCAATTGTCTGGTTAATCGGGCAAAGGATTCGGCCGAATGATTCGGCTAATGTGTCCCCCTCTTAACTGGAGATTCTATAATGTTTATTTAATAAATGTAATATTTTAATGTTTCAGGTAGTTTATTAGGTTCCATACCGTTGTCCGGATTCACCAGACGAGTTCTACTACAAGTATTATTACAGGATGAGAGAATACTGGTCGTTCTAAAATCACCTCGAACTCAGTCGATATTAAAGACACCAGGAATGAGTTATTTAGTGCATCACCCTCGTTATGGAGCAGGTCAAGGTTTCCGTGTGATGGTCGTTAATTTAAATACACAATGTTCCGATCTTCTCACTGTTATACCAGGTATGTGGTTCTACTATAAAATAAAATAGGGTTTAACGTCCGACTGTTCTTCTCCGACTTGGGTAAGGAAATAAAATAGGGTTTAACGTCCGACTGTTCTGCTCGGACTGGGGTAAGGAAATAAAATAAAATGGGGTTTAACCTCTGACTGTTCTTCTCCGACTGGGGTAAGGAAATGAAATGGGGTTTAACAGCCTACTGTTCTGCTCCGAGTGAGCTATTGAAATGAAATGAAATGGGGTTTAGCGTCCTACTGTTCTGCTCCTACTGTGCTAATGAAGACGGGCATACGCCATACAGTGTGCTATGAGTAAAATTTGGCACCGACAGCAGCACTACGGCCTACTCTTATATCGAATTCCAACTGCCAGGGGATCTTTTACGTGCACGCCAATATGTACACCAATTTGATAAAAACACAGATCCTATTTCTTTTCGTTCAAAATTTCGTTTTACTTGTCTTTACTACACTAGGATCTGGAAGAGTTATTATCATTGACGTATTCAGGATGATGTGAGGGATTAGCCAATGAAACAAACTGTTACGACAAGTTTTTGGTGTGAGGCACACAGAACTGTGGGTAACCCACTAGAAGCATCAACGCAGATTGGTTAATTAAATGTCTGACGTCATAGGGTCAATAGTCAGTCGTATGACACCTGACGCGACCATCCACTACAACCGGTCAGATCTTCATGTAGTGTAGGCCATTGAAAGTATAAAAGAACGAAACGAAATAGATCTGTATTTTAATCAAATTGTATGTACACAGGCCGTCTGTTTTTCGTCCCATCTGAACGACTAGACACTGTCCTTGCCAGGCAGGGATCACGTGGCTAAGTGGTTAAGACACTCTCTCGCTAGCCTGGAGGTTGTGTGTTCGATCCCTGCATTGGCCGAGAAAGTTCATCCAGATTTATGGTGGTTCCCCCTTGTCAGTGGTGACAAGGACAGCTGTCTAGTCCTTCGGATGAGATGGAAAACCGAGGTCCCGTGTATACATTGGAATGCACGTAAAAGATCCCTTGGCAGTTGGAAGTCGATATAAGAGTAGGCGATAGTGCTACTGCCCGGGCAAAATTTCCCTCATAGCACACTGTATGGCATATGCCCGTCTTCATTAGCCCAGTTTAGGAGCAGAACAGTAGGACGTTAAACCCCATTTCATTTTATCTCATTTCATTTCCTTGCCAGGCCCTCCATCCTGCACCATTGTCAATGAGAAACCACACCGAAATAAATGGATTTTTTTTACAACTATTTATGTTTATTAATACAGTGTTTTGTTTATTTACAGACATCCAGTCTCTAGCAGCTCAATTTATTTATACTTGTTGTTTATTTACAGACACCCAGTCTATAGCAGCTCAGTTATTTGAATCTCGAGATGATAAAAAATCGGAGAATAAAAAAGATTCTGGTGAAACTGGTCTCGAAGTTGTAGAATATTTATCTAATGCTGCAGGTGCGTACAATCTCAAATTACTCTATTTTCTTTAGGGATTGATATTGAAATCGGCCCCTTCTGTCTCATGGACCTTTCAAGACAACTTTATGAAATGAAAAAATGGAATAGGGTTTAACGCCCCACTGTTCTGTTACGAACTGGGCTAATGAAGACGGGTATACGCCATACAGTGTGCTATGAGGAAACTTTTGCCCTGACAGCAGCACTACGGCATACTCTTATATTGAATTCCAACTGTCAAGGGATCTTTTACGCGCACACCAATGTGTACACGAGACCTTGGGTTTTTATACGCCCACATTTTCATGTGGACGTATATTGTCGTCGCCCCTGTCCGTCCGTCTGTCCATCCACTATTGTTTGTGAACAGTCTACAGGTCACAATTTTTATCCAATTTCAATGAAACTTGAAATATAGGTTTATCACCCAAAGATCTTGGTTCCTTTCGATATTGGCATGTATCGGACTGTAACTTCATGGATTATGGCCCCTGATTGTACGAAAAATCACGTTTTTAGCTTGTGAACTCTGTAGAGGTCACAATTTTTATCCGATTTAGTTTAAACTATGTATGCTTATAACCCAAAGATCTCGGTTCCTTTCAATATTTGTGCATATCGGACCGTAACTTCCTGAATTATGGCCCTTGATTGTACGAAAAATCGCGTTTTTAGCTTGTGGACCCTATAGAGGTCATAATTTTTGTCCGATTTAAAAAAACGTATTATTATATCACCGTTACACCCTAAGGACTGACAGACAAAATGGCCGCCCTTCATTCTCAAATCGCGTAAAAATATGGTATATCAAGGTTGTGGACCCTATAGAGGTCACAATTTTTATCCGATTTTGTTGAAACTTGAAATGTAAGTTTATAACCCAAAGATCTTAGTTCCTTTTCATATTTGCGCATATCGAATTGTAATTTGTTGAATTATGGCACATGATTGTACGAAAAATCACTTTCTTTTTTGCTTGTTCTCTATCCATCTCTCGAAAATGTGGGCGTATCCTGCCTGGCAGCCGCTGGTTGTACCATTCAAACAACTAAACAGCTGTCCTGCACCACTGACAAGGGGGATCCAAGCCGGAAAATCTGGATTAACTTCATCGGCCAATGCAGGGATCAAACACCCAACCTTCAGGCTAGCAAGCCTGTGTCTTACTAGCTTAACCACCGTGGCTTCCTCAACTTTATGAAACTTTGTATAAATACCAACCTATTACACTAGTTGTGTTTTTTGCTAACCAGACATTTTGGGGTTTTAGTTGCCATAGAAAAAAATTTGGCTTAACTTTGGGTATATGTTTGCAGAAATTAAAAATAGAAACCTTATTGATGATTGCTGGGATGATTCCACGTAAGCTGTGACTGAACTGCATTGGTACACTCCGATCTATTGATACACAGCAAATTTGTGCGTTAGCTAATAGGACGATGACAAGTCCAACTGTCAGTCTTGGTATACAAGGGTACTGGATGTTGATGACTGGGGGGGGGGGGGGTGGATCATAAGGTCTATCATTGAGTCAGCTGGCGTAGTTTTGATTCCCCGGTTGTATGTGACAAGGAGGAGGGGCGTCTGTCCAACCTCGTGGGTTTTCTCCAGGTCCTCCCACTGCTAAAGACCCCTACACTAACAAAGTATAGAAATAAAATAGAGCCATAAGATTGTTCAGAAATAAATGACCTTGTTTGTGTCAAGTGGATGTTAACTCTCTCTATTTATTGATGACCAAATCTTCTTGATTTATTTATTGGGAGATTCTTTAATCACATTTCTTTATATATTTAGGTATGTTAGCTAAACAGAAGCGAGAGAAAAGTCCAGCGAGTACGTCTGCTAGCACCAGTAAATCATCCGCCCTACCTCCTCGACCTCCAACTAGACGAAGGAGAAATACTGAATTTCTGGATTCCTCAACGCCATTAAAATTACCAACATTCTCTTTACAACATCAAATGTTTAACAGTAAGTTTAAATATGAGCACAGTCGGGGTTTCTTCAAATCGGGTCCTCACGGGTCAGATGAGTAATATCTGTTGGAGAAAACCAGAAATATGTCTGAATTAAGTTATATTTATAGCACGGCTTTCATGAGTTAACAGGTTTAAACATCGAGGCTGTAGGCCGAGATGTTAAACCTGTTAACGAATGAAGCGTGCTATAAAAGACTTGTAACAGTGACACCTGCTCAACATGCTTGTTGTTGTTGCACAGAAAACCCACCCCACTTCTCTATATGATTTGTACTAAAACTAGTGTAAACCAGCAAAAGAGTTCAATAACATTGAACATGTCTAGTTATTGCACAGTTAAGCTCCACCCAATCTACTAGAGGGAAAACAATTTGCTTATTCAACGAAAAGAACAAAGGAAGATTTCCGGTCCATGATACAAATAGGGTTTAATGTCCTACTGCTCTGTACCACTGGGGCAAATGAAGATAGGCATACGCCATAAAGTGTGCTATGAGGGAATTTTAAATGGACAGCAATTGAATTCCAACTGTCATAGATTCTTTTACGTGCACGCCAACGTATACATCAGACCTCCGTTTGTTGTCCCATCCAAAGATCTAGACACTATTCTTGTCAGGCTTTAATTAAACTTGTAATAAGTTAAATACATTTTTTTCACCTCTTTCATTAACAGGTAAAGCGCTCCCAGGGGAGTTAACTCTATCTCAACTTTTAAATCTTCTACAACAGAGGGGATGTCACCATAGTAACGCTATAGAATTCCAGGTGAAGTTAGCTTCCAATAAACCAAGATCTCGACAAACCAATAATCTTTCTATGGATTTAAGTAAGTTTACTGATTTGGATCTGAATTTTGTAGCATTTAGGAAATTGGTATGGAATGGGGTTTTTAGGTTATGTCAACGCGATACTTTAGTCAGATTGAATTCAAAAGGAGGTTGAATAGTTGAATTGTTAGCACGTGCGCGCTGCATCATGAGATCTGTCATTGAGTCAACTGGCGTGGTTTCGATTCCCTGATTTTACGTGACAAGGAGTAGGGTGGCCTGTCTAACCGGTTTCCTCCCACAAGTGAAGAGGACTGGTCCTTCATATTGTGCACCCAATCTGCCATATTCCCCCTTGTGGTGCTAATCAAACCAGCAGTTGTTGTCTGGATATCTAACATCTGGGGGTGGGGTGGAAGGCGGGGTTGGATGGCAAATGGTGAGCATGTTCGCGCTGTATGGTAAGGCCTGTCATTGAGTCAACTGACGTGGTTTCGATTCCCCGGTTTTATGTGACAAGGAGTAGGGTTGCCTATCCAATCTCATGGGTTTTCTCCATGTCCTCCGGTTTCCTCCCACTGCTAAAGACCCTTACACGCAAGCGAAATATTAAAATAAAATTGAACCATATGTTAAACCCGAAATGACCTAGTTTGTGTTGAGTTAAACCCCATTTTTCTCTCTCTCCCTAATGTCTGGATATTTGCATGTCAAAGCCGTTCATATCATGGACACAAGACAGTGGCATGGAGTTATTAGGACAACTCCCTGACTCAATATTGGGCCTATACTGACAGCGATAATTTCAAATTTAAAAAAAAACGACTTCACTCTTTGATTGGATACCCTGTGAAATGGATGCCAGGCGTTGCAGCCCTCTCTGCTCCCTTCTCTGCATAACACAGCACTACAACGTCACAAGGTTTAAATATATTTTGTATTCTTTCATCTAGATTCTAGTCCCGTTGAAGATGAAGACGATACAGTACCTGATGAAATACTGTTAACGACAAATTCAACACCTTCTGCTCTTCAAATATTTGCTAGTGTTGGTGGTCTGGCGTTGTTAGCGGAACATCTTCCGTTACTCTACCCGGAGATAACACGACAAGCGGCTACAACTGAACCTGTTACAGAAAATAATAACGTGGCTGATATTGGTCTCGATTGGGTCACCGTGGAATCGTCAGATGAACTTTATGATGTAAGTGACCAATATATATATAAATAAATGTAAACTACAACCCCGTGCGCATTATATCATAAGGTCTGTCATTGAATCAACTGGCGTGGTTTCAATTTCCCGGGTTGTATGTGACAAGGAGTAGGATCGCCTGTCCAACCTTGTGTGTTTTTGCTCTGGGTGTGCTCCAGATTCCTCCCACTGCTATAGACCCCTACACGCAAAGTGTATTATTGAAAGAAAATTAAACTGTATGTTAGTCCCGAAATGATCTGGTTTGTGTTAACTGGATGTTAAACCTCATCTCTCCTTCTATCTCTGATATTTATGAATTACTGCCAGAGTTATTGCTCTTGATCCCTTCCATAACGTACAAGATGTTTTTATAAATTATTTATACTTTATTTAGCCGTATGTAGAACCTGTATCTCCAGCACCTACCACTAGAGGGCGTCATCCTGCTGGTACCATGCCAACCATACCGCCACACTCCCTGATAGCTTTCGGTCTGTTCCTACGTCTACCAGGTTATGCAGAGGTTTTATTAAAAGAAAGAAAAAAAGCCCAGTGTTTGTTACGATTAGTTTTAGGTGTAACAGATGATGGAAATGGTGGTAAGTATATTCTCAACATGTGGGTTCAAGTTGTCATCAATTCTATTTATGTAGATCCAAGGAAAAAAATTTGTGCTTGGTTGTTCAAATGGGACAGGAAAAACTAGGATCCACCCACTTACACATTGGCATGCATGGAAAAAACAACTCCTGACAGAATAGTCAGAACATTGTCCGCGGTCCATGCCAAATTCTTGTCCCTGGCAATGCACACATATAACCATAGAAACTGAGTGGGGGAGCCACAGTAGCTAAGTGGGTAAGATGCTGGCTCGCTAGCCTGGAGGTCGCGTGTTTGATCCCTGCATTAGCCAAGAAAGTTCATTGGGATTGTCAGACGTGGTTTCCTCTTGTCAGTGGTACAGGACGGAGGGCCTATGAAGGACAGCTGTCTAGTCATTCAAATGGGATGAAAAACCAAGGTTCCATATATACATTAACATGCACGTAAAAGATCCCTTCTTTGCAGTTGGAATTCGATATAAGAGTAGGCCATAGTGCCGCTGCACTATAGCGTATGTCCGTCTTCATTATCCCAGCATAGGAGCAGATCAGTAGGACGTTAAACCCCATTTCATTTCTTTTCACAAACTGAGCGATGTATGATTTTGACCAGATCGTAAACCCCAAGCCATCCGTAGGCTTGTCTGACTATACTCAGGGTTAAAGATACATTATGGGAGATAAGATAAAGGGATGGCAGTTCTCGCTATAATAGTTAAAAACTAGATAGTGTAAAGGGAATTTGCTGAAATTTGCTGTGTCTGAGAACGAAGCGGGTGAAATTTTCGCATAGTCTCGGTCATCATTACTAAAATCATTAATATAAACAGCATAGTCTCGCTTATCCACTGTTTTGATTTAATTATCAATGGCCGTTAAGCATATAGGAATCTAATCCAGCCAACATCGAAGGCTAGCCTTGACATCGAGAGTTTATTATGGTCTGGATAAGTTAATTAATGTCTAATTGATAATTTAGATAACATTTCAGGCCTAAAGAAAGACTTGGAATAAGCAGATTTTGCTCTTGCATAATGCATGTTTAAAGTAAAATATTCTTTATTCCAAGCATGTTATATTTAAATGTTTCAGGTCATATATTAACGTCACCTATAGCCAACTCATTACCTACCTTGCCTTTCACCGTGCTCAAATCATTATTTGATGCTACACCATTAACAACTGATGATGGTCTGTTATTACGTAGAATGGGTTTAGATATCGGGGCTGTACATCTTATACTGGCCTGTTTATCAGTTTTAAGTCATCACGCACCAAGAGTTTCATCAGCAGGATTTCAACATGAGGTAAAATTGGCATTTAATACAATCTTTGACTTGTGTGTGAGTATTTATACGCCCACATTGAAACATATATTATATAGACCTCATCTTTATGTGCATCTGTCATCCAAACTTTGCATGTGGATAGTCTAGATACTAATTTATTATCCAATGAGCTTAAACTTTATACATATTATTTATCGTCATAAGACAAAGAATCCTATTGGTTTTCAAACACAGTGATTGGATGGCCGAATGGTTAGCATGTGTGCGCTGTATCATAAGGCCTGTCATTGAGTCAACTGGTGTGCTTTCAATTCCCCGGTTGTATGTGACAAGGAGTAGGGTCACCTGTTCAATCTTATGGGTTTTCTCCGGGTCCTCCGGTTGCCTCGCACTGCTAACGACCATGTGTTAGTCCCGAAATGACCTAATTTGTGTCGAGTGGATGGTAAACCCCATTTCTTTCTCTCTCTCTCTCTCTAATTTGGATCGAATGAATGCAGTATACTATAAATATTCATTATTATTAAGAACACCTAATAGTTGAAAACTGAAATAAGATTAGACCATAGAACCCCTGTTAAACCCGAAAAACTGAAATATGATAAGACCATAAAACCCCTGTTAAACCCGATTTCATTTTGTTTTTTTATTTTTAGACCCAGTTGATTTTATCAGCTATGCAGGTAGCAACTAGTAACGGATTGAACCCAACCCAGGAAAAAACACAGAATTATTGGGCTAAAGGTACAGGGTTTGGAACGGGTTCTACCACGTCTAGTTGGGATGCGGAACAAGCTTTATTACGACAGAAAAGTGAAGAGGAACATGTCACATGTTTGCTACAGGTATGTAACCATAGTTTCCATCTTTATTAATAGGTCGGGGGTTGGATGGCCGAATGGTTAGCGCGTGCACGTTGTATCATATAAGGTTTGTCTCATCAGTCTAGGTTTTGATTCCCCGCTTGTACGTGACAAGGAATAGGTAGTGTTGCCTGTCCAACCTCGTGGGTTTTCTCCGGGCCCTCCGGTTTCCTCCCACTGCTAAAGACCTCTACGAGCAAGCAAATTATTGAAATGAAATTGAACCATGTGTTATTCCCGAAATGAGCTAGTTTGTGTCGAGCGGACATTAAACCCCATTTCTCTCTCACTCTTAAGAAACATGAATTATGCCAAGTTGATTTACTGTTTAGTTGTTTGGGATATGGAGATATAAATTACCACATGAGTCACATGACTGATGATTGTTTCAAATTTTAAAACTTAGAACTTAAAGCTAAATAGAAAGTTAAACATATCAGGGGCGGATCCAGGAATTTTTGCAGGAGGGAGTTTGCCAGGTTCCTGAGAAAATGTACTCCACCCCCACCCAACCTTGGCTTGAAATTTTTTGAGAAATACATGGTCTCTATCGTCATTTTGGCGAATATACAACACATTGATCTTTTTAAACAGAGAAATCCAACATCTTGTTTGACGTCAATTTTTATTATGAATTAATACGATGACATTGTGATTCAATTTTATTGATGCAAAGCATTAATTGTGATATCTCATGTGTCTATATCATTATCTCGCACTTTGAGTGCCCATCCTGTCCCACATCTGACGACAAAGGATAAAGCACAATTATGACACTTTTCTCATATTATACAAGAGCTAAATCTGTCTATTGCAGGTCTTTCTTTAGGCCTGAAATATTATCTAAATTATTAATTAGACATGTAAGAGAACTTTTAACTCTTTATCTAATCTCCCTTAATGCCTCTTTTAACATATTATATGTTTTAAATTTAATTTAGGTTTTGGGTAGCTACATTAATCCTGGTGGTTTGTTGCCGAAAGATTTCTCGTTGCCAACGTTTACACCTCCAACCGAGAAAACCTTATTCCCAGACGTTGTTCCCGATCTGCTCAGCCAATCCTGTCTTATTCCGGCGATTTCTTCCTATCTACGGAACGACTCCGTTCTGGATATGGCTCGTCATGTTCCGTTATATCGAGCCTTGTTAGAGTTATTACGGGGATTAGCCGTCTGCCCCTCCCTGGTCCCCCTACTCTGTCCCCTAGAGGCAGAAGGTAATCAAGATACTGCTGTAGCCATTGAAGTTTTATTGGATAAAATGAAGGGCTGTGTTGATACTTACGCTAGTCGACTCAAGTAAGATTTATTTTTATCACCTAGTTTGTTTTTTTGTCCGTTCGTCTGTCCCAGTTTTAGGGAATGAGCTGATCGAATGGATTAGCGTTTTCCACTAAGGCTAAGCTGAGCTTGGTTTAAGTTTTAGAGTGAAGATTGTTACGTATAATTTGATTGGTTTAATTTGTAGATGTAACAAGATTGGAGATCGTTACGCATGATTTGATTGGTTTAATTTGTAGATGTAAAGATTGTAATATGTAATCTGATTGGTTTAATATATAGATCTAACAAGAGTATGTGATTGTTATATATAATTTGATTGGTTTAATTTGTAGATGTAATAAGAGTTGTCACTGTTACATGTAATTTGATTGGTTTAATTTGTAGATGTAATAAGAGTAGTAAAGGTAAAATGGAGGAAGAAAGTGAAGGATTAGCTTTATTAATACCTGATATACAAGATACAGCTAGAATAGTTGGCATAGCAACTGATAGATTAAAACAACAACAAGGTAAGTCCAACAATACAATCACATTTAGGGTTTGATCCTGGTATTGGCCGAGAAAGTTCCCCCAAACTTGCCAGAGTGGTTTCCCCTTGTTAGTGATGGCCTGGCAAGGACAATGTCTAGTCATTCAGATTGGACAAAAAACCTAGTTCCTGTGTACACATTGGCATGCAAGTAAAAGAACCCTTGACAGTTGGAATTAGAAATAAGAGTAGACCGTAGTGCCGCTGTTCTGGCAAATTTCCCATAAAATCACACTGTATGGCGTATGCCCATCTTCATCTACCCTATTGATTATTGTAGCCGAAACAGAAAATACAAAAATTGTTTTTCAAATGACTATAAAAGTTGAACTCAGAATTCCATAGGGTATCGCACTGTGATTTACCAGAATGTCTTTGCAGGAGTGGTCTAGTGGTTTAACACTTGGCTATGAAATCATACGGTCTGTCATTGAATCAAGTAGAGTCGTTTTGATTCCCTGGTTGTACGTGACAAGAAGTAGGGTCGCCTGTCAAACCTTGTGAGTTTTCTCCAGGTCCTCTGGTTTCCTCCCACTGTAAAGACCCCTATGCACAGGAGAGTTATTGAAATAAAATTGCACCATATGTTAGTCCCGAAATGACCCTCCCTCTCTCTCTCTCTCTCTCTCTCTCTCTCTCTCTCTCTGTGTTTGCACAGTGGTAAAAGGTCTGTGGTTATTAAGCTTTGTATTTATTGATTTGTTGGGTTTTTTTCCAGTTTATCAGAGAGAGAAAGTAGGAGGATCATCTATTGGACCTGAAGCCATCATAAAACAAACACCAGAAGAAAAATACATGAAATCTATGAAAGAATTACAGTTTGGTAAGTTTCTTACAAGAATGATCAATCACAGCACTTGTTGCAAAAATTAAATGCTGCAGCTTGACCAATCAAGACACTTATTACAAGAATTGAAATACTACATCTTGACCAATCACAGCACTTGTTACAAGAATTGAAATACTACATCTTGACCAATTAAAGCACTTGTTACATCTTTGAAATGAGAAAATGAATGGCTTAGCAAGGGTTGCCAGCATACCAGAGCAAAACAAATATTTTGCCCCTTAATCCCTAACCTATGTACTATTATCACAGTAAAAACTTTAAAGGGCCATCTTATTTGCCCCTCAAGTTAAAAAACAACTGTGTAGAATGATCAAACATTTGAAGAATTTCTGTAAAAGGGTGCACTATCGTCTATTTATCATTTTTTTGCACCACTAAAAATTTTGTGTCAAGGGTAACCACTCTGGTAGCTTTACCCATGCTACACCAAAGACCTGTGAATGAAGATTATATTTTATTTTTTTTAGACACGTTTGAAATGGTAATAGAAGAGGGAAATGGAATCAAGTTTATCGTACCACATCATTTCGAGTCGAATGTTAAAAGCTCAGGAGAAGCGAATAATGCGAGTCGAACACGACGATTAGCTCAAGAAGCTGTGACGTTATCAACATCACTGCCTCTATCGGCTAGTAGTAGTGTGTTTGTCAGATGTGATGAGGATAGACTCGACATCATGAAGGTAACGATTATTACATTTATAGAGTAAGAAAGAGATAGCCAGGTCATAGCTTATATTGAATTCCAACTGTCACAGGCTCTTTTACGTGCAGGGAGTGGGGTGGATGGCCGAATCATTAGCGCTGTCCAACCTCGTGGGTTTTCTCTGGTTTCCTCTAACTGCTAAAGACCCCTACGCGTAAGCAAATTATTGAAATAAAATTGAACCATGTTAGGCCCAAAATGACCTGGTTTGTGGTGAGTGGACGTTGTTCCGTGCAAATCCTCTTTCCTGCACCACTTACAAGGGGAAACCACACCGAAAATTCCAGAGAAAGTGTCTTGGCCAATACAGAGAGTGAACTTTAGACCTCCTGCTGAGCGAGCTAGCATCTTATTCACTTAGCTTATAACAATCACGAAACGAAAATAAATTGTAATTTAAACTGTAATGTTTAAACTGTGCTATGTATTTTAATTTCCAGGTGTTGATAACAGGACCAGCAGATACACCTTATGCTAACGGCTGTTTTGAATTCGATGTTTATTTCCCCCTTGATTACCCTGAATCGCCACCCTGTATAAATCTAGAAACCACCGGCAACCATACTGTTAGATTTAATCCTAATTTATATAATGACGGCAAGGTAACGCATTAATTACTTTTCTACATTTAATACACAAGATATATATCATGAATAGAAAGGTTCAGGATCGTTGAAAATAAGCAGGCTTCTTCCTCCCATCACTGTATAAATTTTATGATCGACATTGGTCTCCAGAGCCACCAAAGATCTTTTGGTATTTCTCTATTGAGGTTCCCACTTATCAGGGAAGATACATGTGGATCTGACAATGAAAGCAGGGCTTGATGGCCGAATGGTTAAAATGTGCGCGCTGTATCATAAGGGTTGTCATTGAGTCAACTGTCGTTGTTCGATTCCTTGGTTGTATGTAACAAGGAATAGGGTTGCCTTCCAACCTCATGGGTTTTCTCTGGGTCCTCCGGTTTCCTCCCACTGCTAAAGACCCCTACGCGCAAGCGAATTATTGAAATAAAATTAAACCATATGTTAGTCCCCAAATGACCTAGTCTGTGTCGAGTGGACGTTAAACCTCATAAATCTCTCTCTCTCTCTCTGAAAAAACGTTTAACTGACATTATTTCTACATGGAGTGATCTAATGAAGACAGCCATACACCATGCATTGTGTTGTGATCATAATGTTTCCCAGACAGCTGTGCTAGAGTTACTCTTAATTTGATATTCAACTATCAGAGTATATTTAAGGAGTCTTGGGCTTCTCTTCACATCAAAATATCTAGACACTGTTCATTGTCAGGCTTTTCATCCCGCTTGACTGACCAGGGGAAATTACTCCGTCCTGTACTACTGACAAAGCGACACCAATCCTTCGTGCACAACTGACAAGGGGACACCACTCCGTCCTGCTCGACGGACATGGGGAAACCACTCCATCCTGCAAGACCGACAAAGGGACCCCACTACATCCTGCACGACTAACATAGGGACACCACTCTGTCCTGCTTGACGGACATGAGATAACCACTCCATCCTGCAAGACTGACAAAGGAACACCACTCCGTCCTGCGCGACTAACAAAGGGACACCACTCTGTCCTGCTTGACGGACATGAGGAAACCACTCCATCCTGCAAGACCGACAAAGGGACCCCACTACATCCTGCACGACTAACATAGGGACACCACTCTGTCCTGCTTGACGGACATGAGATAACCACTCCATCCTGCAAGACTGACAAAGGAACACCACTCCGTCCTGCGCGACTAACAAAGGGACACCACTCTGTCCTGCTTGACGGACATGAGGAAACCACTCCATCCTGCAAGACCGACAAAGGGACCCCACTACATCCTGCACGACAAACATAGTGACACCACTCTGTCCTGCTTGACGGACATGAGATAACCACTCCATCCTGCAAGACTGACTAAGGAACACCACTCGTCCTGCGCAACTGATAATGGGAAACCAGGCTGAAATATCCTGAAGGACTTTCTCAGCAAACACTGGGATTGAACCCCTGAACATCCAGTTAGTAAGCAAATTAATCTGGTTAAAACACAGATCCTACTTCATTTCGTTTTTATAGTTCAAAATTTCGTTTTACTTGTCTTTACCACACTTGGATCAGGAAGACTTGTTATTTAACTCGTGTTCTGCTTGAAATGAGGGGTCAGCCAATCAAATCGTCTGTCGAATCGAGTGTTTGACCTTTTTGGCCCGGAACTGTGGGTAATCCACTAGTAACATCAATGCTGATTGGTTAATCAAATGTCTGATGTCATAGATCAAAAGTTGGTCTTTAAATTGACCCCTGACGTGACCTATGGCTATAACTTGTCAGATCTTCATGTAGTGTAGGCAATCGAAAGTATAAAAAAACGAAACGAAATATACATCTGTATTGTAATCAGATTGTAAGCAAATACGCTACTCGCCAAGCCGCAAAAATTATTTGCCCCATTCCATAATCTGAAAATGTAGCATGTTTTAGAGAATATAAACCTAGGTTTACGTGTCTCAGAGAATATGAATGTATTGTATGGTTGTTTTCTAGGTTTGTTTAAGTGTTTTAAATACGTGGCACGGCCGACCAGAAGAAAAATGGAACTCTCACACTTCTAGTTTTTTACAGGTAATTTATTTACACTTAATTCTAATAACATGTATAGTCTTGATCACTCCAGCAAATATTGTCTCCACTTTACAATGATATAAACTAAAATAATCTCTTTGATACAAAGGTTGGTTGTCGGGGGTGACCAAATGGTTAATGTGTGCGCATTGGATTAGAAGGTCTGTCTTTGAGTCAAGTGGCGTGGATTTGATTTTCCGCTTGTATGTGACGAGGAGTATGGTCACCTGTCAAACCTCATGGGTTTTCTCCGGGTCCTTTGATTTCCTCCCACCGCTAAACACCCCTACGCAAAAGTGAATTATTGAAATAAAATTGAACCATGTTAGTCTCGAAATGACCTAGTTTGTGTCGAGTGGACGTTGAACCCTGTTTCTCCCTTTATACAGAAATGACTGTCTTAGCATATAATATCTACCCTATTATAGCAAGAATTGTCAGCTATATTTATCTAAATCTTGAACAATATCGATTCTCAATTTATATTTTATTTTCAGGTGTTAGTGTCAATACAGTCGTTAATTTTAGTAAATGAACCATATTTTAATGAACCGGGTTATGAGAGGTCTCGAGGAACACCGTCTGGAATGGCCAGTTCTAGAGAATATGATTCTAACATCAGACAAGCTACAGTAAAATGGGCCATGTTAGAATCTTTAAAAAATCCTTCAGCTGCTTTTAAAGATGTAAGTAAAAATATACATAGCTAGCTGTGTCATTACACCTGACCCTTAGAAATGGAAAGAGTGTTTTCCAGGCAAATCTAGGAGCTGCAGTGGCAGCAACAACGACCCCAACCACGAACACGACTACCGCAATTGTTTGCCTAACTGCAATTTCAATGGGGTCGTTCATACTGACGACGAACGCAGTCAAATTTTTGTTTGTGCCGTAAACCGAAGCCAATTTTTGGGAATGGTTTGCACGGAAGATTTTCATTATCCCATCAGAGAGCAAGGTCAAAAGTCATGTACGTGATGTATTTGTGGCAGGTAACACGAGACGGCTTCGCCACGCCAGGTGACAAGACAGAAGAGTGAATTTCCCTGGGTATCTTTGTTTTCAGTACGAATGATGCGTGCTGAAAATCACAGAGTTCGCGGTTGTGGTCGAGGTCGCGCTCAGTATAAATGGACCTTAAGTAAGTAATGAATGCACTGGCTTACTCAGTTTGAGATTCAGGGTTCGAACCCTGGTGCATGACCGAGGGCAAGAAACTGTTTCTAGTCTCTTCGAGAACCCTTGTCAGTTGGAATATCAATGAAGTGTAGACCGTAATGCTGCTCCCTGGGCAAAATTCCCCTTGGAGTACACGGCATGACATATGCCCGTCTTAAATAACCTAGGTTGTGTAGAAATATAGGGTGTTAAACCCCATTTCATTTCTTTTCCCCGCAAAATCCTCCTATCTGGCACATAAACCATCGAAACGAAAAATGCCAAATATTTTAAAATTAAATCTAAAGAAATGTGGTTTAACGTCCTACTGTTCTGCTCCGAACTGAGCTAATGAAGACGGGCATACAGCGTGCCATGAGGGAAATTTTGCCCGGACAGCATTGATACAGCCTTCTCTTAATTTTGAATTCTAACTGTCAAGGGAATATTTTGAAATAAGCAAAGTATTGTGTCTACAAGATATTAAAGTGATAATGTTGATGTGATAATAATTGTTTATTATATTTCAGGTATTATTACGTCATTTTTATATGAAACGTCATGAAATATTAAACCAGTGTGAAAGATGGATCAGTGAAATGGAGAGTTATAGTAGTGATAAACGTACTGGTCGAGCTATAGCACACAGTACACTAGCTTTAAAGGTAATTCTATCATTTCTATAGCACACAGTACTCTAGCTTTAAAGGTAAAACTATCATTTCTATAGCACATAGTACTCTAGCTTTAAAGGTAATTCTATCATTTCTATAGCACATAGTACTCTAGCTTTAACGGTAATTCTATCATTTCTATAGCACACAGTACACTAGCTTTAAAGGTAATTCTATCATTTCTATAGCACACAGTACACTAGCTTTAAAGGTAATTCTATTATTTCTATAGCACACAGTACACTAGCTTTAAAGGTAATTCTATCATTTCTATAGCACATAGTACTCTAGCTTTAAAGGTAAAACTATCATTTCTATAGCACATAGTACTCTAGCTTTAAAGGTAAAACTATCGTTTTATAAGATCATTCATGTTTTGAAACGTACGAGGGGGAGGGGTGAGACATGGTGTAACGCATGTGATAAATGTACAGGTACATTTCAACAATTTCCAATAATTACTGCCAGAATATATTTTGTATGCTATCATTTATATTATTTCAGAGATACTACAATCAACTTAGAGAAGAATTATCCAAACTAAAACCTCCTCCAGAATTAACCGAATCAGACGAAGAAACCAGTTTGATCGATCCTCAAGCTAAACATTATTCAACGGACCAATCACCAGCTTCAAAACCAGATAGCCCTGGTGATGATCTAGCTGCTGCACCGTCAACCTCTAGTGATGGTTTCCAAGGACAACATATGATAATGTTATTAGACTCTATGGATTTAGATGCAGAGTCCCCAGAATGCTAGCACACGTTGTTAGTAGGCGTTATCTTCAATTATTGTGATCTATGAGAGCCTCCTGTGTCGCGCGAGGACTCACGTTTTATGAAAATGTTACAGAGGTGAGATGGTCGCGAGACATAGTTAGTGGTTCTTCAGTGTGTAGATCTAGTGTTTAATGCCTGATGTGTTTCCGAATTGTCTTCAAGAATCAAATATGGACACAAAAACTGACGACAAATAATTCGAGGAAGATTTATGAACATCAAAAAATTGACAGTTATTGTCCTTCTGCATGCAGGACAATATGATTCAAAATATTATAATAAAACTGTCAGCCATTAGAAATATATTTTTATTAAATTCTTAGCCATTAAAATTGCTAGTTTTGAAGGTGAACATGTCTATAATATTTTGATCGAACTTTTAGCCTTTAAAAAGTCTGACAGATAAAATAACAGAGAAGACATAAATGGGGTGCTTAATTTGAACAATTTTAAAAAAAAAATGTCCAGAATCCAATTCTATGAATCCCGTGAAGAATGGCCGTCGATTCAACAAGAGGAGTTCAGATCACAATATTCAGGCTAATCAAAAAACTAGATATTTCAACCAATCGTCACACCTAGCCATTTTAAGTCGCGATCTATTCCTTATTGGGAGTTGTGTTATTCTGTCAATTTGGAACATTATGGAATGATAAAAGAGCACCTGTCGTTAAAATAGTAATGGCGAAGTATCAATGCTGACTTGTGTCAGATTATATCCTGCTGTTGTTAAAATAAATATTTTATTCATGGTTTGTCAGTTTATATTGTACTGAGCATCACATGATCTTATAGACATCGTTTCTTTTAATTCATGTCAATTAAAATATTGATGTATCAATACCAAAGAGAAATAAGGTTTTACGATACAAGCCTCGAGATATAAATAGGGTTTTACAATACTAGCCTCAAGATAGAAATAGGGTTTTACAATACTAGCCTCAAGATAGAAATAGGGTTTTACAATACTAGCCTCAAGATAGAAATAGGGTTTTACAATACTAGCCTCAAGATAGAAATAGGGTTTTACAATACTAGCCTCAAGATAGAAATAAGGTTTTACGATACAAGCCTCGAGATAGAAATAGGGTTTTACAATGCACGCCTCGAGATAGAAATAAGGTTTTACAAAAATAAAGATGTGGTCGGATATCTCCACTAATCTGTTCATCATGCCCTCATTATATTAGCTAATTGAAGGCCTAGCTGCTTTATTTAGCAGACGGACAAACCTATTATTTGTACGTTAGAGGCACACATCTGACCCGACTGAATTACATATAGTGTTCTCTCTTTAGTATCAACTTATTATACCTGGTTAATCTTTTTAAAACTTTATGCCATGATTATCCAGTTTTATTTGTTCATTTGTTCTAATAGGTTATATTGACAGCATGGTCAAAAACTGATCAATGTAACCTCTATTTAAATTGTGTCCTGTTGATCTTGATAAAACTTTTTTGCAAAGATTATCCAGTTTTATTTGTTCTAATATAAATATATATAACTGTCCTGGTTAATCTTGATAAAATTTTGTGTCCAGATTATCTAGTTTTGTTCTATAGTTGTATATGTAAATGAAGGTATGCTATGATAACTGTACATATATATAGACTGTAAGTCGATGTAGATATGAAATATGGACTCTTATTATATATACACAAGGTGGAGATAACTCTTGTGCTTTTTATTTTGTTGTGAATCTTTTTTTTTTTTTGGTGTGATTTTGAATTTGAAATTAGATTATTTATTATTATTCGTATATTGTTAATAAATGTGTTTTTTCAAGTGATGTAATTTTGTCCCTCTTGTTCAATTCCCCCTTCTCTTTATTTTTTTTTTAATTGAGCCATGACAGAAACCCTAAGGATTGGGGTCTGAATTCAATTCGTCAGAATGTTAGCTTAAGTTAAAAGATATCCTTGGACTGAAAAAAATTACGTGTTGAGAGCGTATTCTCTTAGACTTCAGCTGGTGAAGAAAATATGTTGATTAGCTACGATTTGACTGCACAGTTACAACAATTAGCAAGGGGTGGGGAAGGAGGTGGATGGCCGAATGGTTAGCACTAGGGCTGTCATTGAGTCAGCTGGCGTGGTTTCAATTCCCCGGTTGTACGTGACAAAGATTAGGGTCGCCTGTCTAACCTCGTGGGTTTTCTCCGGGTCCTCCCACTGCTAAAGACACCTACGTGCAAGCGAATTATTGATATAAAATTGAACCATATGTTAGTCCTGAAATGACCTAGTTTGTGTGAGTGGACGTTAAACCCCATCTCTCTCTGTCTCTCTCCCCATTGTTACGATGATTGGCTATGAATCTATGAATTAAGCAGATGTTTTAAATTAGATCGTATCAGTAGTTGAGGAAGATTTGTCACTCCGTTAACCAAGATGTCAATGGTTTAAGAAATAAACCTGTACTGTTCCTTGGAATGCCTCAAACTGTCTGAGATATGAGAATACCTGTCCGTGGTATTTGAGTCTGATCCATTTTTTTTTTTAACATATTCTTCACCTGCTGATGTTAGAAAAGCACCCTGGTCTATATTCACAAAAACTTAAATGTTCTAAGAATGCAGCCCATCAATTGGACAGGATTTTTAATTTTTAACCAATGAAATGGTTGCATCTTTAATATATTTTAAATAAAATTTTAATGAATTCCATCGTAAAATGTGCCTGAAAGGGATGTGGGAGAAAAATGTAGGAATGTCTTTAAACTTTACAAATTTTGGCTTCTGGGATCAACTTGGGCTTCGTCATTTGATAAAATTTACAAGACATGTACTTTAAAGGAAAACATTTTGTAATTTTTAATCAAGCTTGCCGTTTAATTTATTTTATTGAATGTACGGTATTATTTGTATTATTGTATGCGTTGTTTGGTAGAATGTTTACGATTGTATATAAATCAGCATGTTATATTAATTATTGTTTAATACCTGTGCTCGTTAGTAAAGGACCATCTCTAAACCCTCATTTATAAGGACTGCCCCCCCCCCCCCAACCCTTATTTGTAAGGATTCTGATCTAACTCTCTCACACAAGGACTGTCTCCTAACCCTCGCATTTGTGACGAGTACCCCTAAACCCTTATTTATAAGGACTGCCCCCCCCCCCCCCAACCTTCGTCTCCCAACCCTTGTTTGTAAAAACTACCTTCTAACCCTCTTTTTAGAGGGGGTGTATCCCACAAAATTAGGGAAGAGATAAGCTCTCCACAGTTGGTTTACATATTGATGATTGCAGTTTGATTGACAGCTGTCAATAGCCTGGGGTGAAATGTTAGCTCCGCCCCTTTTTCATTATAATAATGGCTACTATATAGCATCCATCCACCGTTTGTGGGGTGGGGGTTGGGGGTGCAGTAGTTTCGAGTACCTGGGTGCCGACGGGTTAATTTTAAGTGGTCAAATTTACCGTTCCCGTCTGTAGGTGGAGAACAGGGAACAAGATAAAGTGCACAAACTGAAACCGTGTCCTCGAGAGCTCTCCGGTCTCCATTAGCCCAGTCGGTGTTGGATCCAAGGAGTGGAGTGGACAAACTGATAGTTTATATAATGCCAGATGAATCATCGATTAAAGATGGCTCTCAGACCTCTGTCGTGAATTATCTTCCCCTTTCATGCCATATTTGGAGAGAACCCTTTAACGCCAGGCAAACTATTTAAGGTTCTTGAGAGAGAACTATATGATTTGTACAACACCAGCAGGACTATTTAAGATGGTTCTCAAGTCACTACCATGAATTATCTTCTCTTAGCCATATTCACCGATTCCACGTCCCTTTAAACAATTATTCTTGACGATAGTGGTTCAGCTATTCATTAATCGTTCACCCGAGTAGCAGATCGACGATGTCAAGCTGCCAGTCGTGGGATATATTATATTAAGTTATTTATATGAATTAATAGAAGCGTTTATTAGATATGTTTTATTATTTTGTGCGTGTTTCCATGGCAATGAATGTTGTTGTTTATATATAGATAATGTGTATAATATGAACAGTGTATGATATGTACAACAAGATGCAAGAATTTTTTTCTTTAAAAAGAATAAAATAATTATTAATAATCCATCTTGTGGTTTGGGGTTTTTTCCTCCATTTGATTGAATAATGATGGTTAATTTGCTAGTGTTGACGGAGCCACAGTGGCTAGGTGGTTAAGGCGCTGGCTCGCTAGCCTGGAGGTTGGGTGTTCGATCCCTACATTTTCCGACGTGGTTTCCCCTTGTCAGTGATGTAGTACAGGGGGCCTGACAAGGACAGCTGTCTAGTCCTTCGGATGATACGGAAAACCAAGGTCCCATGTAAACATTGGAATGCACGTAAAGAATCCCTTGGCAGTTGGAATTCGATATAAGAGTAGGCGATAGTGCCGCTGCCCGGGCAAAATTTCCCTCATAGCACACTGTATGGCGTATGCCCGTCTTCATTAGCAGAACAGTAGGAAGTTAAACCCCATTTCATTTCATTTCATTTTCCTAGTGTTGACTGACTGGCTGAGACAGAAAAGGAGTTTAGCGTCCACTTGACACAAACTAGGTCATTTCGGGACTAATTTTCAATAACTCACTTGGTTTAAACAGTATTTATTTCGAGAATATTATACAATATAATGGCATAAAGAATAGGATACAAGAACAGGCCAAATAGGCTTATACTAATTTGCTTCCTTTTGGTTTGGGTGTATAATATACTTGCTCGTAGGAATCTTTATCAGTGGGAGGAAACCAGAGAACCCGGAGAAAACCCATGAGGTTGGACAGGCGACCCTACTCCTTGTCCAATACAATCGGGGAATCGAAACCCTGCCAGTTGACTCAATGATAGACTGTATGATACAGCGGGGATTCGAAACCACGCCAGTTAACAGGCCTCATGATACAGCGCACACATGCTAACCATTCGGCCAGTCAACCCCCCACAGAGTCCAAGACACGGTAAGAACAGCAGAATAATTTATTACCAATAATTACAGTAATACGAAACTGTTTAATTCCAATCAGTGTTGAAAAGTTTCACTACATTCTTTATCCCCTGACATCAACAAACCAGCGCCACCATCACTGTAACCATCAACAGACCAGCGCCACCATCACTGTAACCATCAACAGACCAGCGCCACCATCACTGACATCAACAGACCAGCGCCACCATCACTGACATCAACAGACCAGCGCCACCATCACTGACATCAACAGACCAGCGCCACCATCACTGTATTTAACCAGTGTATCATTTAATCTTGTGTATCCATGGGCGCGGATTTAGGGGGGGACGGGTCCCCCCTTAGAATCGGAAGGGGGGGGGACGAATAGGTCTCTGTCCCCCCCCCATGATTTTGATCGCCAGGACAGATTTTCAGGTTTATATCCACATGAATGTCCCGTTCTGAAGGCTATCTAACCACTGACTTGGGTCACGCCACAGTAATATCATCCCCCTTAATTGTAGGTAGTCAATTTTACCATATGTCATCATATTACCCCTAGTTACAGCTTTCATCGAAATAACACTGGTAAACTGTTCGTAATTATTATTTTGGTTTGGTAATGAAAGGTTCCAGGATTAGTCCGTCCCCCCCCAAAAGTTATGACAAGTCCACGCCCTTGTGTGTACCTAGAACTATTTTTTATCACATTCCTTTTTAAATCAAATCTTTAAAATCACCCAAAATCATCTAATTTGTATGTGTGTCCAGTTTAAAGCTGACCATTCAATTTTGATAATGAGTGTCCAATTTACAAGTGTTTAATTTCTCAATCACTGTTAAAAAAATAAACAACCCAATTGATTAATGATGTATAATGATTAATTTTTGAACAGTGGTCAGGAAATTAAATACTTGTAAATTGGACACTCATTATCAAAATTAATCAGTCAGCTTTAAACTCGACACATGTACAAAACAAAGATTGGACATTAAACGAATGTGAAAGAAATTAGTGCTAGATACACAAGATTAAACGATACCTGGGTTACAGTGTGTAGTGTCATATAGTAAATGCCACCTTTCATGGAAGAGTTCCCTCTGCTTTGTTCTTTATTGGAGTACTCGAGAGTTATCTCCCATATGTGGAATCTTTTATACTTAGAGAGGTTGAATAAAACATTGCCTATCTCACATGTGGTTTTAGATTCAATACATTTTAATCCATGCCATCGATGGTGAACCAGAGAGCTATCCCCACAGAGCTGTAGAATGTGTTATTGGGTGATAAATCGAACAAATTGAAAGATTTTTTATCAGTCCACATATGAGAAATTAAACCCACCATAACTATCATCCAGTCCCTTTTATTTTTTCTTCCAGTAAGCTTTAGGATTTTTCTGGAATTTATTAAGACAGTGTTGAGAACAGAGAAAGGCTTCAACCGGGACCAGCGTTTGTCCGACCACATTCCATCCTGTCACGTTCTTTACCATTTGATGCAGGTCCAGACGTAGAATATATCTTGCCGAACAGCGGAAACAATAATTACCACACCAACATTGTCGGGCCGAATCTAAATAGTTACACAGTTGTGGAAATAATTCTTCGTTACTGTACGCAATTCTGAAAAATACAAAATAAAATGGTGTTTTGTATATAGAATGCGGAACTTTTCTTATTCTTACCATAAAATACAAAAGTGTAAATTTTTACGTCTTGTCAAAGTGATCACGAATATTAATAGAGGGGAAAAATGAGGTTTATGCTCCACTCGAGTCTTGGTCAATCGGGATTAATCTGCCCAGCTACTTAGACCTGGGTAAACCAGACTGGCCCCCCCCCCCCACCGAGGACTTTTCTCGGCCAGTACGACACTTAAGCGGCATATACACGACACAACCAACCGATACAACTGTTGCATCTGACCAACTCATCCGAAAAATGTTCGGATGGATAGCTGCTTGTATGGATAGGACTAGCTCTATTCTCATCCGATTAACTGATGCAACAGCCAATCAAATTACATGACGTCATATCTGACTTGGCAACCTGAATGCCTGATTAAAGATGTCTTCTTTTGTCCCTTCAAGTACTTTAATGACCTCTAAAATGGATTCTCAGCCTATCAACCACTGAATTAGAATATCTGTCTACAAAGCACAGACTATATAACTATATGAAGACGGGGATGAGAAGTGTTGCCCTGTGGCCATTTTATTCAGTTACTAGATAGGAACAAATGTTGCCATACAATGAATGGAACCATTGTATGGTGTAAACAGTCGTCCAATATGTTGCATCCGACCGTTTGTATGGTGTAAACGGCACTTTAATAACAATACCCCCCTCCCCCATCAATTAAAATAGTACATGTATATCAATGACTATAAAGAAAATCTTCCCTGATTCTACCTCATTTTCTTGATGGCACGAGCTGAAACTTCTAACAGGGTTGGAAATTCAAGATGAGAGGTAATCACTGTATCAGCTTCAGGTAGGTCTAAAGGGTTACCATACAGATCAAGGTCATCTAACTGCAGACGGTTAAAGTTCGCTGGCAAAGTTTTGATCAGGTTTTCCACACATGACAACTGTTTAAGTCGGATTAATTTACCGATCGTCGGCGGCAACAACTCAATCTTATTTCTATCGATCTTTAGATAAAACAAACTCTTCAATTCACAAAGTTCTAAAGGTATGCGGGTGAGTTGATTGTCGCTCAGGTCCACACTAACTAAATTATCGCTTAACGGCACTCTACACAGCTGCAGGGGAAATTTCATGAATTTATTATGAGAAAATTTCACTGTATTAAGTTGCAGCATTTTATTAAATTTTTCTGGCAAATCTTGAATCAAATTTTCATTCAGATCCAGAACTTGTAATTTTTTCAGATCAAGGATCCTAGAATCAACTCGCTTCATGTTGCACGATGAAACTTGTAAATGGACCAAACTAGAAGGAAAATTGGTCGTTATTGGATACTCTTTTCTCGTGAGGACCACCATTTTGGATTTAGGTTTTTCGACATTACGAGCCGATGCCGGTGCCAGTGCTGACAGAGTTATCCTTTCCAGATCATTGCCTTGACTTGCGGCCCGAAGTAAATTCAGGAAATTCTTTAACTGTAATGGATCAGCCTGAAATTATCAAATAAAATAAAAAAATTTGTTTTTTAATTTTCAGTAATATAAAGCTGTCACAAAGGTAAAAGAAATGGGGTATAATGTCTCACAATTTCATTAAATACAGATCTATATTTCATTTCATTTTTTATACTTTCGATGGCGTCTATAACATGAAGGTCTGACCAGTTGTAGTGGGAGGTCACGTCAGGGGTCATAAGAGAGATTTTTGACCCTACATGTATGACATCAGATTCAAATATTCGATTAACCAAGCAGCATTGATGTTTCTATTGGGATACGCACAGTTCGGTGCAACAGACCATTTCATTGGCTAATCCCTCACATCATTCAGAACACGTCAATGATAACAACTCTTTCAGATCCCTGTGTAGTAAAGACAAGTAAAACGAAATTTTGAACTATAAAAATTTGTGTTTTAATCCAATTGAATGTCTCACCTTACTAATACATATATCATGTTGAGGTTCTTTGATTCGTACTGTAGCTTTACCTTCATTTATAAACTTAGCAAAAAACTGTTCTATGTTATCTTTTACCTGTAAATATACAATAATATGTACATCTATATAAAGCTAGTAATCCATGCTCACAGCGTATATAATTCAATTAATTTGATTAATCCTGATAATCTAAATGAAATAGAAATGAAATGAAATGGGGTTTAACGTCCTACTGTTCTGCTCCTATACTGGGCTAATGAAGACGGGCATACGCCATTCAGTGTGCTATGAGGGAGGGAAATTTTGCCCGGGCAGCGGCACTATCGGTTACTCTTATATCGAATTCCAACTGCCAAGGGATCTTTTACATGCATTCCAATGTATACATGGGACCTTGGTTTTCCGTCTCATCCGAAGGACTAGACAGTTGTCCTTGTCAGGCCCTCCGTCATGCATCACTGACAAGGGCTAAATGAAATAGAAGAGAGGGAAGAAGCATCTATCACAAGTAAGTAACACAGCTGTTAACCATGTCATCTGTTTACATGTATAACTGTTTGTGTGTATGTTGTCTGCTAGAGAGGTGTACGCATGCGTGGGAGGAAGTGGGGACTGGTAGTTGAGTATAGGACGGGAGTGAAGAGAGGGTTTTAGGGGAGAGAAATGGCATAATAAAATTGTTTAAAGATGATATAGTTCTTGGAATTTAAAATAGCCATATATGAAGCAAATTTATATAATCTTTTAGCTTGTTTTGGTATCATATCATGTGATGTTTCATGTACATATGATATTTTATGAATAAATATTGTTTAAGAGAGAGAGAGAAAGAGAAATGGGGTTTAACGTCCACTTGACACAAACTAGGTCATTTCGGGACTAACATATGGTTTAATTTTATTTACATAATTCGATTGTGCGTAGGGGTCTTTAGCAGTGGGAGGAAACTGGAGGACCCGGAGAAAACCCACGAGGTTGGACAGGCGATCCTACTCCCTGCCACGTACAACCGGGGATTCGAAACCACACCAGTCGACTCAATGACAGGCTTTATGATACAGCATGCTCACGCTAACCATTCAGCCATCCAACCCCCCTAAATATTGTTTAAACCATCTAGTCTGTTCAGTGAATATATTAAAACAAACTCCTCATTTGGAAATCAAAATATTCAAACAAAATTTCCTTCATAATAGGGGAGGTTGATTGGCCGAATGGCAGGTTATATAGCGTGTGCACATTGTATTACAAGGTCCGTCATTGAGGCAACTGGCGTGGTTTCGATTCCCCGGTTGTACATGTACGTTACAAGGAGTAGGGACGCCTATCCAACGTAGTGGATTTTCTCTGGGTCCTCTGGTTTCCTCCTCTGTTAGTCCCTAGTTTGCATTGAGTTGATGTTAAACGCTCTCTCTTAAGTTATCTTGTGATTACTTTTAATTTTGCTTACACCAAAGTTATCTTTTCCATTTTATTTCATAAACATTTGAAAGGCATTTTAGGTTTATTGATCATCGACTTGAAGCAATCTGTAAATACATCATTAACCCACTAGCACTCGGACAGGCCTAACTATGGATGCGGAGTCATTCGATCACCCTAAACCACATGAGTCATGCACAGACACTAGTAAATGATCTTATAATACCAATAGTTATTCACATATTTCAGTCAGTTATAGGTACTCTAACAAATCTTAGTTTCATCAGATTCTGAACTGTCCAGTATCAACTATATCACTGCCTACGTTTCCCTTAAATAACTGTATGGTAGCTGTAGTCAGTATTTACATGCAACAAGTGCAGAAGGGTTAGGGAGTCTAAGATCTGTGACATAGTCAAGTGGGGTGGTTTTCAATTCTAAGCATGTCTCCTGGCTTCCTCCCATAGCTAAACCCATATGTTAGTCCTGAAAATAACTCAGTTTGTGTCGAGTGGAAAGGTTAATTTATATTAATTAAAGATACATTATGGGAGATTTGTTAACGAGTTGGCAGTTCTCACTATAATAGTTAAAAACTAGATAATGTAAAGGCAATTTGCTGAAAATTTCATTCAAATTGATCCATTACATGTATGAATTGAGAACTAAACGACTGAAATTCCCATAAACCTCAGTCATCATTACTAAAGTCAGTACGATAAACAGCATAGTCTCGATTATCCATTTAATTGTTTAATCGAGAAGGAAAGTTATGCAGTAAATCGGCTTACAATCCACTAAAGATCGCAGGCTAGCGCTGCCATCTAATGTTGATTATGGCCTGGATAGGTTAATTAATGTCCAATTAATAGTTTATATAACATTTACGGCCTAAAGAAAGACCTGAAAAAGGCAGATTTAGCTCTTGCATAATGTATGTTTAATAAAGTATTTACCACAATTTTAGTTCCATTTCTATCTTTAGCCGTACAGATCATGAGAAACAAGATTCCATCTTTACCACTTGAACCAGGTTTCTTACCCAATGATATCTGGGAATGCGATTTCTGTGATGGTTTCTTTAAATTATGTGAGGGTAGAAGTCTGTTTACGATCTCCACGCTACACGTTAACCTCATTGTCCTCTCTCTTCTCTATAACGCACCTTAAAAATAACGCATACGATTAAATAGGCATTATTATGGAAGATTAGATAAAGAGCTGGCAGTTCTCACTATAATAGTTAAAAACTAGATAATGTAAAGGGAATATGCTGAAAATATCAGTCAAATTGATCCACTCTGAAAAAGTCTGAACCAAGATTTTAGCGACTGAATTTTCGGCCTAGCCTTGATCATCATTACTAAAGTCGGTAGGATAAAAAACATAGTCTCGATTATCCATTTCATGATTTAATTATGAATGGAAGTCGAACAGCAAATCGGAACCTAATCCAATAAACATTGCGGCCTAGCGATGCCATTGAGAGTTGATTGTGGTCTGGATAGGTTAATTAATGTCTAATTAATAATTTAGGTAAAATTTCAGGCCTAAAGAAAGACCTCCAATAGGCAGATTTAGCTCTTACATAATGTATGTTTAAGAACATAAATCAATCTGACTAAAACACAGATCTGAAAGAGTTGTAATATAATTATAACCTGCATTGTGGATGATGTGAGGGAATTAACCAATGAAACGGTCTGTTATTATGGCGAGTTTTTGGCGTGAGTTGCACGGAACTGTGGGTAACCCATTAGAGAAACATCAACGCTGATTGGTTAATCAAATGTCTGACAACATAGGATCAAAAGTCGCTCATTTGACCTCTGACTCGACCTCCCACTACAACTGGTCAGATCTTAATGTACATTGTAGTAGAGGCCATCAAAAGTTTTTTTTAAAAAAACGAAACGCAATATAGATCTGTATTTTAATGATATTGGAACATAGATATTAAAAATTGACCTCGTATTTAAATATTTTATGTAAAATTTTAAAGATACATGTAAGGGCAACATCTGCCTAGTATTATTGTAGAGTGCAGACCCTTTTTCTGGCTTCAAATGTTATATATAATTATTCACATTACAAGCCCATTAAAGGAGTTAAATCGCTAACATTTGGGACCTAGAAATTGACAAAAGTGGGTCGCAATGCATATAATACTGTAATATGAATGTATATAAACTGATTTACATTTAATGGTTTCCGTTTTTACTCCAATTTCAAATCAGTTATGTTCGGCGAAATAAGCCAGCAGTCTCAAGCGAGTGCAAATTTCTAGCGTCTGGTTATTCCAGTCTACATACACCGTTTGATTTGGTGCAATGTGTCTAGCCTCGTCCCTCGAGTCTCTTGATACAACTGGGGCTGAAGCGCACTATGGTACACGATTCGTGTACCAATGGTAAAATGTTTATTTTGTCTTAAATATTGGATATCAAAAGCCCATCTTTTTCCGGTAAGATCACAACATGAATGTTGATTTAATTTGACAAATAAATCGTGTTTTCAATGTTGAAGATTTTGGATGATATTGAGTTAGAGACTTAGCTCCTTTAAATAAATAAGCTGTTGTGTTTTAGAATGAGGCAGCATCACCTGCCCCATGCACCTTACCAGTAATGACAAGACTTTAGAATCTCCCCTAGAACTTAACAAAAATGGGTCGCAACGCATATAATAATAATCATGTAATATGAATGTATATAAACTGATTTACATTCAATCGTTTCTGTTTTTACTGTAATTTCTAATCATTCAATTTAGAGACTCTTCGCGTATATAATTATTTAGCCGAACATAACTGATCAATGAATAGTGATTTAGCTCCTTTGAATTGACCAACAAGTGAACATAGAGTTTCAAATTCTACTCTTGTAACGACAACAGAATGTCAGATTTCTTATTGAAATGATCAATGCGTCACTATAGGCTAATCTTAGAGTTAAATTACTGAACACATCGCGGCCTAGTACGTTGACCCGGCTACTTCTGACTTCCACACGATTTCACAAGATTTCTACTACTAACCCTAACCCTAGAGTAACCTGATCAACGTACTGCGCTCATCGCTTACCCTTCGCAACTTTGTTTACATTTTTAGTTCCCGCTGTAAATTAATATTTTGTTCTCTAATATAAAAGAGCACACTAAGGGACGAAACTCTTTCCACACGGCTCACCACATTTACTGAAGCATTGGCCCGAGAAATCCCTCTCTGGCGTTTGGTCTAATCAAACGAAACACTGGGATGAGTATGGGCTCACCACGTCAGATGACTAACTTGTTTTGGTGAACGAGAAGTCGACACAATTTTTTTAAAATTTTTTTTAATTTTTTTTGTAAAATATGTATTAGTAATATTAATAAAAATGTAACATTTCGCCCATCTTTGAACTATTGTAGCAAGAACGGCCACTTCTATGACCTTTTTATCTAAATCTTACATCATGCATCATTAGCTCTGAATTAAACTGAGTATTAGTATGTTTTCCCATTAGTTGTCGGGGGTTGGATGGCCGAATGGTTAGCACGGCTTGTCATTGAGTCAACTGGCGTGGTTTCGAATCTCCGGTTGTACGTGACAAGGAATAGGGTCGCCTGTCCAACCTCGTGAGTTTTCTCCGGGTCCTCCGGTTTCCTCCCACTGCTAAAGACCCCTACGCGCAAGCGAATTATTGAAATAAAATTAAAAACATATGTTAGTCCCGAAATGACCTAGTTTGTGTCGAGTGGACGTTAAAACCCATTTCTTTCTTTCTTTCTTTCCACTAGTTGCAATATCCTAGCGTCTGACATACAGAGCAGCTGGCATAATAATTTATTGCATAAAAACGCCGACGAGGAGCAGTATACAATTACAAAAATGACATTAATACAATACAACAAATATACATGTAACAAATAAACGAACGTATATATAAAGCTAGTTACAAGTGGACATCGATTAAAGCAAGCATACGAAACTTACAATTAGCTGTGTTCGAGAACAGACATGTAGCAGACTGACCGACATTTTAATTCCTACTTCGGCGATTTTAATCGAAAAGAGAGATGGAGAGGGGGGGGGGGGGTAATGTTCACTCGACACAAACTAGGTAATTTCGGGATTAACACATGGTTCAATTTTCTTTAAATAATTCGCTTGGGCGTATAGGGATATTTAGTAGTGGGGGGAGACCAGAGGACCCGGAGAAAACCCACGAGGTTGGACAGGCGACCCTACTCCTTGTCACCTACAACCGGGGAATCGAAACCACCCCAATTGACTCAATGACCGACCTTATGATACACACGCACGCGCTAACCATTTGGCCATCCACCCCCACCCCCACCCACGTAATCGAAAACACTAAGTATAGGCCTACATCTAGAATTATGAGAAGTATTTATTCTGCTTCCATTTAATAATAAAACTGATAATGTTTATCTAGAATTTGTGTGCAAGAAATACGTAAAACGGATTAGAACTGCATTAACAAAACAGGCTACTAATGTTTGGATATGGCGGCCATTCAGGGAAGATCTCTCCGTGTGCAGAATGCTCAGCCGCAGCTGGTGACGTGTTGTTATTTCATCTTCTGATGACGTAATGATATCATTAACAAGATCGACAAATTTCACTTGATTAAAATAATAAGAAATAAGATGAAATGAAATGGGGTTTAACGTCCTACTGATCCCCCTTGTCAGTGATGCAGGACGGAGGGCTTGTCTAGTCGTTCGGATGGGACGAAAAACCGAAGTCCCGTGTACACATTGGCGTGCACGTAAAAGATCCCTTGACAGTTGGAATTCGATGTAAGAGTAGGCCGTAGTGCCGCTGTCCGGGCAAAAATTTCCCTCATACCACACTGTAGCAGAACAGTAGGACGTTAAAGGGCTAATCCCGATAATTTTTTGGAGAATAAAACTGTTTAATTTTGTTTGAAAATCCATGAAAGTCCTCTTCCTGAGGACTGAGCAACTAACTCAATATTTGTGATAAGTTTTCAAATATCTGAAACCCGTCAGTCTTCATCTGTTAATGGAGACCAGTGTCCCAAGCTGTATTATGCGGTGTCTAGATAAAACCAGACATTTTTTGTATAAAATTAATGTGTAGGTGACATTTGCCTTTCGTTATCAAGTACAGCATTTGGGTCATTCGCTGTATAGACCTCTAAAGGAACGGCAATCGATTATCAGGTCTCCCAGCGAAAAATTGACCCGAAATCTTAAAAGTGTTACGTGTCCGGATAAGCAGTTTTGACGGTCACGTCCAAACGACTCAAAATTTTGAGCTGAAATTTTGAGATAAGGTCAATACACCATTCCTCTATATTTTGGCGCTATATTATCTTACTTAAACCGCCATGACTCCGTCATTCATTTCAAGTCCATCAAGTTAAACCAAATGTCAAAGTAAAATGTATTTTATATTTGAGTTGCCAAATGGCTTTGACATTGTTGGGGGAGGGAGGGGGGAGGGGTCATCAGGGCCGTAACTATCCCAGAGCAACGAGTGGGGGTGGGGGCGGGAAGTGTTCTCAGGGGTGCTGTAAATTTGACGGGCAATGTATATCTATTTTTTTAATGGTCGACAATATTTTCATGGGGGTGGGGGGTGGGGGCGAAACCTGAGTGGATATAAAAGGAAAAATATGAAAATTATTCCATCCGGCATAATAAAGTGCCCGAAATCCGGGACATTTACTATTGTGTGAGGTGATGCTATATTCCCAACCGGAATTCAGAGTTTCAGAAAATCACACACTTTTGATTTTGATTCAGGGCGTCTAGTTCTCAAACTCAAAGTGTAGTTCCTGTCAATCCACACCGCTATGTACTACGTGCCGTTATTTGTCGAGATTGTACTTGGATTATTTTGTGATTTTAATCTCGTGGCTGTGACTGAGGTTTTTACTAGCAGCTGATTCATTGTTTGACCGTTGCGGAATTTGATTGAATTTGATTGCTCTTTGTTCTCTTGTCAAGTGGATTTTCGTAATTTCCGATATAATGTCATACCGATAAATGCCTGATGTTTGCTATAGTCTGCAATATTGGAAGACGGTGACAGGGATAGAATTATCGATACTTTTGCTAATCGCAGTACGTGGCAAGCCATTATCAACGCTTAAATTTGCCAGACAGAACGGATAATAAGCTTCTCTCGGGCATATAAGTGACGAATCACGCTGTCATTGGTCGGCAAAAGGTCCACAATTGCCAAAAATATCGAAAAATATCGAGATTTATTAACGCCTAACGAAACGAGGACGAAAATGAAAGTTTCTCTTTCAGTTCGTTTTTAATAATCGAATACCAGTCAGCCTACATAAGTGATCGATAACACTGGCGCGCTCACCATCATTGTGGTCTGGACTAGGCCCCGATTACCTGCCGGGGCCCGGATACCCTGATGGAACGAGGACAAGTCGGTGCCCCACGGCGTGATTACCCGCGCACGTGGTTTATAGTTTTAAATTCAATTTTTTTTTTAAAAATGTGGACTGACAGAATTCGATTAATCCTACCCATGACACTAGGTACACACATTCAGAAAAGTCACCGTATTTTTTCTACTTTACGATCAAGTACTTATAACAGTATATTTATTTTTAATAATTTATACCAACAATTCTTTTTCCGGGCCCCCTGGAAAAATGACCCAGCTGCCCCTTCCCCTTCTCACGGGCCATGGCGATCATATTTCTTGTCGGGTACAAGAGAAAGCCCGCGTGGTTGGACATGCGACCTAGAAATGGTTCCACCACTGATGTCTTCCGTCTTCCGTCTTGCTCTAGCCACAGTAGGTGACCGTCCTAGGACCTTCCTTTGAGCAAGTTTTGTAGTCATTTGACTACAAAAAAGTTATTGGCCTAACTCCCTTAATTTCAAATTACACTGTACATAGATTAACATATAATAAACCAATTCCCAGTGAAATAAAGGTGAAAATTTACCGCATAATTATATGATTTGATGAAACCCAACTGCTATGCGAAATTTAAGTTCATTTTAAAATTACCGCCGAACCAGAATTACGTGATATTATATTACTCGAAAATACAGAAAAACTATTCGGTAAGATAAGATTATGATTTCAGTGTTCCAATCTTCACTAATTGTAACATAATTACTTGTTTCCATGCGAACTGTGATGATATATGTTGAAATTTTTTGCAATTGAACCTAATTCGACTTGCGCAAAGCCTCGAATATTGTATCAATTGTAGTTGTGAATAAGAATTATCACGGCAGCAAATATTGCAGCCACAGGCGACCCTACTCCTTGTCACATACAACCGGGAATCGAGTAATAAGAATTAATTGAAATCGGATTGTACGATTGCGGAAGCGAGAAACTAATAATATAATACGAGCGGGATTATTACTCATGAGATCCTTGCTACCTACAAAAGACCGGGGATTAAAAACCCAGTCAGCCATAGAAGAATAATAATTAGATTTCTAGACCCGCGTTGCAGTAATGACGGGTTTCATCGAAGCCCTTTAACACGTAGCGTCCTGTATCGGTGAAACGTGTCCACAGAAATATAAATTGATTGTATATATTTATTATCGTGAAAGGATTATGACGTGGCCAGAAAAGGAATTCTGAAACCACAAATAATGTTACTTCTGTTTATGAAGCTATTTTTAGATAACCAATTTAATTACATTCAGAGTGGTTTCATTTTTAAAAAAAACCAAAAAAAACGGCCATTAAATCCCTCCTTTTTTCAAAAAGAACACCCGATTTTAGGTATTTCCCTTGGTGCAAAACTGACTTTATTCCATAAGTTATACTCGCTTTCCTAGGAACTTCGAAACCATCACATATGTCGTTCCTGACAAAATAACAAACGTCGAAACGATGTCTTATAATAATTTTCTTATTGTGATCTATAAATAAATACTAGTTAAGAGCCCAGTGCGATTATCTCTAAATAATATCGTAGTGTGATTATCTCTAAATAATATCGTAGTGTGATTATCTCTAAATAATGTCGTAGTGTGATTATCTCCGAAATACTATCGTAGTGTGATTATCACTAAATAATGTCGTAGTGTGATTATCCCCGAAATACTATCGTAGTGTGATTATCTCTAAATAATATCGTAGTGTGATTATCTATAAATAATGTCGTAGTGTGAGTATCCCCGAAATACTATCGTAGTG